TGGTCCATTCGCTCAACCAGAATATATCCAGGATGCACCTGGATTGCCGAAAACACGATCAGGAAAAATTATGAGACGAGTATTGCGTAAAATTGCACGTGGAGAAAGAGATTTAGGAGATGTTACTACACTGGCTGATGAAACTGTGGTGGAATCTTTATTTAAATTGAGACCAAAAAATGCCTGATTTTAAATCACGTAGCAGGTGGATTGCACTTCAGTTGGTGTTTTTTGTCTAAGCACTTAAACTCCGAGTTCCATTAATTTTGCTCATCTAAGATTCCTCACTTTAATGTGAACTTCTCATCTCATTCCACTCATATTGTATTATGACAGATTGACTGATTTCTCCCGTCATGAAGGTGCATTGATTGGTAAAACAAACGGCTAAGCAAAATTCACATAACATGAGAAATATTTTGCTTAAGCCTACCCTGATCAAAACTATCTGGCTATGTCTTCAGATTGTGATACATAGTCATTAATTAAAAGTCTGTAAAATTATCTAAAAATAACACATTCTCTTAATTTTAACATCCGACCACAGGTGATTGTTGATAATTGTTTAGGTTTTCTGTATGGCCTCTCAAATATACCATTGTTGTTTTGTTTATATATGAAATGTTAAGGCCCAATTGAAGTGTAATTCACCATTCGCTTATTTTCTGCCTGTGATGCGAATGATATAATGAAAATATGTGAACAAAATAAAGGTACATGTGTACAAAATTCTAAAAACAAGATGAAAAATGCAATAAAAAAGAAAATGAAATTGATATTTTGTAAATCCACAATTTTGGATTTTCAAACAGTCTTTACATACAAAGATCAGTACAGTTGTATTTGATCTCCCATCAAAGTCAAAGTTTATGAAAACAATGATTTGGAAGTTGTAAATGCAGAAACTGTAGGCTATGAATCTTGTATGGACAAGATAGGCCTAGCTTGACCTATTTTGACTCACTGGATATTGATGCACTATGGATATTTTCCATAAAATAATACAATCACGCATGTAAGCAGACACATTTATATTCATAATTACTTATATGCGCACAGTAATACAAAATGCATAGATCTATTTAGTATGTGGTTTTGAGACAAATATAAAATCATCCCTTGTGATCGGAAAATTGGGCCGGAGGGGGGAGCAGCCAAATTCTGCTAGAAAATTCAACAAATCTGGAAGATTTAATTTTTCAAGAAAAGTTTACTATTGAAATGTGTGGGCACACAGTATGGCAAATATGTTAGGTATTTTAGGATTTTTTGAATTGATACCCTTCTAAGATATGGGATCCATTAAAAAAGATGCAAGGCCACCAACATGCAAAAGTCAATGTTTTTTCGATAAATCAAGCAGTCTACACCACCCTGTCCCATTTTTCCAATTACAGGGTGTGAAAATATTTGGGAGGTTTTGTTATAATTTTGTATACTTTGGTATTTCATTAATACATCGAAAATGTATGAATGTAACATTCAAAATATCATTATATTAATCAAGAGAATGGTATAAATGTATATTATTAAGTTAACTTATTATTGTGTGAAACATTTTGAATTTTAATGACTGGAATGATGTCATGTTTTGTAGGTCATGTCGAAGTTTTTGTAAAGGTCACCTCAAAAGTAATTCATTAATTGTGTATTTAGCCTTTTAAATGTATAACAAGGCAGGAAAGTTGAAGGCCACATTCATAGGTATAGGTAACCTGAATAGTTGAGGTTTAAATTGATTTCAAGGCTTCTTGGAGGTCAATTTCTATAAAATATCAGGGCCACAAAAAGAGGGTAAAACACAACAAAACAGATGAATATGATATACTGTACAAGTATAATGAAACAAATGAAGATAGTTTGAACTATTTCATGTAGTTTATGTACTCATTTATTTTTATATCATAGTTTGACCTTTATTTAGTAATATTGTGTTTAGCTAGAAATGTGTGGAAATAATGAAACATTAACTTAGGATTGATAACCAAACATTTACTTTGTAGTCGCACTCCTGGAATATAACTTGAACTGTGATGTACTAACATTATGATATATATCTTGGAACTATGTTGACAGTGTATGTTTTTTATGTTCATTTTAGACTCATTTCAATGTTAAGTCATGTATGTACATTGAACCATAAACTGATGACTAAATGTATGTTCCATCATTGACTAATGTATGTACACTGTACCATAAAACTGGTGATTAGTTTATGTTTATTGTATCATAAAACTGGTCACTGTTTTAAACAATGTATTTGCATCTATTTTTATGTATAATGTATAAATGGCTTGTGATCTTTAAGAATCTTCATCAAGTGGGAAAAATCTCCGATAATGCACCCCAATACTCATTTTATCCGGTGTTTCTTGTCATATACCATATGTATTATTATTCTCATTCCGATGTGATATTGAAGTTCATTATATTCATGTGCGATTGTATTTCTTGATATAAATAAAATAGGGTTATCATTAACTAGAGGTCTGTTTTTGGAAATGTCTTAACTTCATATTTTGTTGCAAGTCAATGTACATCAGGGTAAAGCTCTTATATAAGTGCTGTTTCATCAGAATTTAAATGAAATCTAGACTACCTTGATGACATTGAATTTTCAACTTTAGGTCATTTGATTCAAGGACTTCTCCATCTGTATAAAAGTTAAACACGTGTAAAGACAGACTTGGATTCTGTAGGTTAAAAGGTGTTTCTATTGAGTTTGACATGTTGAAAAATGATACAATTCTGAACTTAACTCAAGATGCTGACATGTGTAAATCTTAAAGTATTGATATCTATTCATTATCTATTCACTATACATGTACTTTAATGTTTATGAAATACTGATAGGCTAGAATTCAAAATTGAGTACTTTTATAATTCTTTATATTGATATTTTAAAATTGTCTGTGTAGACTGTCAGATTGTCGAGCATTTCATTTTATTCAGTTTCCCTAAAATTTTTCGTTGAGTGGTGTTTTGTTTATGATCATATATAAAATTGTATAATATTGTTTAATTTAGGTTTAACATGTATAAGGAAAAGCAGAGTTCTGATTGTAAATTTTTGTGAGGTATACATTTGTATATACATGGTACATATAATCTAGAATATAAGCAGAAAATATAATAAATTGAATAGTTGTGTTGTGTTTATTGTCTATTATAGTTTCCATCAAGTCTGAAGATTTGATGATGCATATCTGAAGATTGGACATATGTGCCAACATCAATGGTACCCTTTGTATTCGATGCACTTCACTTCTTAAAGGAGAGATTCGTGTCCAGCTTATAACTAGACTCTGCATGAAGGGTAATCAATGGGCTTTCATATTCATACACAAGGTATGATCCAGACATGCTGATAAAAATGGTCTTATTATTTGTAAAAATGTACTTCCATCTGTAACTTGAATACAATTCATTAAAAGTGGAGTTTACTTATGTTGCAAGTTTACAATGCCGGTAACTATGGAAACGGGATACTAGATACTAGAGATACTGTGATGACATGATACAAGGGTGTTCAAAAAAACGCAACCCAAAGAAATTGCTATACATGTATCTTGAAAAATACTAGTTCAATTATGTTCATTTTTTCAGGAAAGTAAGAAGAGACTGTGTTTGTATGGCTCCTGTAGTTGGTTAGTTGTAAAACATGATGCATTGGACACCTGCTCAAAAGACAGTTGTACTAGGAAAATACGAAAAACCCACTCAGGGCTGACTGCAACCGCAAAAAAACTAAATAACTTCCCAGCCATAGCGTTTTGGCTCTTCAAATTTGGCACAAATCATCTTGATTCATTGTATGGTAAATCTGTAAAGTGAAATTAAAATCACTTCAGGGACTTTACAGTTATGATCAAAATGCTTTCAAATCTCAGTCAAACGCCCTGGTTCCAGCAGACTTCGGAAGGCATTTTGACCATGACTGTAAAGTCCCTGAAGTGATTTTGATGAAACTCCACAAATTCACCACACATTGAATGAGGATAAATTGTGCCAAATCTGAAGTGCCAAAACACTATGGTTAGAAAGTTGTTCGGTTTTATTGCTGTGGTAGTCACCTCTGACTGCATTTTTCATATTTTCCTAGAACAACTGTCTTTTGGGCAGGTGTCCTAGAAATCAGGTTTTACAACTTACTAACAACAGGAGCTATACATACACAATATCTTCTTTCTTTTCCTGAAAAAATTAACATAATTGAATTAGTATTTTCGAAGATAAATTGATTTTCCATTCACATTTTTCGTATTTTCCATATAAGACTGCCTTTTGAGCAGGTGTACAAGACATCATGTTTTACAACTAACTTACAACAGGAGCTATGCATACACAGTCTTTTCTTTCTTTCCTGAAAATATTGAACACAATTGGATAAAAATTTTCCAAGATATAGCGATTTCTTTGGGTTGCGTTTTTTTTTGAACACCCTGTACATCAGATTGAATAAAGGTGCCTTTGCTTCCAGAAAATTATTTCAGCTATACTAGTTGAGCGTAGACAACCTTTACACTATACAATATAGTAAATATACTTAAAAATACAGTACACATTAATACACTATACTTTACAATATACACAATGCAACTATACAGTAAATCCTGAGTGAACACCTATGGAGCCACAAAAATTTGTTCATTTTATAGGTGTTCACTACAGAGAGGTTATTTCAATTCAGGGGCACTTACACATATTTTGTAGAGTGATGAGGACAAAAATGTTTTGATCTTTTTATATCCCCGAGGGCACATTTCCAAATTAAATGTCAGTTTGTTATATCCTAGATCACAACCTATTTTCTTTAATTGTTTCTCCACTTCAATATCATCATGCTTTGTAAAATTGTAATCTAGGAATTTTAGGGAACACTTTAACCATGTTTTGAGAATGAAGAATATTTAAAACTTGGAAGGCATCAACTATTCCATGTCTTATTGGCCCCGATCATGTAAGATGAACATAATATGTCAATTTTATATATAAGGCATGTTTATTCAACAAATCATATTTCACAGTTAATTGTGAGTTTTTATGTAAAGGAAAAAACTGATGCAAATGATGCATACCGTAAGCCTAGAAACTAGCAACAAAATTTTACCAATCATAGAAAAAAATATATCCATCCAAAAATATTTGCACTATGCATGCAAAGTATAAAATGGCTTATACTAGTCTTAGTTGCTGATTCAAAGTTTTCAAAAACAGTAAAATCCAGGTTGTCTATAGCTGCCATGACAACAATGTTTTAATATTCCATAGCTTAATAAGGTAATTGGAGATTGTAGATATCTAATTTCACAAATCCAGAGCTAATATTGTGAAGGATACATAGTTTCTGTGCACACAATATGCTTGCAAAAATATATCCAATACAAAAAGTGCTTTCAGGAGTCTTGGGTTCTCTGTTTTATTTAGAACTATTGACTATAACATCAAGTCATTAATATCTGTTATTTCTAGCACCAGGAATTACAGCATTTGTGTGTAGGGGCCAGTCTGGATTCCCCCCTGAGGAGTAGATGCCCCTGAAGTAGTGAATGCATGGAATAGCTTGTGAGACCCCCAAAAGAGGGCTCTCTAGTTCATCAAACACAGCAAGCATGTTGGCCTCTGTCTTATCACCCCAGTTACAAGGAGATGGGAAGAAGCTTGTCGTGCATGCAGATACCTGAATAAAAATACAAACAAGTGATTGTAAATTATTTTGCTTCTATTACTGAACTTCTACTTATTTGGCGGATTTGCTGTTTTGAACATTTGGTGGCTACTTAATTTGGAGGACTTGCAATATTACAATGACCTTATGGTACTAATTTACATGGTACTAAAATTAAAACGGAATAAAAAAAGGAATAAAAAAGGAATATGTGTTTTAGATTGTAAACCTTTAATTTGAACTCTTTTTCCAAGTTAGTAAAGCTGTACTGTACTTACAATATATTTTCAATTATCACAATTATGTACCAAAAATCTATTTGTTACCTTATTTGTATAAACAGTCAGGTAGAAGGGTTTGCCATGTTGGAGTGCATATTCATAGTCCGCTATCTCTGCACGATTTGCTATCTCAGTTGATGTGACAAATGCCACCTATTAAATGTAACAAACATAATGTCATAATAACAACATTTAAATTAAAGAATTATTGCATCAAAAATCTAGTTATATTGAATTGATACTCAGTAACACACATATATCAGTGTATTGTATTGTATTGTATATTGTTTACCACCAATGAAGGTGAGCAATACCTCTTGGGTATATCCCGTATATATACGGTCGTAATTAACGTAGTTAGCCTGGAAGATAGACCCAGAAACCCCTCCTCAAAGGAGCCCTGTGTTCTTTTATGTGCACCCATACATAGACATACAAGTACACACCACAGTCTTTTGTACGAGCTGTGGACCACTCAGTCAAACACCCTGAAGTACTTTACGCAAACAAGCAAATTAAGTATTGCCTGAACCGGGGATCGAATCCGGGACCTATTGCGTAAGAGGTACCTGTGCTACCGCTGAGCTATACGGGTGTACATGTATCACAATCAATACTTGACAACTTGAAGATTGTTTCTATGAGTGTAAAGGTCTTCTATAGGTTATATACAGGAAAAATGTGGGGCACTATCTGTATAATTAATTTGACCAAAAACTAATGAAAATTGTATGTTTGAAAGATACTTTTGTTTAGTACCATAATAAATGGTACTAAAAGTACCATTTTAAATGGTCCAGTCTCAAAACTAACCTGTGCATCAACACTATCAAAGATATCAATCATATGACGTGTAACCTTCTGAAAAATTCCATTCCACAGGACTGAGTTATCTTGTGTTGTATCATCACAATTCCGACCCCAATGCCATCCAATAGAGTAGTGAACCTTCAGGATGCCAGATTGCTGGAGTTTTGCCGCCTCAGCGATCTCATTTAAACGTGACAGATAAACAACTGTTTCTTCATCCTCACATTTGATGCTTGCGAAGGCCTCATTGTTTACTGCTACACCATCAAACTTTTCAGACTGGTCTGTGATTTAATAAAAAGCATGGCTGGTTGATATAAATATGTACAGAATAAGAATAGAAATGAATTTTGAGGAAATATGAATACAGGCAAATAAAATTAAAGATTCTGGGACCTTTTACATGATTTCTTCTTCTGAGGGTATTTTCATACGATACGTTTCTTTATTAGGATTTAATGGCTTGGCAGGTAATGTCATATCCAAAACAATATATTTACTAGAAGATTTAAAACAAACTGAATAGTTTATTATCAAGGTTCACTTACTTTGTGCACAGTTGTCATTGTACCAGACTACATATGGTACAAAGTGTCTCTCAGATACATCAATGTTACTTGCAGAGAACAGTGCATATATCTCTAGGCCCTGTACATTAGTGTGACCTTGCTGAAGTACATCTCTAACAGCCTGAAGAGCAGTGTCCCCACAATTACCCTCAATATAAGCTCTCTCAAGGATATCCTTAAATCCTGACATATAGATGGAGCTGACTTCCCGCCCTGATCTGTTACAGGTGTCCCAAAGCCATTGTTTTCGGGTGGGTGTGTCCCAACTATGTGTAAAACAAGAACTTGTGTCTTTATCCCACCTCAGAAATTCCTCCTCATCGCATCCAGAGATTGTGACATCAAAGGATGTTGTCCAAACATACATGGAGTACTGCTTTCTCTGTGCAGATGCTGAATGTAAAATCACAAAGGATAGAAATAACTTAAGTGCTGCCATTGCTATTGTGGGCACAAAGTGTACATGTATAATATCGTAATTAAATATAGGTTGCATCTGTGTATTCCCACAAGCAGTCCATGGCTGGCTATTAATTTTTAACTTTCTTTTGATGTTAACTTAATCTAGTATCACGCTACTATATATATATACTGCACAATATCACGCACCACACCAACCATTCTTTCGACTATGGATCTGTTGTGGCATATGATAACTGTATGTATATAATACTGTAATATAGGGGTTGTCACACTGAATCAACATTTAATATAATTGTTAAATGAGTAGGCAAGGCCCAGGTGGAACAATTTTTAGAGGTATCAAAGGTGTTCCACTTCAACAAGTTTTACTGTAATCTGAACCTACTATAAAAAAAGATTCATCTTTAGTTTCATTTATGTTAAGATTGATGCCATTTATTCCTGCAATATCATCTAAATGTGAATTATTGAAGTTTATGGGTCTTTATTTGTTGAAAGGTAAATGTGCAAATTTATGTTCAGCTTAAGGTAAAGAAAAAACATACAGTAAAACCTGTGTACAGCGAACACATAGGGAACCACAAAAAGTGTTCACAGTAGATAGGTGTTCGAATAGAGGCAATTTCAGGGGAGTATGTGATGAGAAGGGGTGTTTACTAGAGAAATGTGTTCACCAGAGAAAGTTACTGAAATACTGACCTTTTAACTGTGCTTTGGCCATTGTGGCATATTGTTTCATACAACTGTGTTTATGGCACAGGTGGCATACTGACTACATCGCGTAATCTGTCTTTATGTCTTTTCTTCTTTAATTTTCTTTTCTGATTCTTTGTCAATTGTTTTTGTTCAAACTCAGAATTAACATGAACTATAACTGTTGACTCAGATTTGGTTTGTGTGGAGCATTTGGGATATCCTTGATCAGCATCATTTACATTTTCAACTGAGTCAGTATTGTTTACATTTGGTTTATTAATCAAATCTTCTTTATCAGGAATGTGTTTTGCTGATTCATATTTGTGTTCCTCAGAGTTAATTTTGTTATTTTTACGTTTCTTTTTATGTCTTTTTCTCTTAGGAGCTGTAAATGTTCCTGAAATGATACAAAACATTGTACAATACAAGATTTGAAAAAATCACCCATTGCTTACATTCACATTTGCAATTTGAATTCTTGTTTAATGAAATTTAAAATATATTGTTAAAACTATAGAATATACGTAAACATGTATGCAGGTGTTGAGCTAGAAAGAAGCTGGTCAAAATAGCCTTATGAACCAGTTGCCATGTTATTTTCCCAGTGAAAATTTCAACTGGCCTATTTGAAAAGAACCATGGCAATTACCAATTTAGACTGGGCCTTAGCTCAAACCCTGCATGATGTACATAACATATACATGAAAAACATATAATTAACCTTCATCACTTGATTCACTTTGTGTTGTTACATCAGGCACAATGTAGCCATCTGGTTTATCACTTGCACCATAACATTTATCATCTACTCCTGCAGGATTTGCATCTGTTCTGTATTCTGTTGTTTGGATGTTAGCTGTTATTGTCTCTTTTGGTTCTTCTGGATGATGCTCATCATCTTCAGCAGTTGGATATAGCCTTTTCAACAGGTTTCGTTTTAATACTGCAAGTATTTCAAGGACATTGAGACTGCAGTAGTGAAAAATCATACATTGACATTCCCTTAATCGATTGACATAATTTAATCAGTCAATATATGCCAAAAATACCAATATAAAGATGTCAATAACGAGATGTCACTGCTTTATTGAAGAGTTATTTGTTACAAACTACAAGACAGTATGACTCATGAGTCAAATTAGGAAGTGTGACAATCGAACCCAAAAAAGCAATCCTACATGTATATGTACGAGTACAAATGAAAAATATATCATATCCAATCCTGGTAAAGATCTAGATTAGGCATGTAAGCATGGACTTTCAATAGAATGCCCATGATATTAGGAATACCCTGCGTGCAGAGTCTAGTTTAACTACACTCTGCCTAGTAGAGACCATATTACAGTTTAGTAGCCCCCCCATAACGGGTACCGGTGACAGTTTGGGTAATAAATCACTTCTGACCTACGCACCGTCCACCAATCAGCGAGCTTGAAGAAACATACGCCAAGTGTGTTCTAATTAAATATGCGCATGTCATTGGTCAAGCCCGGACAATTTGAATCATGGGAGTGGCGTACTTCCCTTACTAAAAATAACCAAACAAAGTAAAAACCGAACCTCGCGCAGATTGCACCGCCTCAGGAGGTTTCGAAATAAACTTTGACTCAGTCATTCAAGTCTGCGTTTTGATTATTGTTTTTAGCCTTGATTGCCTCACAATCCAGTTAAATCGCACTATAACCTGGTGGTTTAGATGGTATTATCAATGATGTAAAAATTGAAAAAAGTAGAGTCTACAAAAAATCACAGAAAGTCAAATGCTTCTGTTTACTTCACAGGGGCTTGTCTCGAGGCGTCGGGCAAGCCCTCCGATGAATCTACTGCTTATAATAGTATTAAGGGTGGTCGGTTTTGATGCTACCTGAAATTTGTAGAAAATGATTGTTAGATATATCAAGTAAAAATATATGGAATCCTTTCAATAATCGACATGCTGATTCAAACAACACTAAAGAGTAAACTTACCTAAAATGGTAGCAATCCATCCACTTGTTGCTGAGAAATCTGAATAATTTGTTAAGAAGTGATTACACTGCAAGTACCGAATTTTTTTGCAGCCAAATTATTACCTCCAGAGTCGATTTCTTCCCCAAGACACGTCCACTGTTAAAAATTGGTAGTTCCTAGAGTTCTTTGTTTCCTTAAGTTCATTCCCGTATGTTATTTTTAACGAAGGACAGCCTATAACGACTGCTATACGCAAAAAGATGCATGAAATTAAGTTTCGAAACTGAAAGTTGAAAAATGGCGACTTTCCCGTGTTCTATGCGCATGCGCAGCGCATGCGCAAAAATGAAAGTACTTCATTCCCACAATTCAGAAGGATTCGAATTACTTTTCGGCGGTTGGATCGGTACCAAATGAAAGATTATTGCCAAGGAACGGAAAACATATTTCGAAAATGAGAGTAATTTGTTTTATCACTAAAGGAAAATATTCCCGCAATATTAGGTGCATCATGGGAATGGACTGGTGTGAAATAATGAACGCAAGTGACATCTATCTAGAAAAATATGTGGTCATTGCGCATGCGTTCATATAATATGAACTAATCAAATTGCTGGATTGAACGCAACTGCGCATGGAACACATTTTCAGTTTCGAAACATAATTTCATGCATCTATTTTGCGTATAGCAGTCGTTATAGGCTGTCCTTCGTTAAAAATAATATACGGAAATGAACCTAAGTAAACAAAGAACTCTAGGGACTACCGATTTTTAACAGTGGACGTGTCTTGAGGAAGAAATCGACTCTGGAGCTAACAATTTGAGGGTGAAAATTGTCGTGTTTTGCATTTTCAATTAAATTTAATCACTTCCTTACATGTTCTTCACACATCTCAGCAACTAGTGGATGGATTGCTACCATTTTAGGTAAGTTTACTCTATAGTGTTGTTTGAATCAGCATGTCGATTATTGAAAGGATTCCATATATTTTTACTTGATATATCTAACAATCATTTTCTACAAATTTCAGGTAGCATCAAAACCGACCACCCTTAATACTATTATAAGCAGTAGATTCATCGGAGGGCTTGCCCGACGCCTCGAGACAAGCCCCTGTGGTTTACTTACTCAAATTTCTGTCCATTACATTAAAACCCCCTTCCTTTGAATACACCTGGGTACGCTCTAGAATAACAAGACTCCCAAACAAAGACTTGTTCGCTGAAACAGTGGTTAACAGCAAAGTAAATGTCCAAAAAGTATCGGAGCAACAGTTTACAACTCTACTTCTTTTCCGCCATTTTGAACGCAAAAAGTCACGTGATAAGTGAGGACGACATCTATAGATATTCATAGGATTAATTTGGTATAAACACAGATGAAGATGCTAACAACTGTAAATAGATTAGTACTGGTCTGTGCTGACCACTCTGATATTCAACATATTAATCATGTTTTTGTCTATTTGGCAGCTGGTAACACACTTTAATATAATGAAACTCAAATTTTATACAAACTAATCCTGAGATGTTAGTCTCAAGATTACATGTATAATCTTAGAAAACATTTCATAGCTGGAGATGTTCTTCATCTGAGAGAAAAGTAGTGGTTGCATAGGCTAGCTAGTCACTGCATATTTACACGTCAGGCACATGTGATATCATCAATCCTATAATTCAGGATCTCCAGTCAGTATCATCAAACCTATACCACAAAATATCTGTAGGATAAGTTACTTAGCCCACTGATGGATCTGGGGGGGGGGGGGGGTTAGTTCAACTATAGTTTGATTTGAAGGGAGGCAGTTGGTTAAACTCAATATTGTTGTCCCGGAAGTTTCAACGCAGACTCAACACTAGATGATTTGTAAGCGTCTTACTAAATGTTCATTTTAAAGGCCTTTAAATAAGATCAACTCCTACCATAAGATAAGAGCAGGAAACTGGCTGTAAAATTTCAAAGAAGGCTTAATATTTTGCATGGGATTTTCAAATAATGAGATACAAAGTACCTGACTGTAATATATTGCAAAGTTTGATGTAATCTAAAAATAAATACCGTTTCTTCACAATATCTCAGTACTTTGCAAACCACTTATTCAGGATAATGCAAAATCAGTTTTTTTTGCGGTTATATTTCTGCAAGAGACTAGTTTTGGTCTCACAATTCAATAAAGAACGATACAAAATTCAAGAATCTAAGCTTATAATAAATATGTTTATTTCTTATTTGACAAAGCTAATTTTGACAAATTCAGTGTTCATATCTTACATTCTTTTAAATACATTATTCATACATTTTCACACAGTCGGTCACACCACATGCTATTATATTCATTTGCATTTTATAAATATTTAATAATAACTCTAAAAAGAATTCAATTCAAGACTAGAAATTATAGATGAATGGTTCTACAAACGTACCTGGAAATAAGGTTCAATGACCCCAATTACTTATTCCATTGAGATATCCTGGTACAAAATAATTTATCAATGAAAGAACAATGTACTGAATAACAGCACTGAAAAATTTAATTCATTTGGCTATTAATATGATTTAAATCCTACATTTCACATATTAAAAGAGTGCTGTTCTTCAGGAGCTTTTACTTACAGTCAGAGTTAGCCTGACATATCGAAACAATATTAATCAATTGGTCTCTATTACGATCAACATTGTAAGAAAGATTATTTTGCTCTTTGAATAAACCTCAGTATTTTGTATATACACTGGGGAAGATTCAAGGCAACTCCAACCATCAAAAGGGATGGCTATCATGGTGGTAGATATGATCTAAAATTTTGAGAGGCAAAAATTAAATAGGCGAGGCAAATTAAGCTTAAGGCGAGGCAAATTAAGCTAAGGAGGTCAAATCGCTATGACGAAAATAAAGAATTCTCTTTCAGTTTAGCAGTTGCCTCCCCTGCCTCAAATGCCTGGCTATATATGGTTATAATCCTTTGGCAATGCTGATAATCATGAAGCAGAAAACCAATATAGAAGTTCACCCGGTGAAGGAAAACAAAAGGAACATGACAACTTTTCAGAAGAAAGATATTCTAAATGTAAATTTTGAAATATCCTCCATCTCTCTACAAATGTGATTTTCGACTAACACATCAGTCACAATATTTCTGTTCATTTCACAGGGTGAATTGTGTAACATAGTTTGTATCATCATAGTACTATTAAGTTATAAATGAAAGAGCAAGAAGCTAACAGATTCACAAAAGACTACCTACCATTCACTCAAGTCATATTATAGTACACAAAACAACATACACATATATCAATGAAGTGGATGCCAGCCTATTTTCAAAATCTCCAACCGTAACTGCCTACTGATAGATAGGCCCTTGAAAATAATCACAAATAATTGCTGCTTAAAACAACAATTTTAAACAGGCCAACAGCATAAATAATACAATACATTTAAGTATCAATTTTGATGCAGCTTAAAGCAGTATTAATAATTAATAATTTACATCTACAAGTGCATTACCAAATGAATCAGTCAGGTGACAAAAACCTGTTTTAAATTGATTTTCTAGAAAATTCTGCAATAAATCTTTTCCTTTTAATAAAGGTTATACATTTTGAAGATTATACAATAAATGAGACAAGAAAAAAGCTGCAACCTGCGAGTGTGACAATGTCCCACATCTTTCAGTACAAATTGCACATCTTTTACAAAATAGTGCAATTTGCCACATCTTTTACACTACCTTAGAAAAAAGTCAATTTTCTCTGGTGTCAGAAATATTGAATAAGTCTCTTTGAATAAGTCTCTTTTAGCAATGTCTACACTTTTTATACAACAAAGTCTTCCTTTAAATAATAAGTATAAACATGGGCTCTACCACCGATGAAATGGAGTTATATGGAATAACCATAAAAGTCATTTGAAAATTCAAATAAGCCAAGTTGGACTGATAAAAAGCCCACCTGGAGTCTTCAATAAAAATTAAGCCACCTCTGTACAAATAGGTGATTTTGACTAATCAAATCAATTCAAAATGTCATGTTAATTTGTCATACACTGCACCACAAGAATGTTCTAAATGATTGCAAAAATACTACATGGTGTGTACAATAATATGTGCATAATATATTTTTTTTACAAAAATGAATGACAAAATTGTACAACCCAAACTCTAAAAATTAAGTCTTGAAAATTGATTTTTAAATAAATTCAGTCTTATTTATCTATCGAAATAGTTGAATTAAGTTAGGTTGAATAAGAATAATTTAAATAAAAATCATTCATTAAGTAAACACAAGGTGAAATATATACAGGAAAACTTTTCGCCATGAACACCTTTTTGAAGCTACTTGGAGAAAAAAAAAGAAAAATGTTCAAAATGAATTCATCACTTGTATTCTCCAAGACACCTTGTTTTTATCAATGAAAATCAGTCAACAATCAACTCCCCCTCTCATTCCTCCTATGTAGTACAAGTAGGAAGATAGAGGGATCAGCATTTTAAAGTCCTCTCTGAGATGGTCACTATTACAAACTTCACTGTTTATGTTCACATTGATGCCTCCACTTCAAATGTCATCATTTCTATCATATCATATGATAACAATATAAGACAGAGACTTCATATACATTTGATAGCGTATAGTCGCTGTCTTTGTCCAGCAAAGATATTGTGTGCCTTATAATCGCAGTCTCTGCATAGTAGCACATCATAAAATAAAGCGATTTCTAGTTCATACGTTAATCAAATTTTACTGCTTGTAGATTACTACCTAATGTATTCTTGTATTAATCTCACCCGCAGGCACGGTTTTCTCATTGTTTTTTTCTTTCTAGCTTCCAGTTATGTGTTCATCCATCGAGTTAATTATTGGACTACTCCACTGTATTGTACTGTAAGCAGTACATTATCTACCAATCTACTGCACCTGGGTATTATATTATTGCCATGCACGCCTTATTCTTCGACAGTTCGCGCCTCTCTTCATCAACTGTACATAAATACTATTTACACTCTACATGTACACGAGTGGTCTGTATTTGACACTATATACAATAGATATCAGTTAGAACTGGAGTTGGTTTCATATGTGGTTAAAAGGGCTGCATCGACAGGCTCTAAACATGATGGACACGTGAAAGATCTCATAAGCCAATCATCTATGCAGTCTTTGTGGTATGTATGCATACATGGCAAAAACCTCACCGAATCTCCTATTGCAAACTCACCCATACATATCACACATCTGAAAGGAAAAATAGTTATAATTTAACAGACAGTTATGTTGTGACTAAACTATACAATCTTTCAATTAATCTCAAAAACAATTTATGGGACATTTTTCATATCTTTTGAGCCCAGAATTTGATGAATTTGAGCCTCATTCTATTGATTTGATAACCTTTAAAGTACATGTACATGCATGTGACATTCAAGTCAAACAAATACAGCAAACAACCATTTTCAAATGAATAATAGATTTTACATCCTGGTTGAATATTGTGTGATATAAATGATATTTCAGTATTTGTGATAAATGTTCACTGCCTTGATGAGGATTTTTGTAATGGCAGATCTAACCAATCTTATTTTTAAGTGTTAAGTATCAGGAATTAATGAAGAGAATAAGGGGGTGGGGGATTAGTCTGATGATCAAAATACAACTCTTTCACCACCTATAACATTTATATCCCTATCTTTTTAAAGAAACTTTATACTCATTCCCTGCCATGCTTTACCCAAATAATCTGAAAGGTTCCAAATTATCTCATAGATATTCATGATTGTAATCTTTATTCATATTCATTTTTCATTAATTAATTAATGGATGAATCATACCTAAACTTGAGTTTTTATATGACAATCGGAACATGTAAGAACCGAAACACCCTATTTATCAAACTCAATGGTCCAGAAGTTAAATGCAATCAGGGGACCATCAGTCAATGAATATCAATGTACAGTTAAACATGGTCTTAGTGAACACCTCTCTCTAGTGGACACCCTTCCCCCGCACATATTCTACTGACTTCTGTATAAATCACCCAACACTGAACGTTTTTTCTTGGCAAAAATTGTTCAATATACACAGGTTCTACTGTACATGTGCTTACAAAGCAGTTACACATTGTGCAGTTACACATTGTGCAGATGATTACAAAGCAGTTGTACATATTGTGCCAATGATTACAAAGCAGTTACACATTTATTGAAGATCAGTGATAATGTGCCTATATTTTCACCAGATTGACTGTTCATGAGAGATGACACTCTATGAATCCTGCCTGTTGTAACCCATTGTCAGTTAAAGCAACTATCAGGCCACTGAACTATCACTAGCATCATTGATTTCTACTAAACTTGTGTGCTTCGTGAATTAGAGTAAGATATAGCAAAATAGCATTCAATTTCCTCTTGATGACGTTGTTTGATCATCAAACATCTACCCACTATAATCCGATTCAATGATGCCTAATTCTGTATTTAGGTTTATAGCCCTACTGGAGAGGCAATATCTGTTAATGGGGACAATGAGGGTACCATGTGATGTTTAAACATTAATCATCATGTTCATTATTTAACTATAAACTGTCAGATTTTGATTCTTACACTTATCATTTTTTAGTAAATTCAAACATACTGCATGATATTTAGCACTTGTAAGTTGTATGTATATACATGAACATGGACATATTAACTATGAACTTACAGAGTTAGAAAAATACTTTCTCCCTTTAAAACAGTTGTTATGGGGAATCCCTATGATACCAAATAACACCCATCATGCATCGTTAAATTTCTAGTACTAGTTGAACTATTCTAATTTACAAACGAGGTATTAACATGAAAAATGTCAACACCTGCCATTTGTTACAGACAACGACTGCCAAATGCCGAACCCCATCCACAATAAAGTTAAAGAATATAATGATATACCTTGCGGTGGTGACATAAAAAACAATCAAAATCTGATAATATGACATAAGAACAGACTTTCGATTGTAATTCACTTATTGCCATGAAAACTTCATATTGTAATATGCAACCTCTAGGCATCTATATTATATAATAAACATGTTACATGAACTTACTCAAAAGAATGAATGATTTATATGGTTTAGATCCTAAATATCAATTGGGAAATTAATTTGAATTATTAATTCTACAGTTTCTTAATTGCCTAAAACCATTCCATTGACTTCAGAGAAATATGAGTGTCTATATCGAAGTTCCTCGCATACATCAGTCAGCTTACTGAAACCACTATCAATAATAGCAAATTTATGACAGTCAAATTATTAAGCATCAGTCCAATTTAAAATGATATCTGAGCCTTCAAATGTTGTCTCATAAGGAGCCATAATTCTATTAAAGACATGATTTTATATATGAATGAGTTGCATGATAATTTCAATTTGCAATATTTTCAGATAATTCCTGCATATTATATTGATACCATAGAATGTAGAATATGTGTATTGATCCAAAATATAATTCTATATCTGAGGTGAGTGGGGTATATTATATCCTGGTGTATCTCCCACTCAGCAATCCCCAGGAATTTTGTTCAGTGGATTTTTATTTAGTTTTGTATTTTATTATAGGATAAATCTGATTATTTAACATATATTGATAACATCAGACTCGAATCACTAATATAAGAATGGGCGAACATAAACCAGATAAAGGCACTGAAAACCTTGTAAGCATCAAAAAGAGCTTTATTTGATGGGATAACAAATTATACAATGCTATTCTACGAAAACAAAAAACCTACAATTTTCATTTTTGTTTTGTGCCTTCAAATAATAAATTTAACTTACTCTCTGACTTTTTTACTGCCATCAAATATTCCTGTGGGTAAGTGGTTGATGAGCCCTAGTCTTTGTGCTATTTTAATTTGTTCTTCCTCTGTCAGCTGATTAGCTGGCCTACTTACATTAGGCGTGGGGTGATACACAGGGACTGTCTCCTATAAAACATGTTAAAATTACTTAAAATCACCCGCTATGGCTCAGTGGCAGAGAGAGTCAAGGTTACCAATATCGCTTGGCCCCGGGTTCGATTCCCGGTTCAGACAAGTTTGTTTGTGCGTTATGTAATTCTGGGTGTTTGACTGAGTGGTTCACAACTCGAATAAAAGGCTGTGGTGTGTACCTGTATGTCTGTGTACCTGTGCACATAAAAGAAAACAGGGCTCCTCCAAGGAGGGGTTTCTGGCTCTATCTTCGAGTGTAAAATACGTAAAATACGGAATATATCAATGAGGTATTGCTCGCCAAATATGGCGGTAACCAAGATATAATAATAAAACATAGAAATTTCAAACTGTATAATTGGCTGTTCTTCCTGGTACACAGGGAAGTTTCATGTACATATATTACATTTTATCAAATTATTGGTGTGAACAAAACAAGACTTCCTATTAGTTGCTAAACCAAAATTTCAGTGTGATAATGACAATAACCATTTCAGTTGATTTGCAACATGCTACATGACGCAATGAACAGTTTATCTGATCTATGTATTGATACAACTTCATTATTTGAAACAATGGTTTTTCATTGAGGTTAATTCTAAAGTGGTTCTCAGTTTGCCTTGAAACTTTATTTAGGATGACTTGCATAAAAAATCTTCGTAGCAATCCCCAAAACCTTATCGGGACTGCCCCAGCACTTGCATCCCTCAAGTTATTTAACCTGAGTCCTCTAAAATATGCTATGATTGGCCAGTTTAACCATTCCTAGTCAACTTCACTAAATGGTACAAGATTGGGAGATGTTACTCAAGTCTCTAGCCAATACTTGGCTAGAGGGGATTTCATCTGGAATACTGTGAACTCTATTTGAAAAAAGCTGGCCGTGGTGTCATTAATTTATTGAATATTTTAAAAATTGCCAGATAAATAAATCATTAACCAAACCGGACCCAGCCCGGCTCCTTGATGAGATATGACATGATTTCATCAGGATTTCGTCTAAAATTAAAAAAAATGGCTCCGAGAAAATGGCGATGTTCGAAAACTGGACGAAATGTCGTTAACGTCTGACATTAGTTACTGGCTGTAAATTCTAAGTTAGCGATCCAGAAGATGTGAACTAATACACTGATCACTTTATGTGTGTTTTGGAATTTTTGGTGAGGTAATAAGACCAAAACTCGCAATTCAAATTGTGATGTGGAAAAATGGCGGACATATGATTTCAAATTTTATGATTACGACATGACCAGTTGTTCATGCAGGAATATATCTGTACTGGAAGGCCACGATACAGTGGCCTTAGAAGAAGGTAAGGGAGATGAACCACATGGATGAAACCTTTATCTATCAATGTTTTACCAAAAAAGTATTACTGGGACGTATAAAGAATGTGTCCGAGTCTTTGCAATTATAGATACATTAAGGTAGATTAATACCACGTTCAATGTGCTTCATGTAAAGAAGCGATGCACAATAAACAAACAGACATGTGCTAAACAAATAAACAGACAGTCTGCATCGTGTCACTTATGTCACCAAGTACATCCTAAATCAAAACCTAGTTTTGAAAGGTGATTGGGTGATAAATATTCTATAATGGGTACAGGGATACAATAGTACAAATAATACATCATCATAAAACAACAAAGCCTGAACTCATGAGTACTTTGTACTTGTAAAAAATATTTTGATAAAAACAACAAAGGAAATCAATGAAGATCACAGTTATTCATCATTCTTCAGTTTCTATACATTTTGATGGACAATATTATCTTAAATACCTAGAATCAAAGTTATATATGACTATTCTAAATTGATTATGTTATGTCATCATCAGCTGAGACTCCCAAAGAAAGGTCATCTGACAAACCTGGTATGGTGGAGGGGGTCCAAGTCCCGAGCTATCTGGAGGTTCGCTGTGCCCTTCATTTCCCCTCAAAAGAGATATATCATCGTTCGTAGGGCTCTTCAGACAGTTACCCATCTTTTTGATTTAAATAATTGTCTTTAATAAGCAGCTAAAGCAATGAATAATCCAGTTCAAAATGTCCACAAAATGCACTGCGATGACACAAAATAAAAACAGAAGCCTAACAACACTTATTAAAAATACTACGCGTCATCAAATTATCCCAAATGTTTACATAATTTCATCAATACATCTTTTTTGAATATGAATAATTCATTTTTATATTACTTTGATTTATAGTTGCACATTGAAAACAGCAAAATACCTTCTGAATAATATACTACTCGATTTATGTTTTAGCGGAGTAATATGAACTTTATAAACAGTCTGGTACTACTTTTTCAAAACACAAATTTTTAAATTCTACACAATTCTTTTAGTTTTTACTGATTTGCATCCCCAAACATGGTCAAAAGTAAGTAAAATTTATAAGAGTTGATAAATTAAGAACCCAGTAAAAGAATATTTACTCGTATAATGTCAATATTTTTCGGTATTCTTCTTTAGAGTATTAAATCACCTATTATCGCCCGCAATTTTAATTTAAAAATTTCTCCATCTAAAATGTCACTCGACTTTTTGGCAATTAAAAGTCCCTGCCTGCATTTCGTAGTCATATATTGTCATGTGCATAATTTTGAAACCATATCCTAATTATTTCACAAACCCTTTGTTGATTCTGCCATAGTTTCCAATTTATAAACAGCATTTAGCCTTTTTAATTGGGAACATTTTTGAAATTTCCAAAATGGCTGCCATGTGATTCCAGAATTAACATGAGTGTGGCGTGACATCACAGTTGCTCGTTCCTAGGTAACAACAAGATCACAATTGCTCGTTTCTAGATAGCAACAAGATTTTTGATAAAATGGCACAGAATTACCCTGATTAACACCCTTAAAATCCGATTTTCAAAGAATATATTTGGAGAAACAATAAAAGGTAAGTGGAATAAAATAGAAGATGGTTTCAAGTTACCACAGAAGTCAATTTGAAACTCAAGAATGCTTTCTTTGACTCATAATCACAAAAAAGTCGAGTGACATTTTAGATGGAGAATTTCTTAGAATTTTTTTTATCGAAATAAGATCTCTATACAGATCAAGGAGGATTGGTAACCATTATTCAACCTCGATATTCTATTGCATGGTGTGGAACAATTTAGTAAGGATATTTGTAATAGGTTCTCTTTCGACCAAGTATTTCATTGGAAGATGGACATTACGAATATTATGGTATATAGAGTCCATTTCACTGTTTAACTGCGTCAGTAAAAGCTAAAAAATAAGAAATCAAAATATCATTTTGCAATAATATATGGAAAAATATATTCCTATTGTACATGAATGACATTTGTATATCTTGGATTGCTTCTACTTTGGCTTATAAAGTGTGTGGCCTCTTATATTTGGATGCTTCTCTGCCATGTTATTTTCAATAAGATTAACATGGCTGAAATTCTTCAAATTACAAGACGGCACAGGCTTATTGCACAAAAAACTAAAAAATCTGAAATATACAAATGTCATTCATGTACATTATGAATATACTTTTCCATATATTATTGCACAATGGTCTCCCAATTTCTTATTTTTGCCGTTCTACTGACGCACTGAAGCAGTGAAATGGACTCTAGTCAAAACAGTAATGTTTGTGAGTACTAGATACAGTACTAGATACATTGGTTTCACCAAGTGATAACATAGTACAAAGTGAAACCAATGTATCTAGTGACCAAAGGCAGCATAAAAGTGCCATCGTGTTAAGTACACTAACACGTAAATTGGATAAAGAAGAAGAAGTACTTTGAATTTAAAAAATAAGCAACTTGGTTGATAATTATCCTGAGCATGCATACAGGCTGATGAGTATCGCTTCAAAACAAAAAATGTGTAGCGAGCATTACTTCATCTCTTATAAAAAATCCAAATTTTCACAATCTTTTGCTTAATATTGTTAAGCTTGACATTGACATGCATAATCATACTTTTGAAGAAGAAAATACAAGTCTAGTTGTCCCCTGAATGGGACATGGGTTTTCAAAAAGTAGTTCATCTTCAATTATCATGTAAATATTTGTTTCTTTGAATGTTTAACATCACAGCACATAGCATGGATTTCACTAGAATTGGAGTGGTAACCTAACTAAATTACATAAAACTTTTACAAACGCATGGACACGCCTAACCATCGACAAGGTACAGTCACGTGACGGTGACAAAATATGCCGTAGTACACTTTTTATGTACTATGTCACTATTAACTGATTTTGAGTGAAGACTATGATGTAGGTTTGATGCAGGTTTTCAAAAATAAATTTTAGGACTACACAAAGGATTTTATGTCTGATTTCGCGTGCATTCGATTTCAAAGACATTTATTTTTCTAATAACGTTAAAAGATCTTCGAGCAGTGCTCGATTTTTTTCGTTGTTAGTCTACCCATACGATTCTTCGGTTTGAAAAATGTTGTTTTTTACACATTTCCTTTGATAATTTTCTCCCCTGACGTCTCAGAGAGTCGAATATTTTTATGAGAATGTGTTTCTCTAAACTACACAGTTTAGGACAGGTGAACATTTAATAAACATTCATGCATTTGATATAATTTAAAAAATCAGAAATGTACGTTGTCAACTCACAGTGTATGTTGTCCCTGTAATTGAAATACATGAGTTATAATATTAAACATTGCAATGATTTAATTTCAAGATGCATTAAGGGTTTTATGCGTTACAAGTGATGTTCAACGAACATGCTCCTGTATCCCTAGTACAGATAAACAGGTAAAAGTGATTTTTTCGTTGAATGCTATTTTATTTTATGAAAGTATTAATATGGTGATTAATATGTGACCATGGCGTGTTTTCTTCCGACCTCTTTGACCACTCGACATCGGTACGTTACGTTATGTTTAGTTGCACTTTTATGAATTTTAATAATCTTAAGGAGTTCATGGAGAGATCTTTAATAGCTAATCCAAGATGACTTTATGCTACAGGGTGTCCCGAAATTATGGGCCCCCTAGGCAGACATATACCAATGTCTCCATGTATGTGTCGTATATCATTTTAAAGCTCATCCAAAGTTACATTAATTTGCCGAGTATCATGGTTCAACTCACAAATGGAAAAAGTTACAGGAATTTCAAAAGTTAGTGTTTGGACAAAATTAAAGTCAGTTTTACACCAAAACAATAGTCTGTGTGTCTCCTTAGCCGCCGTGTTAACAGCAGCAATACTTTCCATATATGACCTTAAACTGGCTTCAAATAGGGATATGGCGTTTTGTAATCCTCATAAAACCTTTTTAAGGCATAAGAAGAGTTTCCTTGGAGTATCTACCCTAAACGTCATCTTTTTAGAACTCGATATCCATATATTATCTTCGAGATTTTATAGCATCCATATTTTCTGTCACATTCAGGTCAGGGCTGTTTCCTGGATACTGAAATGAACTTTTTGGCAAAACGCTAATTTTTGAAATGCCTGTTACTTTTTACCATTTGAACCATCATATTTGGCAAATCAATGTAACTTTGGATAAGCTTAAATATGATATATGACACATACTATGGAGAAATTGGTATATGTCTGCCTAGGGGGGAAAGTGCAGAAGTTCAAAAGCCAGGGTTATGGAATACTAAAAAATTATTAGTAACATTGAAATTTAATCATATCAATGACAATTTTATGGATTAACGGACAAAATATTAGAGTAAATTTTTCGATATGCCAGCCCTATTATTATAATAAATTATTACTTTATTATCAAATATGTTCCTTCTATTACACGTACATTGTAGCATTCCATTCACTGTAAAATTAACTGTGAATTGAGATCTGTAAGGCCAATGTGACAACATACATTCGTGTTGACAACATACATTATCTATTTTTCGTAGTAGCATCCAAAGTAAAAAGCGGTTTTGCATTAACTCTGTATGTATATTTGTATACTTATCTTAAGTTGTGTTAGTCGTAGTTTGGCTGTTATTTGCATAGCAAAACAAAAATTAGAGAGAATTTTGCGAAATTCAGTCAAGATTTAGAGATCCCTGACGTACTGGGTAGATCTATAACAAGATATTGAAGTTGCTGAGGATCATTTGAAGTAGATATGCATATTTGCAACTTAATTACAAATCGAATGCAACAACTGCCTGATGATGAACTGACACAATATTGATCAAATCAATGCTAGTTCTTACCTCGCTTTCTCATTCTAGAAAATGGCGATCTAAAATGGCGGAAATGACATAGTACATCAAAAGTGTACTACGGCATATTTTGTCACTGTCACGTGACTGTACCTTGTCGATGGTTAGGCGTGATGGAGCAAATTAAACAGATTCAAAAGTTGCTTACCTTTTAATCCCTACACTTAACCCTTAGGTGACATATATTAAACATGTTTATTTTTTTCAGTCACAGAGACCCTTGTTAGACAACGCTCAGAGCATAACAACTTGGAGATTTCTACGTTGGAAGAATTATCTCTACATCAACAAGATATTGAAAAGTAAGCGAAATTCTGAAGCTAGTTTAGAAAATGTTCAATTTTGAAGAATTAGACTGATATCTGCCTGCTTAACTTGCAGGATAATTATCAAAGACTCTGACTAACAGCCTATTAATTCATTTTCTCACTAATTTTCACTTGTTAATTTAAAATACTGTACGTATTGTTATACATGTTTTTATTTAATATTCTTTAGGATTGAGTACCTTGATAAATGGTGCAGAGATCTAAAAATATTATATCTACAGAGCAACCTTATTCCTAAGATAGGTAAGTCAAATTCAGTTTTCAGTTGATGACTCAGTTAAAAAAATTTCAGTGCAAAAATGTTTATAATTTCTTTTAAGCTAGACAAGCACATTTTTTACTAAATATGACTTTTATCATGGCAAGTAAATATTTTCTCATGATTAAGATATTTTCTGTTCCATGAAGACACTCAGATGATCTACTTCATAACATCTCAAACCATTCCTCAGTTTTTTGTTATTCTATTATTTTAGAAGGTATGAGGAACATGTATATAGTGTAATTGTTTCTTTCAGAAAATGTCAGCAGATTGAAGAAACTTGAATACTTAAACTTAGCACTGAACAATATTGAAGTAATAGAAAACCTAGAAGGTGAGATTTACTTGTAGAGTAACGTAATTAAAGGTTCTCTTTTATCATGAAAAATAGGTTTGCGTTCATGTTATAAACTATCGTGTCAAAAACAGTGGCTATTATAGAGAACCAACCTGAATACAAAGGTCCATTGTGAATAAAAAAAACTGCAAAATATAGTAGTACAGGAAAATTACCAGGAGTACACTAAAACAAGTTCTGAATTAACTACTTGCACCTTCTTCAATTATAAAAGTCATTTAACTCTATTGCTACACAAGAGATTTATTTCAAGCTTCAATAATTAGCCCTTTAAACTATTTAATTAAGTTTGTCCATGTCGTCATAAGTTAATTTGAGACAACTTGTGCACTGCACAGTGATCTTAAGGCCCCCTCACATATGAATGAATCCACTAAACACCGTCTTGCGAATTGGATAAATTGTCAATTCTGGTGATTGGGAATTTAAACATGCGAACCGAAGCACATCTTTGCGCATACTTCCAAATCCATTTAAAGCTTTGCGAAGGGTTACTTACACATACAAACACCCCAACAATGGAATGGGAATGAATTTTGCTGAAGTCGCATTCCCAAGACTGCATTTAGTAGATTCATTCATATGTGAGGGGGGCTTAAAATTCCTGATTTTATGTATTTTCAGGATGTGAATCTCTAAAGAAGCTTGATCTTACAGTGAACTTTGTTGGAGAAATAACTAGTGTTGGATGTTTGAAGAACCTTGTACATTTTGAAGAGTTGTAAGTCACTAATCCTATGTACAGCGTGTTTCATATGTATGCATCCCCATAAACTCATACATGTCATTTTTGGACTCAGTCGGGTGATCTGTTCACTTTGTCTTATACCCATTTTTGTGATAGAGGTCACACCAGGGTCCCTAACCTCCCTATAAGCCACTGCACGAAACCCACTTATATATCTTTGTGCATAACTATCACACTCACACTGAACTCTTGCATGATGACAACTGCTAGAAATGTGCAATACAGAATTTAAATTTTTCCTTAAAATTGCTCTCGAAATGACCAGAAATTCCCTTTGAAATGACCTGTACCAACATACTTTTAAACATTGTATCTTTTTCCAGGGGCAACACTGGATTCTGAAACGTTGCAATCATATGTAAGCAACAAAATGATATATAATATGAAAGGGTGGAAATGCTACAAGTATGAGTTCATGGGAGTTTCATACATATGAAACACCCTGTATACTGTGTGAAGGCCCTCTGTAATTGTAGCTCAGTTTTCTTAAAAAGAAAAGGGATAGAGAGCGAAACATTTGGGAAGGAATGTTTTAAAAAGCATGTCAATTTTTCCCTAACTTGCAGTCCTAATTTTATTTTCTGAAAAAATAATTGAGATATCTAATGAAATATATTAAGATCCATTCCTTCTACACTTTTTGACAGATACTATCTTACAAATTGAAGGATTATCCTGAAACTAAGTTAGAATTGCTCAGATTTTAAAAAATAGTTTGATATGAAATTTTGAGAGCAAAAAATATTGTAAAACTTACTCTTAATGTACAATTTCTTGTTCATTTTAATTCACTGGGTTCAATGAATATTTGCTAATACCTTCATTAGTTGAATGGTAAAAGTTTTTTTGTCAACAATTATTAATGTTACATTAGGTACCTGGTTGGGAACCCCTGTACAGAGTATGAAGGCTACAGAGAATATATAATTGCAACACTCCCACATTTAAAGGTAAATGGACTACTACTGTACTGTACTGTTAAATAATGAGATCATCTTAATTTTACATGTTATTTATATAATGAACACCATGGTAGTGATTTTCAATTATTGAGATTGCTACCATTTTGGGCAAATTGTCTCAAAATGTGCAACTCCTTCATGAAGTGTAACACAAAGTCGAAACACTGCAGCACCTACATATTTCATATTGTGAGATGTTTATTTCTCTTTTTCAGAAGTTAGATGGTATTGTGGTAGAAAAATCAGAGAGAATTTCAGCAATTCAGGTAAACTTTGTTCTCTTTTGTATTGAATATTTTGGGACATTGTTTGGCATTCCTTTTGAAGAGCAGTTATTTTGATTTAATGATTTAACAATTTATTCTGTAGAACAATAAATCCAGTATCAGATAATTCATTGTTGTTATATCATACCTAGAAGTTTTTCCTCAAATGGGTGCAGAATTAATATGAATTATCATTATCACAATTCTGTATTGGCGATATTTGTAGGCCTATTTGAACACATACTCAATTTGAAGTAGGTGCAAATGGGATTTTTGCTTATTGTTAAAATTGTGGGTGCAGCGCCAGCTTGCTTCAAGCTTGGGGCTATTAAGGATTTTTTCTTCATTTTCCATTCATGCAATTATTTATTTTTTCCAGGAATTTTACAGAATAGAGCATGGAATTCGAGAGCAGCAAAATGAACATCGGAAAAAGAGAGTAAGTTTCAGAATATGTTTTAGATAATACACATGCATGTACTGTAAAACATTTTGAATTCGCACACTTTTCTTGTGCTCTAAATTCCTAGCAAATGATGAGGATTTCAGAATTTTGCCCATTGTTGTAAATGGTATAGAGTATTACGCATTTAAAATTCTTGAATTTAACCATTTGTTCTGTGAATTCAACATGTTATTGTCTTGGATAGTTAATGCTCTTAAAGTCTATTTCAACAATATCATTTTTATTTCCAACCTCTTATTTAGAGATGCACTTTTCTGATATATTGTTATACCTTCTTTGCTATCATTCAACTGTTTGTACATTTATGTGCATCTTATATTCTGCTTGTATTTGGATTCTGGACATAAATGTTACATTCATATGTGTCCTTCATATTAGTCGTGATCTGAGTGACTCACTATTTCCTTAAGAGTTTCTACAACAACAATAATTAGGTCCACAAGCTGTATTGGTACAATGGTTATATCTGTAGACCTGCAGACCAAGTTTCTCTATTCCTTGTCCATGGGGAAACCTGGGTCTGTTTTGATACACATGGAGAGCATTGAAACAGGACATTCTGAAATTGAAAAATACAAGCATTAATATGTAACTATTTATACACACTTTAACACTTCAGAAATAAAACATAATCCCTATCAGGTTCTAGCGAACCAAAAATTGGCCAAAAATTCAATGAATCAAATGCAGTCAAAGATAATTATTTAAAACAATTGAGCATTAAATTAATTTAAAAAGCTTGGAAGAAATCTGATTTGAGGATTTGTAATAATTATATTTGGCTAACACAGTGAGCCTATGGGATCGACCAGGCGTCCGTCCCTCCGTCAACATTGGCCGCACAAATTAAAACTGCTATTCGGATTGCATCATATCCACATTCATTTTATGCATATCCATAATGCCTATTTGACCTATCATCCCCATTTCCCAAGTTCGCCCGGTTTCCGAGAAATTGCGGATTTTGATGTCAAAAAGTCAAATTTTCTTTAAATACTAGACACTTTGTTGAAGTAGAACTTTCAAATAACTTTTAGTAGTGCTGTATATGCAACTTATGTCCTCTGAAGATTTCAAAGCTCTTGTAATTACAGTTTTTGGTGTTTACTCTATAAAATTTGACAAAAAGTAGGAGTAATGTCATTTTCAGGAAACTTTCTCATTAGTCAATGGCAGGTTTTGTGATTGACAAGTTTCTCAAAGTTTGCCTTATACTTGATCATTTCTTGCAATGAATTACATCATTACTAGATTTAAGCATTCCCTACATATTGCCCAATATATGTGAGTGTCAAATTTTTTACCGTTTTGAGATATTTGACATAAAAAAACGGTAAAAATAAGTTATTTTTCAACTTGATTCAATTTGACCAAATTTTTTTTAAAATCATCTACAAGTTGCCAGGAGTTCAAATCTGACATTAGTTTTAGGATTTGACCTTCGTTGACCTTCAAAAGATCAAAAACGTTGATTTTTCAAATTGATTTTTGGATGTCAATTTTGGTCAAAAAAAATTTCAATGTAAACAACCTATATGTGAAGTGTGCCCAGAGTCAGCCAACAACCAATCAAATCATGTATATTGCTGTCATACTAAAACAATGCTTTACAGCTAATTATAAATAATACCGATCTCAAAGATGGAATGTAAACTTCAAATTATAAAAACTTGAAATCCCTATGATGTTTTATTGGATCTATCTTCCCAATTAAATGTGCATTTAGAAGTCAGTAGTAGCATCAAGCCATCAAGTCCTATGCTTACTATAATCTAGGGATTACTGAACACATTTGGCTCAAATCTGCCTGGACGGAAGAGTTATATAGGGATCTGCATCATTCCATTTGTGTCAAGTGGCAATTTGTACCTTAGGGAAACCCCTGGTCAGGGGGGTTTCACTAGAATACTGAAAATAATGAAAACAACAGGCAAAATCAATGGAAATCATTTATTTAACATGGAGAATTTGAAACGTCCCTGAAAAACAACAGCCGATTTTGTGAAAACAACATGAAAATCGCCTGTTGCTAATGAAACCCTTGAAATGAAATACATGTAGGTACACCCCCTCCAAAAAGTTTGTAAACAATTGCAATCTAATTGCATCGGTGCATTATTAGCCTAAATTGGCACAAGATAAACATTATATGCTGGGTATATGTCATTTTTGAAATTTTATAACATCATTTTATATACAACTACCTGACAGAAGCAAATAACTACCTGAAAATTGGACAGGTAGTTATTTTGGCACCAGGCAAAAAATGTGAGTTTCGAAGCCTGTACCGGATGTTTGAAAATCAAGGATTACGAGTCTCATACTGCAGCGTTTTTCTTCAAATTTGTTCCATTCAAAGCATAACAAAAATCCCTTTCTGTTGGTACATTATTCTCATAAACAGAGTCCCTACTTCCAGCGGCATTTTGGTCCCCAGCTGTAAGAAGGCCTCCTGACAGCTGCTAGAACGAGGGACTCTTTACAATAAAGTAATGCACCGACAGATAGGCAATTTTGTTTTGCTTTTAATGGTATAAGTTTGAAGAAAAACGGTGCAGTTAGAGACTCGCAATCCTTGATTTTCAAGCATCTGGTAGGTCAAAAATTCAAATTAACGGTCAAAGTTAAGACCGTATGGTATCGTCAGTCTGATTGATATTTTAAGGAATATAAGGATAGAAAGGTTTAAATGTTTGTGTAGAGATTTTTTTTGCAATGTTTCCTTTATAATCTAATTTTTACTATTGCCAGATAACTTAAAAAATTCAATGATTATTCTGAAATAGTCAGAACTATACGACTTTAAAAAAGGCACACCATGATGTGAGTAAAAAATATTGTAAAACCTATACTTACGGCCTATTATAAATATTTGGGTCCCCACTTTGAACTTTCAAGGCTGGATCCTCACAAATGACCTGACATGTTCGCGTTGCTGACCCTGTACATGCTCTACGCACTGCAAATGTTTCTCTTCCCTCTGTATTCATGGCAGTACATGTTGCTTGAGCGATCTCATCATAGTAATCAACATAGTCTGACTCGATATGACGATGTTTGTCTCTTTGTAGCTCCTTTATCAAACCTATTAAAAAAGGTACCAGAAGTGTTTACCATATTTTGATCATTGTACCATCATTTAGATCAGAAAAGGGGAAACCATATTCTCCCACCAGTTGTTATGTTAACTTTCATTTCTTTGTAACATACACTTTTGAAAAATTTTGGGCCCCAAAAACCCAAAAGTGAAATTTTGAGGCCCATTTTCTTCAAAATTTGGCCTAAAATTAAAAAATAAGGCCTTAAAAGGCCCAATTATGACCAAAAAGGCCCACTTAAGGCCTTTTTTGGCTCAAAAATTTTTTGGGCCCAATTTTTTTTTTGGGCCCACCCAAGGGGGGGGGGGTGCGGGCCACCAGGCCCCCCCTAATCCGCCAGTGAGCTTGGTGTGATAAATGAATTCAAATGAAGTAAAACCTTGAAAGAAATACAGTATTCATTATACCTATTAATATAATATGTGCCCGATAAAGTGAAGGAGAACTGAACTAGTTTATGCACAGGCACAGTACCTACCTTCAAGTCGATCAATTTCGGTTGCCATTTTTCTCATCTCCTTAGCAAGAAGTACACCAGGATCACATTGTTGTGTTGTATCTTCGTTTGTATGTTCATATGAACACTGAGTATGTGCAACTGCAACACTAAAGAGACAACTTAAAAGTAGCCAACTGAGTATAATGTTTCCTTGAGCCATGCTTGGTATTGCTTGTAACAAAAACTTTTTCTTTTTATACAATTTTTGTAGGTTCTTCTTAAACAAGTAAGGAATACTAGTACTTGAATGAACGCTAGCTCATATGGAGTTGTTTACATATTATTTAACTCTATCTGTTTGACAGGCTGTTGATAAAATTCAAGTCACGTTGGTTTGTTGACTGTTTCATTGTTTAAAAAGGATGTTAAATTCAAAACAAGTTGTCTTAACATGCTTGAATGTTAGTAACACTTGATGTCAGAGCAGTGGCATGTTGATTGATTGGGCCACCTGTTGGCAATTTTTCTTTCAATATTTCATTTTTTTCTTTCACTCCTTATGTTCATGTCTATTACTAAAGCCCAGTAAAAAAAGTGTTGACATGTGTATGAAGAATTTGTACTTTGTCTTTAGGCTCGGGAGAAGGCAGAGGCTGAGAGCAAAAAGAAAGAGAAGGAGAGACTTGAAAAAGATATTGAAGATAAGTCCAAGGAGACTAAGCCAGGATTTGATGGAAGATGGTACACAGACATGAACAAAGACAGGTACAGGGTGTTCAAAAAAAACGCAACCCATAGAAATCGCGATAACTTGGAAAATACTAATCCAATTATGTTCATATTTTCAGGAAAGAAGGAAGAGACTGTGTATGTATAGCCCCTGTTGTTAGTTAGTTGTAAAACATGATGTCTTGGACACTTGCTCAAAAGACAGTTGTACTAGCAAAATACGAAAAACGTGAATGGAAAATAACTATATTTTGGAAAATATTAATTCAATTATGTTTATTTTTTCAGGAAAAGAAAGAAGAGACTGTGTATGTATAGCTCCTGTTGTCAGGAAGTTGGAAAACATGATGCCTTGGACACCTGCTCAAATGACAGTTGTACGGGGAAAATATGAAAACGCAGTCAGAGGTGACTGCCACAGCAATAAAACTAAATAACTTTCTAACCATGGTGTTTTGGCACTTCAGATTTGGCACAAATTATCCTTATTCAATGTGTGGTGGATTTGTGAAGTTTCATCAAAATCACTCCAGGGACTTTATAGTCATGGTCAAAATGCCTTCTTAAGTCTCCCTGAACCAGGGCGTTTGACAGCGATTTCAAAGCATTTCAACCATGACAGTGAAGTCCCTGAAGTGATTTTGATTTCACTCTACAGAATTATCATACAGTGAATGAAGATGGTTTGTGCCAAATTTGAAGAGCCAAAACACTATGGTTCGGAAGTTATTTAATTTTTTTGCGGTTGCAGTCACCCCTGACTGTGTTTTTCGCATTTTGCTAGTACAACTGTTTTTTGAGCAGGTGTCCAAGGCATCATGTTTTACAACTAACCATTGACAGGAACTATACACACACAGTCTCTTCTTTATTTCCTGAAAATATGAACATAATTGAACCAGTATTTTTCAAGATATAGCAATTTCTTTGGGTTGCGTTTTTTTTGAACACCCTGTACAAAGTACTTAATATAAATATACCATTTGGTTGAATTATTGATAAAGTGGTTCCCATGAGGTGGGTGGTGTATGGCGTGTGATGGTGTTTGGATGTCTGTAACAAATGGCAAATGGTGACATTTTACATCTTAATGCCTTAATAACTTACGAAGATATCCAACTGTACTATTAATTCAAAATTAAAATTATTGAGAGCTAGTAGTCCTATATATATTGCAATTTTGATGCATTTCAGTGGAGATTCAATCCAAGAAAATATTGAAAAACAAAAGAAGGAAGATGAAAAGGTCAAAGAGTAAGTACATTGAAAAGATCTAGAGCTAATATATCCATTTGCATTTTAAAATGAAATAAAGCATAATGTGATCCAAGGGATCTGGGAATTTGAATATGAAGTATCTGTCGTATCTCAGATATCAAGTACTGGGAAATAATATGACGGCAGTTCAGTTTTAACTTTTAGATTTGGAAAATTATGGAAGAATACATAACTATATTAAGATTAATTATATTTATATTTATGCATATGACATTTGTTTGAATATAAAAAAATTAACTTTGTAGATTTTGGGAGGAAAAGTCAGCATATACACCTGAATCGCGTATTGAGGTACATGAACATACTAAAGCCTTGAAAGACAAAGAAAATAAAAAGTAAGGACGTTAGCAATGGTACATGTAGATTTAAGAATTAGATAAAACAAACAAACTGAACTAACTGTAGACATGGCGTTTTAAGGGGGTCACAAGGGCTTGATGCTGGACAAATATAATCATTATCAATTATAACAATTAAAAGTAGCATCTATTCCATGTGACAAGAGCATTTCATTTTTGTAAAATGTACATCATGTATTTCTGACCATTAATTGGTTTCAGGAATGCAGAACCAGAAAAAAAGCCACGTCGACTATTGGCGGATGATGGCAGAAGGTTAAACATCAATGAGGCAAAGTATGTCCAACATCTGTTATTTTGTAATGTAACTTTTTAATGACATTTGGGAAGTTTTATAGCCTATTGAAGAATTCTTGTAAAATCTGTATGCATAAATGTTTATTCTAAAAAATGATTCGTACAAAGTATTGATAGCTGTTAGTGTATTTCACATTTCAGATTTGCTCCATATAGATACAAGTGAACAGATTATGAAGGTTATTCAGTGAACACTTGTCATTTTTAGTTGTTTTGTACATGTAGCATCCCATCATTCAATATTACCTTATGAACATGGGAAAAGCAACAAATCAACAAATTAAGCTAGTACTCCCAAATACATTTTGCGCTGTGTATTTCCTAAATCATCAACTAAAATGAAAGGGTGCAGTAAGAGAAAAGAGCTTGAAGTTTATCTTTGTTCTGAGTTTTTATGTCACCACTACCAAAAGTGGTGACATATTGTTATGGTCTCCGTTTTTTTATGTCACCACTACCAAAAGTGGTGACATATTGTTATGGTCTCCGTTTTTTTGTGACGGCGGTTGGTGGTTGGAGGTTGGCGTCCGGCGTCCGGCATCTGCAACAATTTCTTACAACTTCCTATAACTTAACAAATACTGTTTAGACTGACTTCAATTTTTTTCTAAATCATCTACATGTTCTCAGAAGTTCAAATCTGACTTTAGATTTGACATTTGACCTTCAATGACCTTCTCAAGGTCAAAAAGGTCTTTTTTCAACTTGCTTCACATTGACTAAATTTTTTTTCAAAATCATCTACATGTTCTCAGAAATTCAAATCTGACTTTAGATTTGACTTTAGATTTGACATTTGACCTTCAAATCTGACTTAAGATTGACATTTGACCTTCAATGACCTTCTCAAGGTCAAAAAAGGTCAAAAAGGTCTGTTTTCAACTTGCTTCAAATTGACTAAAAAAAATTTACAAAATCATCTATGTGTTCTCAGAAATTCAAATCTGACTTTAGATTTGACTTAAGATTTGACATTTCACCTTCAATGACCTTCTCAAAGTCAAAAAAGGTCAAAAAGGTCTTTTTTCAACTTGCTTCAAATTGACTAAATTTTTTTTTCAAAATCATCTACATGTTCTTAGAAATTCAAATCTGACTTTAGATTTGACATTTGACCTTCAATGACCTTCTCAATGTCAAAAAAGGTCAATAAGGTATTTTTTCATCTTGCTTCAAATTGACTAAAAAATTTTTTTTAAATCATCTACATGTTCTCAGAAATTCAAATATGACTTTAGATTTGACTTTAGATTTGACATTTGACCTTCAATGACCTTCTCAAGGTCAAAAAGGTCTTTTTTCAACTTGCTTCAAATTGACTAATTTTTTTTTCAAAATCATCTACATGTTCTCAGAAATTCAAATCTGACTTTAGATTTGACATTTGACCGTTAATGACCTTCTCAAGGTCAAAAAAGGTCAAAAAGGTCTGTTTTCAACTTGCTTCAAATTGACTAAATTTTTTTTTCAAAATCATCTACATCTTTTCAGAAGTTCAAATTTGACTTTACAAGTTCTCAGAAGTTCAAATCTGACTTAAAATTTGACCTTTGACCTTCAATGACCTTCTCAAGGTCAAAAAGGTCTTTTTTCAACTTGCTTCAAATTGACTAATTTTTTTTCAAAATCATCTACATGTTCTCAGAAGTTCAAATCTGACTTTAGATTTGACATTTGACCTTCAATGACCTTTTCAAGGTCAAAAGGTCTTTTTTCAACTTGCTTCAAATTTACTTAATATTTTTTTCAAAATCATCTACATGTTCTCAGAAGTTCAAATCTGACTTTACATTTGACATTTGACCTTCAATGACCTTCTCAATGTCAAAAAAAGTCAAAGAGGTATTTTTTCAACTTGCTTCAGATTGAACAATTTCTTTTCCAAAATCATCTACAAGATCCCAGAAGCTCAAATCTTCAAAAACCTTCTTAAGGTCAAAAGGTATTTTCCAACTTGCTTTAAATTGACCAAATTGTTTTAGGTGGTGACATTTTGTCATGTTAATGCCTTGTTTAAACATGTAATGTTTCCAATTACAAGACTAAACATAGTTAGCATTTACTAATATTCCATTTAAGTTCCCCTATATGAAAAAACTATTTTGTTTTACTTTAGTGAACTTTCTTCAGAACATAGAGTGAATCCAGCAGATATGCAGATAGATTACTTATGTGGGGTGTGTCAAATGAAATTTACTTGATTGTTTTTGTAAACAGTCACATATTTTTTATGTTTGAGTGGCCCTTGCTGCAATTTTAGGCATTCTGGAGAAAATGAACATTTATAATAACATATTTTTCGGGAGTGGTTTGTAGACAGTACATGTAGTTCTGTTAACCCAATTTTCAATGACTAGATTCAAAGTGACAATTCACGTAAATAAGCAACTTATTTCAAATGCCAGGTGTAATGAATATATGATTTTATATAATTTCAGAATTGACTTTACACTTACAGAAGATGAAAATAAGCATGAAATTCTACTAGACTTAGCCGTATTTAAGTATGTATTATGCCTGAGCCTTTTTGTACATTCTATGATTAACACTTCTTTTAAAAGAACCTTTTTTTATTATGTTATGTGATTATAATTATTCATAATTATTTTGAAAGGCATTGGTCAAAGTACTGTTTGCCTCATCATATTAAAATCATTTTCAAATGATCTATTTATTTTTGGATCTATTATTCTCTAGGAGTTATACAGGAGTTAAAGATATAAATAAAGATAAAAGTTGAGATTATGGCCTTCCTACATGAACTCTGTTGTTGTAGGCATATGGATACTTCACTGATTGATGTAGATGTACAACCTGACCATGTGCTGGCATACATTAAGGGGAAGGTGAGACAATCAACATCTCCTCAATGTCTTTAATCTTTATCTTCAATTAATTGTTATTGATAAGGTTTGAATTGCACTTTCACAAATTGATAACTGTATTTTGTACTTATTACCCTGTTTGTAGATATTTTAGCTTGCTCTGACAGAGAAAGTAGAGCAAGACTTTAGTATTGCCAAAAGGTCACATGTCATCGACTTATTCCTATCTATAAGTAAATATTCCCTGTTTGTATTGTAGATATTCCAACTTGCATTGACTGAGGAAGTAAAGTCAGACTCTAGTATTGCCCAAAGGTCACATGTCATCTAATAATTCCCCTGTTTGTATTGTAGATATTCCAACTTGCATTGACTGAGGAAGTAAAGTCAGACTCTAGTATTGCCCAAAGGTCACATGTCATCTAATAATTCCCCTGTTTGTATTGTAGATATTCCAACTTGCATTGACTGAGGAAGTAAAGTCAGACTCTAGTATTGCCCAAAGGTCACATGTCATCTAATAATTCCCCTGTTTGTATTGTAGATATTCCAACTTGCATTGACTGAGGAAGTAAAGTCAGACTCTAGTATTGCCCAAAGGTCACATGTCATCTAATAATTCCCCTGTTTGTATTGTAGATATTCCAACTTGCATTGACTGAGGAAGTAAAGTCAGACTCTAGTATTCCCCAAAGGTCACATATCATCTAATAATTTCCCTGTTTGTATTGTAGATATTCCAACTTGCATTGACTGAGTAAGTAAAGCCTGACTCAATTCTTGCCCAAAGGTCACATTTCATCTACTTATTTCCCTGTTTGTATTGTAGATATTCCAACTTGCGTTGACAGAGGAAGTAAAGCCTGACTCTAGTGTTGCCCAAAGGTCTCAGGTCACTGGTCACCTGCTCATTACCATGCCAAAGGCCAAAGACAGGGAGATAAAGCTGACCAAGTCTCATCTTCAAAAACCAAATGATGTCAAGGATAAAAAGCAGGATTCACTCAATGGGTGAGTGTTTTTGTAGCCTGTATCCACAAAATCCAAGTTTTCCTTAATACGGGCCTTAATACGGGCCAACCAATATTCTAAAAGCTGTACCCTAGTAGAAAAATGCATCAGCATTGCATAAAGATAGAAAGGATGACTCTGTGTTTGCATTTTATGTGTATCTGATCAAAATTGCTTGCCTATAAATGCATGCCATTTGACTCATTTTGGCCAACTGTGTTCTTGAAACCTTACGTAGGCTAGACCTGTTTTATCATTTATAATTCTTAAATTTCAGGGTATCCAGAGAGACTCTTGAAGTGGATCCAGAAAAACTAGCTTCTATGGATTTTGCAAATATTGTACAAGAAAAAGGAAGTATAACTAAAGCACCATTCGGTGCCCAAGTAAGGACTAATGTACTGGAGAAACCTAACAGTGAGGACTTTGTAGATGATCCAGATGTACCACCTTTGATGTGAGCAGGAATATAGTAGATACTAATAGCCACAATCTCATATATATTTTGCCCCAACTCTACACATAATCATTCTGTGTGAATCGGTGGTACAGGAGCATTTGTTCAAAATAAGCAAATTCATTTTGAGCCTACATTTTTTATTTCATATACTCTGTATTCCCAAGTCTGTTTCATTGCTGATTTTGGCAGTGAACAAAGTGGACTATTTGTCACATTAAGTGTGAATTTCTTGAGACAGGCCAGCAGACATCATAGATGCCTTAAGCCTACTGAGCACTGAGTGTGTGAGTAACTCCTGAAACCGTCCAAAATACATTTCATTTCACTTCTTCGTAGTGATAGTCATACATGTCGGTATGAGACCAAAACATAATTAACTAATTAACTTGTGAATGTAATATTATATGCAACAAAGTTCCGTCCAAAACAAACAAGAAGATCTCAGTCTTTAGCTGCGAAAACATTACGAATTTGATATGAGTAACATCATAAAGACAATGCTGTGCTTTTTAAGATGGCATTTTATTGACAATCTTTATCTTGGCCTTATCTAGGAAATATTCTTATATCCTCAGATATGCCGTCAAGGAATCATATGATTTATTAAGAATTTGTCAAACTTTTCAAACCGTCCAAAAATCTTCATGTACATTCAATATTATTTTGATACTGATTTTGTACCATGTAAACGTGTTCTTATATTTATTTACGAAATATATACTTTGTTTAAATGTATTTATACTTTTTTGTTTTTAATGGGTTTGTCATTATTTAAAAATATGTTATGTTTATCATGTGACAGATATAAGACTTACAAATGGAAAACATGTCGTTTTAGCTATCTAAAAGCACACATGGAAATATGCATTGACTTACTAGTTATTGAATATTACAAGTCCAAGCCAACAAAAGTTGGATATTGCTATTGGCGATTGAACAATATTCGCGAAATAAATAGGATTTTTTGATAGTAAGAGTTCTTACTTTCAACTAAAAAAGCTAAATGACATTGCATAGTACTAATATACTTTGAATGGACGCATCCCGTTTGAGTGTGTTTAGCAGCAGATGTGACGGGCTTAAGGCCTTCGTGCTTTCTACTTTATAAACTCATTTCATTTCACATGTATTTCAAACGTAACAACAATATACCAATATATTCATTCAGAAAAGAATTTATGATGAAAATATTAATTTTTGTGCCAGTCCTGGGCTTTCAACAACATATTTCACAATCGCTCCAGAAGCCCCAGTTTTACAAAATGCGTGAAGGGAATTATATGATTTCTGCAACGGCAATAAATCTATACTTATAGTACCGGTGTTTCTCGCAAGTAGACCCACTGGGCGTTTATTTCGCATGCGCGTTTATTTGAAAATCTTCGAAATGAACGCCCCGTGGGCTTCTATGAAGAGGGAAACTTATTTTTCAAGGCAGATGGGCATTAATAACGCAGATGCGAGTAGGTAGTTACCAGACTCACCACTAGGTGGCTCGTTCGGGTCAGATAGCATGGCGGGTATAGAAGAAAGTTCCCTCAAACTTAAATTACATCTGTTTGCGTGGTTCAATTTTCATATAACCCTTATGTATCTAATAGTTATGCAAATTAAAATATGTCCAGTAAAGGAAAATGTTATCTGTGCGATACAAGAAAAGATAATTCACTTTAAATCGGAGGTTCTATCAAAGTTCTCTTGCTTTGATCCGATTTGAAATAGTTTTTGAAATTTTAAAGATCCAGTAATAATGTGCATACATGGGCTTTCAACTTTTCAACTAGTTGAAAGCCCATGGTGCATACAAATCTTTTTCTCGAATGTCCATTTATTTAAAGGCACTCGAAAAAGAAGCCCAACATGGGCTTTTAGGGACATGATATGAAAACCGCTTAGTCAGTCATCAAGTTATATATTCTCTCTTTCAACTAAACGCCTGTGAGGTCAGCAAATTTTCTGGGCTACCCAACTATTCTGACTTGACCCATTGGGTTCTTTTGAATGCCCATGCTTGACCCAAGTATTCTGGGTTTAATTATTTTATCTCATATACTCAATATGGTGATTTTCAATTCAATGTTTCTTTCACAGATGACTGTTGAAATTAAGTTAATTAAACCACTTCATATTTGCTTATATTATGTATGATGCTGCCTTAAGCACAAAAAGGCCTTAACTACATGTATTTATTATATAAACTAACAGGGTAGCATACTCATTGAAGTTCACGTTCACTTAAAAACGTGTAGCTATATCCTCCTTCTTGATTTCTCAGTCTATGTAGTTCCAACTCATTTGAAAGATGTCGCGCATTTTCATAGTTAATTGAATCTAGGGAAATACTGTTGCAAAAATATTTTTGTGATACTAACAGTATTAATGATTTATTCTTTCATGTCATTACTAATTAAATCGTATCAAAAATATATTATAGTATTCGTGAATATCGAGGAAAGAATATATATACGGAAGAGAATAAGGTTTTCTCAAAATCAAAATGCGATTTATACATTCTTATCCTAGCCTCGGTTTGAGTTTGTTATTTATTTCCTGACAACCAAAGTACACAAGTTACAAATTATATATGAAAAAGTGAACATATCTACTTCAAAGCAATTAATCGAGTACTGTTTTTATTCTTCATAACGTTCGTAAGTATAATTACAATAACTAATACTCGTTAGAGTAATTCTAATTCATCTAGGATGTATAGGCCAAGGGAAAAGTAGACTAGTAGATTATCATGATTTTGATTAAAAAAGATCTGGTGGTTGTTTTGCTACTAGAGATGCCTTAGTTCTATGTCCTGCAATTCAATTCAGTACACAGGCATATCTTAGTGTTGTTGCTTGGCCCAGCTTGAAATGCTACAGTGTCGCGTTTATCAAATTCTTTGACCTTTTTCTGTAAGCGTTTTCATGATGTTAAACTATATATCTGCTTAGTTTAAATGAGCTTATTAGCCTTTTGCGGATTATTGATGTAGATATAGATGATTTAGACCTCTGCCTGACTAGGACTGCAACATATATACTATATTTCAGACAAAATACAATTAAATCATCATGCCTAGACCACGCTCAGGAGGTTCCGACTACAGTGATGCAGATGCAGATGGGATGGCAGAAAGGGAGATGGAGTACACAAAACTCCAACGTCAGCATAGAATCATGCAAGGCGACAGAGAGGCTTATACAGAGGAGTCACAGAATCTTATACGTAAACAAAAGTAAGTTCATACATGCTTTGATTTAAGTACTAATTGTTTGGTTATATTATGCTCACACTTTGCTGTTTGATTTTAGTTTAGTATTTTACCATTTGTTTGTGAGGATAGGATGGCAAGCGGCAAAGTATATTAGCATTACTGAATTGCTTTTGATAAGCTGAATTAAGTTCCAAAGTTATTTTGATTTCTGATAAATACTAGACAATATGTTCAATATATTCCAAAATAAAATTTCTTTTCAGAGCGGAAATATCTCAACTAGAAGCAGAACGTGCAGAATTGTTGAAAGATTTGCGTTTGGCAGAGAGTCGAAGCAATCAGAATAAAGATGAGGTCCATACTGACAAACTCACAACCCTAGTCAATGACAGAGGTAAAAATAGACATGTAACAACCCAGAGAATGTTTACAATTAAATACAATAAAGAATGACTTAATGTGATGTCCAGAATAAAACAATCCATTTGGATTTGGATTCTTCTCAATTTAATGACATACAGGGTGATCATAATTAAAAAACAACAGGGTGTTCAGAATTGAGGGATTCAACTTTATAAAGGGTATCAACATTAAATAACATGTTGTCTTGAATTAGTAAATTCTAATGGGTGTTTACAATTAATTACATAGATATTATTGAATTGAAACATATAGACTTCACAATTAAACTCAGAATGTAGCGTGTTAAAAAAGTTCCAATGTATTTAAACTCTTTTCACCTTGAGAGTATCTGATAGAAGTTAAGCTTAAAGATTGACAATTAAATGACTGTTAAAGAACATTACAATACTCTATTGCTACACCTTGATGTAAAAAATTGAAAATGTGTGTTAATGGTTGTTGTTTTTTGATAGATGACCTCCACCAATCAATAGATGATGAAAAGGAAAACCAAAAGGAACTGGATGCAAAAATTCGAGAATGGGAGAAGAAAATAAGAGACCAACACAAAAATATGGGAGGCATACACATGAGCCGTCAACACACAATAAAAACACAGAAAAATGTCCGGGTTCTTGAAAACCGACTAGATAAAGTAAGAAATCATACCAATTTCTCATGTTAGTTGTTATAAAAATTCTTAATATCACATATCTATTGGTACATAATTATTATAAATAAATGAATGAATAATAAGAATATGATTTATTTTATATATTCAAACCTACATGTATTAATAAACACAAATGATTTATTGAAAAAAGTGTTGTAATATTTAGCGTTTATGAATATTTGATAATATTTTTTAAAATTTTTACTTGTCCTGTTTTAGGAAAATCAAAAGTTTAACAATTGTCTCACAGCAAATGCCTCACTCCGAGAAGAAATAGACAGTTTACGAGTTGAGAGAGTACGTTTTGATAATCTCTATTGTAAACTGGACAAAGAACGCATGGAGCTTAGACGTGACCTGGGAGAAGTTATCGACCAATCATCACAGGCCTATGATTCAAGGTAGGTTTAAAACTTTTAAACACATAGCAGAATGTTAAGAGAGTTCAATTGAAAAAGAGATAGTGTCCAAATTTAGAATATGAAATCTGACAATATCTATGATATCTGAAAATGGTCTCACTTGAATGAATTGCTTGTTCCATTGATATGTACAGTGAAACATGTAAAGTGATAGACCTTAGAAGTGGAACACCCCTGTTAGTGGAACACTCACTTTTCAGAGTCCTAACTGACTCAATGATCAATGAACTTCTATAAGTGGAACACCTCGCAAGGGGAACACATTTTAGAAGTACCAAATGTGTTCTACCAGTACTTAGACAGGGTTTACTGTATTATTTGAAATACATATCAATGGAACAAGCTATTCATTCAACCATTGCTTTGTTACCATGGATAATTATACATGTGCTAACATGCTTTCATAACCTGGAGCATACATGTATTTTACTTCATTGATAATAAACAATTTCAATTGATGTGTGAATGCAGGGATGAATGCCAGGCAAAGATGATTCTCCTGAAAGAGAAGGCAGACAAGGACCTACAACAGCATAATGCAGAGATGAAAGAGTTGGTGAGAATAATTGACCATGACAGGAAGCTCAAGGAATTCATGGGAATAAAAGGTCAAGAAAGGCAAGAGGATCCACAACTGGTTGCCTGGAGGTCAAGAAAAGGTAAGTTAATTGTTAGATATTAGAATTTGTTGGATGTTAAAAAGGAACATTTTGAGTCTTTGACTCAAAAATGTACCAGTTTTGTTTTACCAAATACTATAAAAGCCAGTGTAAATTAAGTTATTTTTATTCATTACATTTGTTTTTTCTTCAAAAATATTGTCGTACACATTTCGGGAATCATCATGTTCCTAAACACATTTTAGGAATAATTAAGGGCATATCCACGTAGTGAATTTCAAATAAATATACTTGGTAAAATGTTGTATAAATACATGCATGATTACATTTACAGAGTCATTGGAGGCTGAACGTAAGAAGGAGTTTGCTGAAGATTCTGTTGAAGCTTACGAGGCAGCATTTGAGAGGATCAAGGAGATCACAGGAGAGGAAGATCTTGATCTTTTGGTTGAGAAGTTTATTGAAGTGGAAGATAGAAACTTTGCACTGTTCAACTATGTGAACGAACAGAATAATGAGATAGAGACTCTGCAAGAACAAATTGCTGAAGTAAGCATTATTTTTGAGTGTGGTCTTGAATTAAGATATCAGAAATGAATTTTTATCTCAAGATAAAATAGTCAATCAGTTTGCTTCCTTTGACATACAATAATAAAAGTCACAAACAGAATATTGAATATGCATTGGAATACTAATTTTAGAAAGTCAGCTGAACCTGCAATAGAAACTCCATAATTGTGAATAAATACATGGGTAAAAGAACGAATCTGATTGGTCTGAAACAACCTTCACATTGGTCTTCATTTTTTTGTTTCCTGATAACATTATTACTTTTGAATATCCTGGGCAAGTCCAAAGAGCCAATAATTCAAGCTGATCATTCCATCGAATAGCTAACACCCATTACACACTAGCTCTATGTTAAATTAAATACTTTATCTGCCTTACAGATGAAGGACGAAATTGCTAACTTCAAAGAACAAGGTGTTGAGATGGAGACACAGCGACAAGCAATCCTGTCAAACCTTGAGGAGAAACAAGTGACTGCATCTAAGAATGCAGATGAGCATGATGAGAAGCATACTGCAATCATGAAGATTCTGGATCAGCTCAGGGCAGGTAAGAATATCAGTCAGAAAACATTATTTATATGTTGTCTTGCATCAAGTCTTTCGACCCCTGATCTAGTTCAAGATCTAGTTATATGGCATATTTGAAAAACTTATGAATAATGATTAACTTATTAAATTATGGACTCATGATTATTTGCATGTACATGTTTTAATATCACAACACTTGTTTTGTCTTATCCAGGTATTGACTCGCTGTTTAATAAGATCAGTTGTGAAAGATCGGCTATAGATGACATGTTAGGTGCACAGACAGGAGTACAGGACAGAAATATGATCCAGTATCTGGGAATTATTGAACAAAGAACCAATGAGCTGCTATCCATTCAGAATTATTCCAATTCAAAGGTAGGTTTTGTTGTTTTATTATGGGGGAGGTCTGTCGGGTATACCAGAAAATGTGAAATGTCAACTTTTACTTTTTAGTGTCTCTCTGTTTCAAGGGGAATTGGTTCTAGATGGTAATTCTTGAAAGAATACTTCATTTTATGCAGAGAATCTTGGCTATCATGGAACTTGCTCTATCTTGAGTAAATATATCATCTTACCATAAATCACATTTAGGACTCTGGAAGTTGTTAAAAGATGAAGTGAGGGAATAACCCATTCAATATAACTTAATGCAAGCGGCTTTTACCCCTCCCTTTTGTATTTGATTTGATTTGAAAACCATATTTATTCTGGGTACATGTAGCTCTATCATGTAAAATGATTTATAATCAGTATTTGACTTGATCTTCGTGAATGGAATAAAATTGACACTTAAGTAATGGTCTGTTTGTTTGCAGGACTATGAGAAATATGATCCAAAGGCAGGAGGTCTTCTAGGGGCTGGTCCCCAGGCAACACAGAATCAGATGCAGATTATGGCTCCCTCTGTAGGGTAAGTTACTTCAGCAGTTTCTTTAACAGTTACAAATATTAGGTCAATATATATATATGTGTGTATTTTAACAAAAACTTAGTCACAACGTAGTTGGTGCATAATCCTTATTTTTACAATTCTGACCAACTTTCCATGATCCATGATTTTAATGTGGGTTCATGATTACCCACTTACATTAAAGGAAACCATTTAACAGTCTGACATTATAGGATACTAGTATAGTATTGGACAAAAAACTCCTCTGAATTAATCATATTATCACAAAACTCACCCTTGAATTACGTTTGAAAATAACCTTTTATTATCTGAAAAATCAGATTGGAAACACCTTATTTCATGACAATATTTCAAAATGGACTATTTTCTTGTAGGGATGAATATGAAAGTGAGGGCAGTGAGGCCAGTGATGATGACAGACCTTTCACCCGCAATGAACTACAATCTAAAGTTATGAAAACTGTTAAAAAACGAGAATCAGCCATGAGGCGAGAAGGATTTAAATATGACTTATCAAATGCTAGAGAAAAAACTCAGAAGAAGAAAAAGTAGATTTCAAGATGTGATGATAATAATTGATAAACAACAAGCATCTACTGTAGAATTTACTATGTGTTGAACAGTATTGAACAGCTAAAGTTCGGGGGTTACTGGCAGCACCTAGAGGCAATATCCACTCCGTCCAAGAGTTCATGAAATGCAGCAAACAAAGAAGGTTTAATCTCCAAGTTTGTTGGAAATCACATATACTGTATGGAACAATCATGCTTGAAAAGCTGTTTTCTCAGGAGATATTGAGAAGTTGGCAATGGACTTCATGAGTTTAACATGGGCCTCTTACGGAAATATATCATGTATTATGAATATGATTATTACATATTTTACGATACATAGAGAAAATGGGCTCCAGATAAACCCATTTTGAACGTGGTACTTGTATACTTTTGGAAATGAGTATCTGTATCTTCATCCTGTGAAAGAATATTTAAGAAATCCAAGAACATATTTTACTGAAGATTTAGTCATTTTCAATTTATTTCATTTTCAATCAGTGAATAATTCAGAATTCTATCAATCTAAAATATACAACTATAAAATTCATATTATAATCATAGTGACCTTTACATTGTAAAGTAAACATTTTGTGAGCTTATAATTAAAGATCACCCCCGTGCATCTCTTGCTAGGTATTTTTGTAAAGAGTATATGAAATAAATATATTAAAATTTTAATTCTTTGATTTGTATTACTCATTTTTCTACTAATTTTGAGTATTGTAATTTGTAAAGCAATGGTGTGATAATGCTCGGGAATTAACAATAACAAGGTGACTATTTTGAAATATTCAACAACTTAACATAACTCTTACATTTCTCATACTCTAATGTTCCATTCTTTATTCAGTATTCAGTTCATAACTGTGGGATTATTTGAAGAATAAGTTACATAACATTTATACTCACTTCACAATCACATGGACGGAATAAACAGATTTAAATAACACAAACATATTACATACAAGAACACAAATGTGTACAAAATGTCCCCACCTATAGGTGATCCCGTCAAATGGTTATCCTAAAAATGAGTAGACAAGACTTTACCGACACAATTTGAGGACGGAATATCAAAAATGGCCACCTTAAAATTTACCCAGAATGCCAAAAAATATTAGTCAGTTCTAGATTTTCATACTAAGAACCACCCCTGAAAATTTGAAATTGATCCCTCACACAGTTAACCAGAAAACATGTAAACAAGGCTTTACAAACAAGATTTTAGGACGGAAAATCCAAAATGGGTGCCTTGACATTTATCCAGAATGCCAAAAAGCTATTCTCTTCTAGATTTTCATACTAAGAATCATCCCTGAAAATTTGAAATTGATCTACCAAACGGTTCACCTGGAAATGCGTAGACAAAACATAACAGACAAGATTTTAGGACGGAAAATCCAAAATGGCTGCCTTGACATTTACCCAGAATGCCCAAAAACTAATCAGATCTAGATTTTCATACTAAGAATCATCCCTAAAAATTTGAAATTGATCTACCAAACGGTTCACCTAAAAATGCGTAGACAAGACTTTACGGGCAAGATTTTAGGACAGAAAATCCAAAATGGCTGCTTTGACATTTACCCAGAATGCCAAAAGACTAATCAGATCTTTCATACTAAGAATCATCCCTGAAAATTTGAAATTGATCGACCACACGGTTCACCAAAAAATGCGTAGACAAGACTTTACAGGCAAGATTTTAAAAAAAACTAATCAGATCTAGATTTTCATACTAAGAATCATCCCTGAAAATTTGAAATTGATCTACCAAACAGATCACCTGGAAATGCGTAGACAAGACTTTACAGACAAGATTTTAGGACGGAAAATCCAAAATGGCTGCCTTGACATTTACCCAGAATGCCCAAAAACTAATCAGATCTAGATTTTCATACTAAGAATCATCCCTGAAAATTTGAAATTGATCTACCAAACGGTTCACCTGAAAATGCGATGACAAGACTTTACAGACAAGATTTTAGGACGGAAAATCCAAAATGGCCGACAATAAAAAAGTGATTATGAGTTTTTGCCGAATTCTTTTTACAAAATTATCACATATAACTACTGTTAACAATAACATAGGCTTTTACAACAAAGTACACCTGCAATTATTTATAAAGCTACAAAATAGTTAAAGTATGAAAACTGAAAAACACCATTCAATATGATACAAAGTATTATCGCGCGCTAACTTTTCTTAAAACATTCAAAATGGCTGACATGACTGAGCTAACAGGTACAAAACCTAATCAGATCTAGAATGAAGTGAGCTGAACAAGATGTTAAAATTTCAAAAGCAACTGTGAAGCCATTTTTCTTAAAGTTTGCAGACAAGGATTTTAGCATTTGACTTCAAAATGGCTGACAGGAAGTAGGTATCGAGTTTTTTTCATTCACATCTAGATGCACTCATAAGTTAACCCTGAAAATTTGAAGGTGATATCTGTAGCGGTTTTGGAGAAAACTGCCGGACGTACGGACGGACGGACAGACGGACATACGGACAGACAGACGCGCCTAGGCCGACAATATGGCCTCACACAATGTGGTGGGGACATAAAAACATGTACTCATTATAGATATGACTTCGACTTTCTTGCAACACATAAGCCAGATTTTAATGTAGCATCCTTACACACATTGAAAGGATTTGATTTTCAATTAAAAATTGTAACAAGAAGCGCATATAGAACACATATATAAGGCAAGCGACATTAATATCATTTGCGATGCATACATGGACCTTTGTTGTATTTTGAAAAAAATTGTTGAATTTGAAAATTTTGATTGAGTTACCAAAGTTGTTAACCTGAATGCTTAAAAACTGATACCTTTGGCTAAGTTAGAATATTGCCACATTGTGGTAACATTAAAAATGCATTATAAGGTCATTTGGATATAGCCATATTGAATCCATTATGGATTGCTAGTATGCCAAGGATTTACTTCATTAATATGCAAAATATTAAATCCTTTATAATATGCAAAATATTAACTCTATATGTAAAATATTAACTCTTTAATATGCAAAATATTAAAAGATCTTCTATATATAGCACCTATTTCTACTATGAGAAAATTGTCTTTTTGATTGGCAATGTAAAATATGAATATCTGTCTTATATACACATACATCTACGAATCAGAAAGGTTACATATAATACAAGAGCAACTCCACTGTAAAACAACTAAAATTAAATAATAGTAATAATGCATGAATCGGGGTTCAATCTGCTATAAATATATTAAATGATCACCTCTCCTGGGGCCCCTTCCAAAATTTGAACATAGTCAGACGTTGGGCAAAAACCCATTGCGTAGCCCCCAAAATCTGAGGATGTATGATGATGTAATGATGTATATCAATAGTCAGTACTAATGAGTACTAATAGTGTTTAATTCTCTTAAATGATATTTATACATGAGCAACTAAAAATGATATTTTCTCAGAGAATTATTATTATAATCATATGGCACGTTGAAACATTATATAACAACTTCTAACTCAAGTATGCCGACAGCTTGAGTAATAGCTTGTAGAAGTCACAGATCAAAAATCAGTCAAGTTTTGACTACAAAGGCAATACTGCTAAGGCAATTTGAATCAATAGGGACCAATGATTCCATGTTAATTAACCTGAGACATTTTAATTGTAATTTGAATACAAAAAGTTTTCAAAAATGTATACATGTATCAGTCCAATTTGTTTAACTCATTTACCCAGTAGTTTGAAAAAAATAAACGATTTGTCAGTGAGGAACTAACTTGGAGAAGGGCATTTGATATTACATGTAGTTGTCTTGCCAATTCTTCTCGTTTCCAGTTACAGACCAAATAAGTTAAAGGTGATATCGGTAAGTATACATAATACCTAGTACTGCCTTGACTAATATTATCCCAGAGTATTATACACACACATGGATTTAAATGTATTCAAAAATCAATGTTTCAAAATATAAGAGTTTATCACAGAAACACCTGCATCAGTTTATCTTAAGCACCTCTGACAGCTGATTCTGCTACAAAAAACAGTTACTCTTAAACAGATTTTCATTTTCAATGACATACATATATTGTATGCCTTTTTTGTATGTATTGAGCAAAATGTTTCCCATTACACTACACTGTATTCGTATTACATTAACCTAATACATATCTATAATATTATATACACATCACAATGTAAGGCATCTCCATGCTAGCTGCAACCAGATCTATCACAAAATCTCTACCAATATAAGGCCAAAGAATACTCATATTTCTTAACTGATTTCAAGAACTACACAATTGAAAGATAATAATTTATAGGCACACTGTAGATCACTAACCTCTGCTCTGCACAATCTAGTAACAATGAATGTAAAAACCTTTGACTTTCATTTTCAGGGTGGGGGGATGTCAAGCAAAAACATGACTAAAGGAAATAGAAGGGATTAAACTGAGTCTTGAGAGCAAATTTAAAAAATGTAACAATTTGCAATATTTTTTGATTTACAATACTTTTTGCTTTCATCATTCCATTTATCATGACTATATTTCAGGATTGTATTTGATTTTAAAGTCATTTGAAAAATGAAACATTCCATTATTTCAATCCTTTTGAATTTAAACATATTTGCATCTTAAATCGTTAATAAATTCCATATTTGAACACATATATCATGGTAAGATTTCTGATTTCCTATCCCTTCTTATTCCTTTATAATCATGAATTGGAGCATTGCCTTTTAATATTGCTACTTGGCATGTATCATATTGCTCATTAAATACTATTTCATGCATATAAAATAAGATCTGACTGAGTGATATCACATTTAATATTAAAGGGGAAACCTATTGGACACACATTTCAAGAGGTTAAGGCTGCCATTTATGAATACACAGCTTTGATACAAAATGTTTCTTCATTTTTATCATCTTCATCATTGATGAACACCAGAATCTCAGTTGACCCTGGAGTTTGACTAGGTGCAAATCTCAGTCCAATAGATGCTGACTCCATGGCCCCAATTTCCAGCCGTGTGTCTCTAAATTGTACAAGATCATCTCTATTGCTGCAGAGCAAGAATGTTTTCTTTGTGGGATATGGGTTCATATATGATATCCTCTTATTGGAGCCTTTTCCCCCTCCCACGGGCAGCATTAATTCAAATGCTTTAGACACCAGGGGTGCGCGACAGCTGATGCAAACTAACCATGTCCGAATCAGCTGATGATATTCAGTGTCCACAACGTTAAGGTACAGGAACTTGCTGCCGACTTGCAGAGGTCTCACTCCAACATTGATCTCTTGGACTGCCCCTGCAGGCAGCATGAATGCCTGGTTTGGTTTAATCTGCATTTCTTTGGGCTGTGATGAGAAACACTTCACCAGCCGAGATGCCTGAGTACCCCTGAAAAATAGTATATGTATATGAGAGGATTTGCTATGTATTTTCATTGCTAAATTAGGTAATGATAAATTTCTAATTCATTTCAAACATATACATGTAGTAATACAGTACATGTAAGTTATTGTTTGTTTCTTACATTCAGACTAATTCAATGCACCATGAAATTGTTGTAAGAAGTAGTCAGCCATTGTAAATATATTCTACAAAAAATGTTCACCTAATATGTGAACAATTAATCCATTGTTGGTACTTCATGTTATATATTGCCTAGAAGGACTAGTACTCATTTTCATCTTTCTTTTAAATACAAGGGGTTTTACGAAGGCATCATTCTCACATGATTTAATATTACCTGAGTATAAGAGAAAAGCGACTTGTCTGCCCTTCTACACACTGGACATCCACCCTCTGCAGGGAGTGAACATAGAATTGCCAAGTCTGGACAGGCTTTGATTGATAGTGGTCCGTATAGATGGCGATAAAGAATTTCTTTAGTTGAGGCGAGGCACCACATGCCACCTGGTTAAAAAATGTTTTAAGAATTTAAATGAATACGAATATTGATGTTAGAATATAAGTTGATGCAGTAATGCCATGTACTGTTCATTTTTGTCCAATAAAAAGATGTTTTCTCAAAAGTTTTTATTTGAATTTGATCAATGTGCATGTTATCTGCCAATTAAATAATATTAGCAGTATTTTATTAAAATTCAATTTTAATTACATTTTATTTAAATTAAATGCAAATTGAATCTTGAAAAACGATTTTTGACAAGAGAAATGTCACCTCTGCTTTGTTACAAATGTAGAATGCTGACTGCCAAATGCTAACCGCCAAACACTCTCCACAAAAAGTTGGAGACTGTAACAATATATCTGACTTTCTGGTGAAAATGAAATTAATGAAATACACCATGTCTGTCTACCCACCTTGAAACTCATGTCCATGGGTTCACCTGAAGGGACCATTCTTGTTTCACAGATGACATTTGGGTCACTGCATCGCACAAATATTTGACTCATCTCACCAGCAATGGGAGCATCTGAAATAAAGATGGCAGCACACATTATTAGCAGCATATAAATGAATAACTTAAAAAATAAGTTTAATGATTTCAGCATTTTTCATGAATATAAAAGCAATATCTTGGACAGAATATTTAATATCCCATCCAATCTGTATCATTTATGAAAAATGGCATTAAAATAGCAAAATGCCATCACCTGCAAATTGTTACAAAAGTGTTATAAGGATCCTGATGGCAACTGCAAGTGCTAATGCTAGTTTTTGGAGAGACATCACATTGTCTCTTATGTTGTTTTAATCTCTAAATGTATAATAAAAACCTTTCAATGTTGAATTTAGTTAGACAGATTATACTGTATTTTCATGTTATTAGAGATGGTGTCTAAATGGTGACAGTTGAAAAAATGAATTTAATTTTGTTATAGTTTAACCCCCTTCCTCACAAAACAATTCCTTTAGCTAACTCTTCAACAACTGTCAACAATTAAACATCATTGTTTAAGAGAGATACGTACTTGGCAAGTTGCTGACTGGTGGTAGACGAATTGACTTTTTCAAGAATGACTGTTCTGGATGATGAAACCTGAATGTCTGGTCCACAATATGGGGCTGTGGGGCCACATGTAATGACAATATTGCAACAGGTTTGTTCTCCTCTGTTTTAAAATGGATTTTGATAATCTTGCTGTCCATAACATTTTCTTTCTTCGTTTCTGGTTTCTTTGGATGGTAAGGATCATGGGGCCCCTAGAATATAATGAGCATAGTTCATAAAACATACAGTCAATTCAGTTCAATTTGTCAAAACCTTTACCCAATGAACATATATAAGATGCAATATCCTTATTTATCTTACCTAAAAAGACTATGAAACAGTGTATGAAAATGGCATGAGGAGAGAATGATGTAGTATTTTTAGTTCTCATGTAAACAACATTTGAATTTTTATAAAATAACTTGAACAAACACTCATAACGTTTTTCAACACCAACCTGGGACTGTACAGAGTGGTCTGCCCTAAATGTGAGGTAGCGGAATGGCACATGGACGGTTTCTTTAGGACGTAGAAAAATCTCAGGACGTAGTGATGAACTCTGCGTATTGAACATCCCTTCCTCAACTGGTGTATTTAGGTTGTTGAGCACTTTGAAATACCTCCACTCTCTAGCATCTGTGATTAAACTGAAATGAGCATCAATGACAAGTAAGAACATCAGAAATTTCATTCATTACACAAGGCATTTACATACAAAATGTCACCACCTGATAATTGTTACATTTTTTACAGGTGCCATCATTTGTTACAGATGCCCTGTTACAGATGCTGAATGCCAAACACTGTCCACCGAAAAGTTGGAGACCATACCAATATGTCACCCACTTCTGTTGGTGACATAATAAATGCATATTATAGTGCTAGTGTCTTCCAAGTTTGTTTTGTTTTCTGATCAAATTCCTAATTTGCCAAATTAGTCTCTTAGTTGCACAAATAATTTCAGCCTAATTCTACATTTAAACTCTCTCACCAGTGTCACCACAGCTTCAGATGCATTAAAATAAACAATAATCTGAAAGTTGCCAAAAAGGACCAATTTCCCAGAGGTTCAGGACTAAGTACTTGCTTGATACAATTCCAAAGAAATTCCTCACAACTCAAGTCATAATTGTCACAGTGATTTATTGTATCGTTCCTATATAAAGTCAAGCTGCTGTAAAAACTCACTTGAGATCTGCATCCTCCCATTCAAGGTTTATAGTATGTTTAACATTATATGGATTAGTTAAGACAAATTCAAAGAACTCAGTGGTTCCCATACAAGGATGTATGGTGTATTCTTTGGATATTGCCTGGTTTAACATGTTCAGTATTCCATCACGTTTATTCTCAGATCTATACAGTTCTATTGTGCGTAGATTTTGCATTCTTTCAGCTTTTTCCTGCCTGAAAGACTGAAATATAGAAACAGTTGATTGATATACTTGTGATGTCAAAATAGCAATATTGTGAGGGTCAATTGAAAGCTAACATATTTTATTATTTTTAGTTGTTATACAGATGGCTTAAAATAACAAAGGTGTTGGCTGGTTATTTATTATAACTAATCTAAAAATTTAATTCTTGGGAAATTCCATGAGATCAAGATTCTGCAAATCCACTAAAAGTATGGACCATTTAGGCTTGCAGGAATTCATATTATTGCAAAGGAGATCATTAGATACATACAGTTACAGTCTGTAGCTGGTTTTCACTGCCCTCCAGCTTCCTGAGAGCTTCCATTCTACGCAGTTTCCGTTGCTTTGCTGAATCGCCCTCACGATTTGACTCTTCTAAAGGTCTTATACTCTTGTCATAATTAGTATTCAACAGTGACGCTAATTCCTGATTTGTGGCTGTGAGGGGCATTGCCTTGTTGCGCTTTGTGCCTTGCATTCTAGTTATTCCAGCATTTAAACTCCCTCCTAAGAATGAGGACTTTCCACGCTGATCTACTACTTTTTGAGGGGTACCAAATATTTGTATAGACCCTGAAATAGAAGTGCAATTTTTAACTTTAATGTTCTGCAGAGAAGAGGCTGTGAGTCAGCTTAAAACTATAAGCAATCTAGTACCAAAGTCAAAACCATATTGAGTACTACATGCTGTACTGTACAGTGTACATTATGTATCTTAATATTTTGAAGTTGTTAGATTTATTCAATAACAATCATAACTTACAAAAATATTTATCAATTCAGGAAAAATTACATAGACTCAGCTTCTGAGTAATCTATCACAGTACAAATACTACATGCCTGTGTTTTAAAGATAATCAATCCAAAATGCCCATACCTGTTGTCCTTGCCTTTCTATCAGCCTCATAACCAACATTGGCCATTCGTAGATGCAGCCTTCCCTTCATTAGAGCCTGTACACCAACAGGCCTCACTGCAGCCCCTGCATTGGGGTCAGTCATCATAGGCTCCTGGTCAGTCTCTGAGTACTCAGTAGCAACAACATCTAGTTCATATGTCACCTGAACAGCCTCACGACCTTGTCTACATAGTGGCTACAATAAAGGAGAACAAACTTACGATGGAACAATGTTAACATTTACTATGAATGGTAACCCAGAGTTAAAAAGAAATAATATTCTACAGTGTTATGCAGAATCCTACACCCCCAATCCGCACTCTGATATCACGGAACCGTATACGGTACCGTTCTGTACCATTTACATGGTTCAGTACGGTACATTAAGAGTATGGTAGCGTACAGTGCCGTAGGAGGTTGGAGTATGGTACCGTACCGTTTTAGCAATAAAATATAGGATTACAATATCTCTGTATTTGAAAGCCTGGTCTACATAAAAATTAATCATGTTAAAACTCAATATTAATCTAAATTAATGAATCTAAAAAGTTCAAAGGGATTGGATTTTGAGGAATTATGGCCTTGGCACTTATTGCAAATAATTCCACTTAAAGTCTGCAATACCTTTAGCTCTATGGAACATGATCCTATGAGCAGTAAAGAATCACCATCCCATACATCAATATGTAAGGTGCCCTCAGCTAGGTACTTCACAAACAGTCGGCCCTCTCCTATTGTCAGATAGTTTGGGTCCATGTAGTATTTCATCTAAGATATATTAACAAACAAATAGACAACAGGAAATGTTGGACAAGTACCATATTATTTGTTAAAGAATGAATATTTATACATAAATTAAAAATGCAAATTATAGCACATGTTGCTTATATAAAGTTATAGGACACACAGTAATTTGTCACATGAGTTAACTTATATGCCTAATATGTTTTATTTTCCAAAGTCACATTATGGTTTAGGAACTTCACATTTTGCCCCTGCTAATGAAATACAATTTATCAGAATGATCTACTTTTTAATTTAACACAGGGTGTAAATATTCTTTAGTATCAGTATTGAATAGTTCATGTTACTCTAGTGTGACTAGTGATTGATGGGAAATATTATTTATTGATGATGTTATGTACCTGGTATCCTGGGAGACCCTTCAACACAGACCCATCATTGTTAAGCTTCTGAAGCAGGCATGGTAAACATTGTGGATCCATCGAGAGGTCTCCTTCAACTGTACCCAATAATAGTCTAAAATCACAATGATTGTTAAAAGAAGGATGTTGATGGGCTTACCAAAACACCATAGGTTGGTCCCATGTCTCTAAAGTCATTTGAACTTCATTACATTATTTATTATGCAGGCATATTCCTTGTGAAAACCTACCTTTCTGTTGTGACCTGTGGGAACTTGTAGAACTGGAACGTGAAGAAGACTGTACCTTGTTTGCTACCTGTAGGGCTATCCCCACTGGATAGCATCCTAAAGTATAAAAGAAATGAATTTGATAAAAACTGTGATATCTGATTGTTCGAGTAATGAGGATCCAACTGTTATATTAGAATATCATACAGCGGTATGGAATACTGTATAGAGATGTCATGAACACCCAAGTTTGAGCCAGTGTTCCAAAAGCCAGTGTTCCAAAAAATGCATCTTTTCTTCAAGAAGGTTTTGAATTCAGATAATCTACTGAAATGCCATGATGGCTAAGACCATTCTGTAAAATTTCTGTTCCATGACATCTCTAATGGAATGGTGAATGTAATGGAATGGTGAATAAGTCTATAAATCTGAGGATTTCATAAATTAAATGGATGCATGTACATATATTTTTAACAAGGCACAGACGTGAACAATATCGTACCTAAAACACAGCATTGTGGTCTTGTTGACCAAGAAAGCAAGATGGCCGCAGAAAAGTTAATCAGCTCTATAACTTATCACTGTGTAACATATGTAAAAAATTTGAACGGTTTGGCTGGAAACCTGTAGACAAGTCTTGAAAGTGAAGATTTTAGGACGGAAAATCCAAAATGGCCACCTTAAAATTTACCCAGAATGCCCAAAAACCAATCAGTTCTTGACGTTGATATGTAGAAACATCCCTGAAAATTTCAGATGAATCCCTCAAAAGGTTTGGCTGGAAACCTGTAGACAAGTCTTGAAAGTAAAGATTTTAGGACAAAAAATCCAAAATGGCCACCTTAAAATTTACCCAGAATGCCCAAAAACTAATCAGTTCTTGACGTTGATATGTAGAAACATCCCTGAAAATTTCAGATGAATCCCTCAAATGGTTTGGCTGAAAACCTGTAGACAAGTCTTGAAAGTGAAGATTTTAGGACGGAAAATCCAAAATGACCACCTTAAAATTTACCCAGAATGCCCAAAAACTATTTAGTTCTTGACGTTGATATGTAGAAACATCCCTGAAAATTTCAGATGAATCCCTCAAATGGTTTGGCTGGAAACCTGTAGACAAGTCTTGAAAGTGAAGATTTTAGGACGGAAAATCCAAAATGGCCACCTTAAAATTTACCCAGAATGCCCAAAAACTAATCAGTTCTTGACGTTGATATGTAGAAACATCCCTGAAAATTTCAGATGAATCCCTCAAATGGTTTGGCTGGAAACCTGTAGACAAGTCTTGAAAGTGACGATTTTAGGACGGAAAATCCAAAATGGCCACCTTAAGATTTACCCAGAATGCCCAAAAACTAATCAGTTCTTGACGTTGATATGTAGAGACATCCCTGAAAATTTCAGATGAATCCCTCAAATGGTTTGGCTGGAAACCTGTAGACAAGCTGAAAAGTGAGACGCCGCCCGCCCGCCAAGCTGACTACAATATCGTACCTTTTGTTAGGTAGGATAACAAGCTGACTACAATATCGTACCTTTTGTAAGGTACGATAAAAATTGTCAATTGTCATGTCATGTTTTGTTGTTATAACAATATTTCACCATGAAACAATGGATTTGGTCAAGCCACTTTGTAGAGTCATTTCAAAAAAAGTTACATAACTCCAAAAGTATAGTTGAAAATACTTACTTTGAAAATGCGAGAAATTGCAGCGTGATCTCATTGCACTGTAAATCATCAGCCTCCTCATTGCCCATTACAAATGTCGCGACATCTGTGGGATCTACCACTTCAGGGGGCTCGTCATTTCTATCAAGTATTGGTGGGAAACCAGCATTGTATAGTTTAGCATAGGCTGCCCTGGAGAGACCCTGACCACTAAACAAAAGGAAAAAGTTATCTTGAAAAAGAAGTTGTACTTTAAGAAGATCTCTTGAAAAAGCTGTACAGTAAAAATAAAGGTGTACTCTAAAACATTATTTTTATAATCAATCTAGTAAGTTAACACATACACAAGACCTAAAAGTAAAAATCAATTAAACACTGACCTGGTCATATTAGGGGCTGTAACCATGATAGGGGCATGGACAGGGGTGAATGGCAGCTCATTTAACTCAGGACTTCCCATCCCCATTCTTGCTGACACAGGCTGAAACAAAATGATAATTGAAAAAGAGTTTATTTACTTTTAATTGTTTATATTATGAAGTACAACTTGATTTATATCACTAAAAAAATATAGCATGACAAATCTCTAAAAAGTGGCTATAACACAATGTCACCAATTAGATCTAATTATGATGACAAAAAGAATCAAAAAAAATATACATGCAAATATAAATTTTGAGATTTCTTTGAAATATTCAGATTTCTGTGTCCTTTTGTCAACAATGCTGCAAATCAATCTGAGTAAACAAAGACCTGATGGCTACACTGACTGTATGTATGCGTACTATATTACTACACAACTATAAACTTACATCTCTAAGGTGTGTTATCTCCATGGGATACATATTGTTCATTGACTGCATGAGGCCAGGGTAGCCTGAACTCACCATTCCTGACATCATGGGGGTGGGAGCAGGGGAGTACCCACTCTGAGTGCCTTGGGCAAATACTACAACACAAAATCACATGTTTCAAATTCGCATACTATCGTTATCGTCACAAGCATTTTCCATTACTGTATATACATTTTAATATTGTTTTTTGTATTCTATACATGTACATGTATACCAGGCTATGAGATGTCCCAGTTCCTAAGGTACTATGCACTATCAACAAACACAGATTAAATTAATATAGTAATATAGGGGTATAGGGGGAGAGGGAGAGAAAGGATTCATTAAGATAAGGTGTAAAGGTCCCAGAACAATGCATCAAATCTCTTTAAGGTCTTCATAAATTCATAACGTGTGACTCAATGTGTTCATTAATTGTGATCTCCCATACCTTGATTTTGAGGGAACATCATGCTGGCCTGTGGGGGTGGTACAAATTGGCCTGACCCTGGCACTGACAGGTAGGATTGAGCTGTACCCGTTCTGAAATTGAATCATATAAGATAATTATGTGTAGAAGTTATATTAACAGGTCAGAAAGTGTTATTTTTTCAAAATTGTCAAAAATTCATTACAATTATTGCACAAAAGATCAATTTTCCTAAAATTGCAAGAATGTGAATTTATTTCAAGAAAGTACATTGATTTTAAGGACATTTGGTACACAGTGTAATTTTGAAAAGGGAGACATCCCATTTTTCAATTGTCTCTGCAGAAAATTGTGAATGAGTATAAGTTATAAGGTCACCTTATCTAGCAAAATGTATATCTTCAATCCAAATGTATAATATGGAAATAAATAATTATATATCACCTTCTAGGCATTGGAGGTTTACCAGGTGTGACAGGTATCTCATTGAGTATGCTACTCTCCCCCTCTGTTCCCATGCTGGCTTGAGATGTGCTCAAGTGCTTGTGCTGGTGCAAGAGAGATGCCGCTTGGTGGAAGTTGGTGCTCTTTTCACCCTGTGGTTTCTGCAATTAGTTAAATCATGGAACATTTGTAAATGCAATCAATTTTAAAGATAATGTCTGTCTTAATTGAAAAATGTTCTTGAATTTCAAAATTTCTAAATATGGATAGTAATTTGTTTCGTTTTTATGAAAAAGTTGACTTCTATCACAAATGCTTACCTGGAATTTTTCATTGACAAAGTTGAAGGTGAGTGATCCTGCGGCTTTTTTGGCAGCTGACAACTCCTGCATTTCAGTTGGAGGGTTCTTATAGACATGAACAGAATCAGGGCATATAGTGGGCCCTCCAAGCATCTGTATTGTGATGTCAGAGTTCCGAGTATTTGAGTTGAATGGACTCCAAGCGGCCCAGCGTACAGCTACTGTATGTGATTGGGATCTGCTATTTGTATTCAGTAGCTATAATTAAGTACAATTTAGTTGAATAAATTATACAGTGTATTGTCTCATTATAAAAAGTATCATGGTTTAGAGCTTTAATGTGACTTGATTACTGTTCTAGACATTATCACCAATCTTTGATCTGCTGACCTATTCTTATTAACACATATAGAACTATTATTGAAGATTTCAAATCATCTCGAGCACATAAAAATCAAAAATGCACATATTTGTAACATTATTTTCTTTTGACCACCAAATTGACCTAACAAGTATAAATCACTGTGTGAGCAAAAAATGAAATATTCCCTGACTTTACTGAACAAAATTTAGTTTATATTTTAAACAAGACATTTTTTTTAATCATATTACAGATATATTAGGAAGGTTCAAAAAGGTACCTTTCTTTCTTCAGAGCTAATAGGTTCTCCAACCACATATTCCAGCATAAATACCACAGTCATCATAGGGTCCTCACACATTCCTTCCAGCTCAACACGGTTCTTTAACACGAGGGCACTGCCCAAACTACCCCTGAAGAAAAAAAGGTTTACAATATTGCTGATATGTTATAACATAATAAGGGCTTTAAGTGAAATCTTCACATAACTGTGTAGCACTTTGAAAGGCTATTAATGAGCATCTTTAAATATGTCAATAAAAGCATATCGAAACAAGAACTTACAGTGAGCCCACAGAAGGTGACCTTGAATGGCTGGGTAATGTACCTCCACGTCTTAGAGAGGATGTCCGTCGTGTCCCCATGCCTTGCCCTGCATGGTCCAGGGCTAGATAAACACACTGTGGTTCCTGTACATAGCACAGCCCATTGTGCACACCAATCTAAAATTATTCAAGAGAATGTGGCTAAATTGTGCACACCAATGCACCATTACTAATGCCATGTCACTATTCATTGTCATGTTAGACTTAAAGCTACAATAATACATAACTACTACTCCAATACCTTGTGGACAGCAATATAATGCCACATCAGCCCAATGTGCACATCGATACACAAAATTAGAAATTATATCGTGTCAGTGTATTGTACACACCAATTTACAAAGATCTAAAGGAAATAAGAATGTACAGATTCTGGGCACCTACTTCAGCAGGTCAGATTTTTGCCAAAATACATTCTGCCCAATAAACAATTCAAAAATCTCGGCCTCATAATATATACATTACCTGCAATCTTCTTTCAATGACAGCCACAATGGTGCCATCAGCTACTTTATTCTCCCTGTTAATCCTGTCCTCATTCAGCAGTTTACACAGCTCCTCTTCAAACTTGTCAAGCTGTGGTAGCATGTTCAGGGACACTTGGTCTATATGGCACTGCAGCGTCTTCAACAGCTTTGGCTTTCTAAGGTTATCCGAACCTAGAATAGTAAATACATGTAGCCATATCTATTTTTTCTTTTATCTTTTGATAGAATTATACACTAAAAATGCATCATAGTATGCACATGTATTTTATAAAAATCATAAATGGCAATATTCAGTGATTTATCCGGGAATTTTGTCAACAGGATGCTAAATCCTAGTTTGTTTTTGATTGAAATATTTCAATATTTCACCCTTTTGGTAGTGTGCTAACAGATTTTCAACATTGTGGCATGTCAACAGACGGTGGCATGTCAACAGACTGTGGCACCCAGTTGCTCTAATGTTGGAGAAGTCACTGGGTCATTGTTTCATGAACTAAATATAATACTAAAATATTGCGCTATAAGAACTATTCACATTTAAAGATCAAATTAAAATATTGATGATTCTTACTACTCTGAAGTTGTTTCATCCATATAGGTAAGGTCTGAGTTTAATGAATCCCCAATAGGGGCATTAAAAATCACATTCACAAGACAGGGTTTACTGTCATAGAAAACATATCAGGCCCGTAGCCAGGATTTGCCAAGGGGGGGTTCAGTTTTCAAAAATTTCCAGGGGGGGTTCACATTTGACAATTCTGGCCAAAACATGGCTAAAATCACTTGAGAAGTGCTCATTAAGGCGAAAAACTGCATGATTTTGAAATAATTTTTGGCCCGAACCATCCAACCCCCCTGACTTAGGGCCTGCACATCCTGTAATCTAGAAGACTCACCGGTTGGATCTTTAGCAACCTCCATGATTCCGGGCACTGTGTCCTGTTGGCCAACCAGAAAGTTCTCCGGAACCAGGTGCATTATCTTTACCATACTTTTATGTGTCCTTATTGTGTAATATAATTGGCAGCCAGAGATTGCAGTTAGATATTCATTACTTTCAATGGGGTCTTCCATGTAGAGTAAAGCTCGGGGAGAGCCATGATATATGTCAATTCTGTAAGTAAAAATGTTTGAAGTCTCGCACATGTGACCAATCAGGTAAATTCCCTGTTTAATGGTAGGTACTGACAAAAAATGAGATACATCAATTTGCGGATTTTTTGAAGTCTAGCACATGTGACTTATCAGGTAAATTCCCTGTTTAAAGGGATTGCGAAGTTTTGTCCGTTAAACTTGATAATAAGTTAGAATAAAGATATATCTTTCTATCCAACTTCGTTTTATTGTTCTATCATTATCCTTTTAATTGTTATTGAGCCCCGGGTTTTGCATATGAACTTGACCACGGAGCTGCCATTTCAACTGTAAAGTGGTTCTTTACGACATTGTTATGACATCATTGATGCCAGATTGATGCCTTGGCATTCCAAAAGTTTTGTGGCGCCATTTTTGAATCAAAAAATGAATGCCAAGTTGTTGCCATTCCAAAACCAAAGAAATCATTTCAAAGGAACTAAAAGAATATGTATATACCACCCATAATAAAGAACAATTTCAATAGAATATTAACGCCGGCATTTTTGGAATTGGTTTTTACCTATCTAGACATGGAATGCAGGTTAGATTTATTCTTTATTTACACTTGAAACAATCTGGGATTCGTGAATTTTTAACTTTTATTAGGTCTAGCGCTAAATGCGAACAGAGAATGCCAATTCTATCAGGCGAATGCAAACTATTTGAATAAAACATTATAAAATTAATTCAACCAACCCATCTTGAATTTCCAAGAATGCAATCTCGGTGATGGTTTAATTTGCTAGTCTCATTACAAAAATACGTGTTCGTACTTCAATATTCATTGCATTTATGTTTACCTTTAGCACAGGTATTCAAAGAAATTAAAATTTTAAAATTAAATTTTAAAACCTTATTCAATTACTATCATGGATTCTTAGCCTCACGTTACATTTTTACGGGGACCGTACGGTCTATCATTTCTGTGGTAAGTAGGATTTCTACGGTTGCCTAAGTATTTATACAGTCAGATAATTTAGCAGTCACATTTGCTAAGATAGCCGCAAGGCGTATCTTGATTATGAGGAAAAACTACGATTCCCGTACGGCTGATAAATGATGACGCACGATCAGCGTAGGGCATCCTCAAGGCATCCTCAAGGGGTTTTATGGTTCGGAAAGGTCAATTGTAACCTATGAAATCCAAGCGCAGCCGCAAGTCGACCGTGAACCCAACGTACGGCCGTCGTAGGCTGACGGCTTGGCTGCTGCTTGTTGATATCTACGGTGACCACAGGAAAGAAAAAGTTATAACTCCGACGCTACGTCTTGTAAAAGCTGGATGTGTCGTGTACGTAGACAGCAAGGTGACCTTACGTCGACTGTAGTGTACTGATTTCAGGGAAATACTATCGACGTGTGGTCGCATTGAGCAAATGTGACCGAAGCTTTTAAAGTTCCACTTATTTTCCGATATAGAAAAACAAAAGGTTGTATGCTATTAAATTGAAAATCATTATTTCGAAAATACTGTAGAACTGTACTTACCACGGATGTTATATAATTAAATTTGAGCTCGAAATCAGGAATTGTTTTTAACAAAAAATAAATATACATGTATAATAAAATAAATATTAAACTATTGGAGTACTATCAATACGGCAATTGCCTTATCGTCGTTGAAATGAAATATCATACTACAATCGACCCCATCGTCTCCCCACATCACTGAATGTTATGAGCCTTCTCTTGTCATGATCCAAGGTGAAATACCATTGAATTTTGAAAAGCTTTTTTTGTCATATCGAATGTCGCTAAATTACGGTGATATGATGATTGAAATTGGTCGTTTAACAACTGAGAAAAATTAAACATTACATATTATTCTTTGAAAATATGACAGTGGCATGTCCTTGTAAAGCTATTGCCAATCTTAATATTTAGGAGATTGACATTTACATACGTATCATTTGGCATTCTCAAAATTCATTTTAGACGACATAGATTTTTCGTTTTTTTGTTTGCGTTTTAAATCAGAATTTAATGGCTACACTTTAGGGAGTTACTGTTTCATCATCCTTATATCAGCCGATATCTCCTAAGTTTCGTGATTTTTCTACCTAGCCTATACTTTATCACATTGGAGAAAATAAAAACAAACACTTGAAAAAATACATTGCAACAATTCAATTTCTATGAAGAATATATTGAAACAACTTTTCCAAATATATGATATGATATGGACATGAACATTCGGCGACAATGTTAAGCGGACAGAAATGTGTTCTATTTCTGCGATCCGAGTATGACGTGATTAATATAGCGACATTTCCCAGGCATCAATTTTAAGGCATCAATGACGTCATTGATACATAACAATGGCGGCATCCGCAGCGATCCAGATATGGATACTTTGAACTTGAATTATATGTTAATTCAAACACGATATGTCCCATGAGTGAGCTGAAGTGATAGATGATGGTTATAAGTAGTCAGCGTGTAAATTAGAACATGAAACTTCGCATTCCCTTTAATGGAAGGTACTGACAAAAAATGAGATACATCAATTTGCGGATTTTTTTTTGATGGCATGAGACTTCCATGTTGAACAACCTACAATGTGAACATATGCCAATCTAAACATGTTTCTCTATTGTGTTACATTAGACAAGTTTAAGTGTAACTGTTCAAGTGGAACTTTATGGTTATCATGATAAATGTTATGTGTGAAAATGAACAATTATAGAAAATTTAAAAAAGTGCATTCATCCATTATTAAAACCTTAAACCAGATTTCTGTATCATAAATGTTAAATAGATATGTCTAATCAAATAAAATCAAATAATAAACATATTTTGTAAGACTTACTTTTGTGTAGGAGCAGGTGAAGCACTGTTGGTATCTAACATGTCCCCTTCATATTTAAAAACGCGGAATAGTCCCCACCCACAGCTATGACGTTCCTGTTTCCCATTATCTCCATATGTGACTGCTGCTACCTCTAGCACGGCTATTATGTTGAGATCATTCAGAGACGTGTGCAAATACACATTCTATAAACAGAGTTTACATGTAATTGTTTGTTAGCAGGGTTGGCCAAAATATTCCAGAATTAAATAAGTATTATTGAAGGTTGATCATATCATAAGCACAATTGAATGAGTAAATATGTTTAATCCTTTTTGTTCTGTAAATATGACTAAATATAATTGAATGCCAAATCATATCTGATCTAAGCAAATTATACATGTATTTCATATTCGGGAAGATGCTAAGGGGAAATATAGTAACAGTCCAGTGTATATTGAACTTTACCTGGTTGTAATTGAGACGGAGTTTTTGTCCAGCTGCAGTTTTAGCTTGCATGGCAGGTCCATGCCAGGTGTGACCAAAGAACTGTTTGTACGTGACATCAAACAGACTCATAGATATCTCAAACTCAGCCTGTCCTGTGTCAATCTGAAATGAGTTAATCATTATCAGTGTGAGCAAATTATGATCTGTATGGACTGCTTATGGAGGCAAGTCCATTTTTAATGTTTTGGTGATTTAACTATCAGTAGGTATGTCATCATGACCCAGATATATTTTTGCAATATTGGAACAGGTCTTGAATCATGTTCATCTGTTTGATATGGCAAAATTGACAAAATTACAATAGGAAAGTTTTCAAGTTATGTAGTCTACATGTATATCCAATAGACTGAATATCCTGAGAATCCAGTCTATTGATCATTATGTCCCTCCTGGCATGCATCTGTCTTCCCTATTGAAGTTGGCTGCAGAGGGTTTCCAGCAACAACAGTTAGAAGCCTTTTGTCAAAACTAGGGCTGCAACCCAAAGAGCTCAAGAAGGCCCTTAAGTCTATTAGACAGCTCCCGATGGCTATGGATCAAGAGAAGAGAAACATGGAACCCAAAGGCGACCCATTCCACCTAAATCCCACTGGAACCCTGCTTGTATATGTGGCCAACCACCAGACCACAGGTGTTCCATATGCTTGCATATGGGCGGGGAGTATACAGCAGGAGGTGCTTACTCGGCCGAACCCGACCTCACACCAATATCCAAGCGTGTTCCAGTTTCCCCCTTTGGCATGCCATTCCCATTCCCAGTCCATTATAAGTCATGTAGCAAAGCATCGTGGATGTTTAATGAATGAACTGTGGGAAAAACAGGAAATTTCAAGCACAAAATTATCAATTTTAGGAAGCTTCACTTCCCAAAAATAAACATTATAACAATTGCATTAAGTAGTGAGGTACAATTAAATGCTATAAAAACTAACACAGTGTATTAAAATGGAAATAAAGCTAGGGGAAGTAACAAATATGCAAATTAATCTACTCCAGCGGCCATTTTGAATGGCACTTCCAATGTAAACAAATAATTTTCAATCCAAAATTTTAACATACATTTTAACATATACAGTGTCTGAATATTTTCATTCCATATTTCAACAAGTCAAAAAATGCCTGACCCTCTCATATATCTGTTCATTATCCTGTTTATAACTGATTCAAGAGCGCTGCACTGAACGAACCTATATGCCTATTTGTTATTTGTTTAGTTGTTGGTTGGATAACATGTTTATGACGTCACAAATGATGCGAAGAATATTTAAACCAATCAGTGAAGTCTATATTAATTGTTTGTTGATGTGGCGATACGTGTCTGACGTCACAGGTGATTGCATCATATTCCAGTAACGCCATTTTACGACATTGCATAATTTTAGCTGATTTTGGCTTCATTTCACTTTATTTGAAAGACTTTTTAAAATATAATAATGAGTCAGTATTTTTTCTTATAAATATCAATATTTGAATTTGAGGTCAAAGTCCGAAAATTTGATCAACTGATTGAAATCACATTTTAAAGAGGTGAAGAAGTGAATAATTACAGGAGCAAACGTGATCAATGGTTCGAGGTCTCCCGCAAAGTAGTCGCTACGCTCCTACTTCGCGCTGCCTTCGGCAGAGGAGACCTCGAAAAAAAAATTCAGACAAGAGGGTATACTATAGTCTATCATGTTATGGAACTTGGATGGAAGAAGGTTGGTATAGATCATGATTTGGGATTGCTCCGAGTGTACTATCCTTACTCGGTTTTTTTTATCTCGTGGTATGAGGAAAGTAGTTGAAATTCTATTAGAAACCTGTATCGGGACTCCAATGGTATACTACAGCACCAACTTTGGATAGAATACTCTCATTTGCTGGCATATAATGCCCAGAATAACTGGGAAACATGTGATCATAACAGTGAACGGTAAAATATTTTGGATTATTTTATGTGGATGGATGACCTTGGTAGTGGTGAATTGGTTAATGTACATACATATGATGACATTTTGGTATTCATATTATGTAAGGGAGCAGAACTTTTGATTTTTGTTGGATATTCTGTTGAAATCTTTTTGACATGGAGGTGAGATGCTTTGCTGTATTTCTCTGAAATTCTTTGAAAATCGATGGGCTGCGATTTGAGAAATTCTAATTCGAACTTTGTCGATTTAACATGCATCTCAATGGTACAAAAAGTAAGGAGAGTTCTACCAATCCATTCTGATCTATCAGATCTCCCAATCATCTAAGCTAAAACAAGAAAAAGCAAAAACTCCGGATTTGGAGTTTTTCAGATTCTCAACTTTTGGGAAAATAATAAAGCAGCAAATGCGCCTCTGGGGCAGTGACACTAACAAAATAAACGGATTTCAATTTCATATCAATTCATTTCAATTCAATGCTTATGAATACAGTTGGGGACATAAATAAATGACAGGTGGATTTGCTGAAGTGAGGATTTCCCATGTTAAAAATAAGAGAATTTACAAGAGGCCATACATCAGTGGATGAGATTATACAAAATGTAAAATATACAAATTTTAAGGGATATATATCTAGACAATATTGGAAATTATGGGCTTTCAGACCACCATAATTAGGAAATGGTGATCGAAAATCGACCTGTCATTTATTTTTGTCCCCAACTGTAAATCATCACAAATGACAAATAAATTTTACCTTTTGTACAAGGCCCTCAACATTACGAATACTAATGCAGAACGGTGTACTTATTTCCCCAGACTGTTGCTGTCTATCGTATGCTAGCTGTAGTTTTGACTTCTTCAGCAAAAGCTCCTTCCAAGCTTTTATTTTAGACATTTTTGAAAAATTCTAAACACCGGAAGTTTACGTTTGATCAGTTCTTGCAATATCAATAAAATAGTTTGACAGATTAGTCACAGTATGTAACTTGTTACCAATATTTCAAAAAAACATTTATTTAGGATATAGTTAGACAATAATAATCTAAGTAAAACTTTATTTTGTCAGTATTGCTTACATAATTTTAGAATATATTTGTCAACAAATAAGACCTGATTTCAGCCGCTGAAAGTTACACATTCCACATTCTATCATACCTGTTATGTCATGGTGTTTAGCCAATTGTAATAGCAAATTCCTGATAAAATATTGCAAGAAGGAAAAATCTCACGTGAATGTGAAGTTCAAAGCTAAAAAAAACTAATTATCAATTGCTCTCGATGTGTTTTTTTGTAATGTGTATTGCTCCAGTCACGTGACCATGGCTCTGATTTCTGCAGATTGGAATCCCCTTGGGGAGGTATTCTACAGGTATGCAATAACCACTGAAGGTTTCACTACGAATTTAAAATAAAGGCCTTTTCGAATATCAAATACTTCATTTTCATAAATAATGTTTTGCTTGATTACTGCCAAAACCCCGACAATGTCTTTCAAAATTATTTTGGGGTGTAAATTACCCCTAATATCGCCCACTATTTTCACTTCCTTATTTTTATTTCAGTATCACATTATCATCGTGTTAGCATAAGGGTTCTTGTCAACCCTCACGCATTAGTTGTGATTGTCAGGCATTTGCTAGAAAAATACCATCAGTTTTGCGTGTATGCTAAAATGTCATGCAAATCACGCATTATGTTGATAATTAAAAAAAACTGCTTTTTACAAAAAGCCGATATGGTAAAAAGTGAGTCTGAAAGGAAGCGAACGCATTTCGTTCAGACCTTTCACGCGAATTCTGTATATGTCACGCATTTGGTTCGATGTGTAAATGTCACTCATTTGCTTCGGAGTTTTTTGTACCCCTACCCTCCCCGTAAATGAAATAGAAGGTAAAGGTTGTGTATAACTATCAAAATGATTTTCACCCCTTTTCAAAGCCTTAATACAGCACATTGCTGTGTATCTATCATAATCATATTGATCTCTACTTAAACATTTGAGTGAATACTCCTCTTTCATTCCATGTAAAGAAAACAGAAATTAATAAAATATTGATGGGGTGGGAGCTGTTACAATGACCCTTACTTTTGGCAATTTTTAGAACGTTCCATCCAGTGTAATTAATAAGGGACGTATTAATTCAATTACAATATCATTGCCGTTTTTGGGCTTATTACTTGAAAGCATTATGCATTTTTATTGTCATATATTATTATTAAAGTATGTATATAGAACACTTATTATGCCCTAGTTAGAGTTCATTTTGTATTTAGATATAAAATAATTTGGGGAATCCACTAAGAGTTGGGTGGTTTCTCCAAATAAATCGTTGTTATGGAAATGAAACCACATTACATTGGATTTACACAAGAGCGAGCTATGAGTATTTTGTCATCAACAAACATTGGATGGTATGGAGACATTCATTGTGACATTTGTTTTTGGGATTCCTGACAATGGTCAAACATTTTCACTTTTGTTATTAGAGCACTTTGACACTCGATTAGAATTATTTTATTACATTTAGTTAAAGAAGCTATACCATAGGATAGCACAACCAAGACGCCTCTGGACCTTTTTGCATATACTGAGTTTCTCTACATATTCACCCATCTACTTACCAAAGAAGTCCCAAATCCCCATTTCCAGTGTTAATTTTGAGAATGTGATCTGAAGTTTAAATATACCTGGAAAATCCCCACGTTTATTCCTCTTGCTATTAAGAATGTATCTTGTTCACAGAAAAATATCCCTTAGAAAGCGATTGTTAAGAGCATGAAAGAGAGCAGCAAGATTTAGAGTATTAGTAATATGGAAGAACTCCAGGCAAAGATGAAGATGTTACTTCTTCTTTGTATTTTAGGACAATATATGGAACAATGAATGCGACAAGAGAAAGGTCCAATGCATAAAACCAGGCTTAGAGCTTTTAGATAAAACCGATGGATTTATATTCACTTTGTGAAATGTTTAACTTCACTCCCCTGGCTTCATTCATACATTAAATTAGAATTACAAATTAACAATTTTCAATTAACTGTTCATTGGTCTGTGAAAATAATACATGTTGGATTCATCATTTTAAAGAGTGGTCTCAACTGTACTGTTGCACCTGTACTTCCTAGGTTGAGCTTACTACTACTTTTCCCTTGGCCTGTGGCCATTGCGATGCTGGTCATGTAAGTGATGAATCTAGTAAAACTGGCCGAAGGTCAAAGCAGGATGCTGTTATCTTAGTTCAAAAATCCAGCATGCTTTTTCACAACCTGTTTGGTAAATTTCTGATAACTACCCTGAGACCTTAAAGGATGTTTATAACTACAGTATCTAGGCCCTAAAAATGACTTTTGAGGATTACTATCAATAGGATTCATTAAAGATGTATCATACCATGGGTTTTTTGCCCCGACAGTCAACAATGTACCATTGTTATTGCTCATATAATATCTCACATACCATGGATATATCTTGAGAATAACTTATGGGTATATTATTGTTGAAATATTGAAATAATCAACAGAACAGCCAACCTCCAAAATTAAACACAATCAATTCCATGGTATATCCTGGGGATTCAAAAAAGCACCAAACAAAATTGCTGGGGATTGTTGCTGAATAACTGTGGCAGAAGAGATTTATAAGAGATGGGAGAAAAAACATGGGAGGCAAAAGTCACAGTGGAAGAAATTGCTAAGAGTGTTTGACCTGTCGGGCATCAAAAGTACATAACATACAAAGGGCAATATTTTGAGAAAATGTGAAATGGGACACTGTGCAATATACATGTACATCCATTAAATCTAGGATGTTCTCACGGATGTGTAATTTAGTATCTTGAAATGTATTTTTGAGCATTCTTCTTATCGCTACACAAAATGGTATTTGTTGATTAATTATTTCATATTTTCAATTTTTTATTCCTTTTGACGTGACTGTATAACCTGCCCTTCCCTACCCAAACTCACCAACTTGATTTTTTATAACATCAATATAGTTTTATCAGTCAACATGAAAATTTGTAGAATAATCAAAATGTCTCTAAGGAACATTTGCTGAAAATTTCATGGAAAAATATCAATTATTAATAAAGTTAAAGCATATAGTGCATTACTTCGGGGACAACCCTCGTATAGGATAAATCAGTTATTAAATGCTTGATTCTTGATCCCTCAGTAAATACAATATATCAACCCTCGGTCACTATTGTCCCTCAGGTAGATATATTGTATTTCCCTCAAATATACCCTGTATCAAAAACCTCCCATTAAATAACCTCTATGCATGTTTTTAGGAAACATGAGCTATATACAATGGAGTGGTCTGACCTGGTGGACCTTAACAAGTTTGTCGTAGCAGCAGCACCGTATGGGGGACCTATAGGTAAACATATTCTACCATAGATAAACTTACGTTCTATTGGGGTATCTATTTGAGGTCCCTGAATATGACAAGCCCATAAATGATATAGTAAATGAATTCTAACATTACAAAATTCTCGTGGATTTTTGACTTCTCTCATATATGGGCACTCTTTGTAGTGGGTTACAATGTGAATTTCAATTTCAAAAGCGCCCTGGGTGCTAATTACAGCGAATACGGTAATTGTTTATTATTTTAGCTTTAATCCGAGATGAGAACAAATTTGTGCGGGTGCAAGGTGCTACTAAACCAATTATCTACATCTACTCTGCCTCTGGTATAGAGCTATCTGCTATCAGAGTAAGTTTACATAGTTTTTCAAACTGCACAAAATAATAGATATGGATATCCACAAATGTAAACATTGTATTTTTTGAATAAAGTGTGATCTTTTTGAAGATAAGTTTATGGAAATTAGTATGAGACAGAAATTCTTGCATGCACGTTTGTAAAAAAACTCTTGTTAATATTTTCCGTGGTATATTTGGGATGTTATGCATTATGGCAAGTATGAATTAAACAGGACAATTGTTATCATTTCATTTTGCCTTGGAATTCTTTGACAAAACAGTCCAACAAAGCACTACTAAACTCTATTTTAAAGTTGCACAATTTATGATAAAATTACTCATATAATCTGATATTCGAGATTAAATAATGTTTTGAAAGACAATTTTTACCAGAAATGTGTTTAAGCTGAGAAAATCAAAGATTGATTTCATCATTTTTGAACAAATAAATGTTTTTTAAATTGCCCTGGAGAATGACCAGATCAGCCTGACCTTGAAGTTTTAACACAGTGCATGTATTTCACCCAGATATGGAAAGTGCAAAAATAGACCTGTCAATCAAATCTTGAACTGTTTCAAGAAACTGAAATTCAGTTTGATTTGAGGTTTTACTTTTCTATCCAGAACATTGTCAAAATGCTTTACAGTGAATTATGAATTATGAAAGTACAAATGCAATACAATTTGATAATTACTATATAGTTCATTATGACCTATTTGTGATAATTGAACTTAAATTCTATTTTTAGCTCAGAGGTTTCAATAAAGGAAAAACAAAAACCACAATTGGTTCATTTTTTAAGAAAAAAAATATCACAAATATATGTGAATTGTTTTAAAGAATTGTACTTTCCTGTTTCTAACTACCTCTGACAAACAATTTAGGGATGTTGATTTCACAGTTCAAGGGATGCTTTATTAAAATTTATTGTTGGTTCACAAAATCAAAGAATTACAGCATTTTTATAGTGAAGAATATGAATGAAGTTGTTTGAATTTATTGTAGTGGAACAGTGGACATGTTATAGCCATGGGCTGGTCAGTTACAGAGGACTTGCTGTGCATACAAGATGATGGAGTTGTTTTGGTGTATGATATATTTGGAACATTCAAAAGGACTTTTAGCATGGGCCAGGTATGGTATTCAAAATTGTTTGGTTAGCCGTTTGGTTAAGGAGATGTCATGGTTAAGTAGCCAAGTCAACTATATCCCATTGTCTCCTAAAGGAGAAAACTCAGTTTGATGCCATTACATCACTTTGCCATTTAATCTAAATCAATCTCCTTACTTCCCTGCTTTCTCCCTTGCGTTGTTGCTTTTCCATCTTACTTATTTTACACAACTGTCATTATTCTGGTTTTACTCAACATACATACACATTTATAAAGGAACATGATACATCAAACCAGTTCTTATTCTGTAAAAGTAAAGTGCAGTATTTTATAGGTATTTTTAAGATTGCCCTTATTTGTAAGAAATTCTAGGTGATTATTATCTAAGGGAATTCTTTTTCAGGAAGCCAAAGATACAAAGGTGATAGAATGTAAAATCTTTAACAGTTTCAATGGTACAGGGATAGCAGTTGTCACCAGCACATATAGAATCTTTATTATCAACAATGTGGATGATCCTCGTATACGGAGACTTGCTGAAGTTCCTGGTAGGATTCTAATACATACAGAACATTACATATCATTTCATAATTATAAAATTAGATACATTTATTTGTAAAACTATACAGTTTAATGATATAAATCTCTTCAGTTTCACTTTTCCTAAAAATGCTTTAAGAGTTATCATTTTGAAATTGGACTTATTTCAAATGAAATAGTCAATATGAATTAAATATGGCTCCTTTAGTAGATATTATTTATATCTCTCAGAATATTTCAACTGATCATCTTAGCAAAAGCCTCTAATATTTTTAAGGGCTGAATAAACCACCAAGTAGTTGGGCAATAATAAATCATGAGAGACAGAGTCGCGCCCTGGTGGCCAAAGATGCAGAACTCTACCTAGTAGACCATGGTGGCCAGTACACAGAACAAGTAAAACTCATCCTATTTTTTAAATTTAACAAATTCTTGTTTTGACCATGAAGAAAAGAATACTAGAAATTGATAAGCATATATGATAAGACAACCATTACTTAGTAATTATGCTATCAAACCCTGATTTTAATTTTGAGGAAATTCATCCCGAGGAAATATCTTGGGGCTTGTTGCCTGTTTTGGATGAATCCTTTAAATTATTCCTTTTATATATAAATACTCTTTTATCCACTTGTTTAATCTTATTTCAAATGATTTTCTTTTATTTCAGCATCCAGATGTTAAAACCACAGTGAATTCATTCGTTGAGATGTCAGTGTCTGTCAACAATAAATATTTGGCCCTGTTTTCTGACACAGGACTATTGTGGATTGGCTCTTCAGATTTGTCAGTAAGTGGACTTTCTTTGTTTAGAACTCTACAGGGTGAACTTAATGCGAGTCTAAAACTAATATCATGATTTTGGTCATCAAAACATACAAACATTTATTTGATATGCAACTATAATTATGTTAGTTGGAATACTACTGTCCTTTACAGCAAATATGCATCATTTTGCCTCTTAAAACATTCTAATACACTGGTGATCCACTCGATTACGCTGGTTACCAAAACGAATTTCGTGGGAATTCTGCCTACAAAGTGTAAAATAAGGAAACGAGAAAAATCGTACCTTCCGGATGTTCCGACATTTTGTTACCAAAACGAACCGTTTTGGTAACCAGCGTAATCGAGTGGATTACCAGTGTAATACATGTAGTTGATTTTAGTAATGGTTTTAAATAGAAGATTAGATTGAGCATCATATGGCCCCACATAATAATGCAACACATGTTCACATTTGATACTTTTAGCGCATGTACTGTGAGTTTGACACTAAGAGCCCATCCAGACCTCTACAACTCTCGTGGTGTGGAACTGGGGCGGTTGTGGGACAGTGGGAAAATATTGTCCTGATGGTTGGGCCTGGAAAAGATTGGGTGAAATATCCTTTGATGAAATTACAACGTTTTTTTGTCATGTACAAGTATACTACAGCAAATGTATATGTTGAATGCATACTCCAGGCTTCTCTTTCACAATATGTTTATATACAGTATGTGCATGTATGATACATCTTCATATACGAACACATTATATGCACTTTCTTATTAGATACATAGACTACATGTAGTTCAGTCAGAATGAGCCTAAATGCGTGCGTTCAGAGGGATTTTACGAGACATAATTTTTCATGTTGCTAGTATGATTTCACATATTTGTATGAATTATTAGATCCCAGTTTTTCAGCTTTTAGATTTTGTGGCCATTTTAACCCCCGTGGACTATAATTTGGACCCCTACTATAAAATTAGGCAAGAACTCAAAAAATGCTCAGTGGAATGTTTTCAAATTGTTATGGTATATTGGTATGGGCTAAACGAATATATGATAAAAATTTCAAGTCACATGGTTAAGTGGTTGCCATGGAAATGGATAAAACATACCCTTCGGGTGTCAATTTTCAGGCCAATTTTTCAGGAAAGATAGAGTCATTTTGTGCTTATTTTGTCACCAGTGTGTTCGGAAGGGTTGAAATGTGAATAGAAAACGTCTATAATATGTTAGCAACAATCTTATGTAAAGATCAGTCCACAGAACCTCAGATTTTGGCCTTATATGGGTCCATGATTTATACAGGGGCCTATTTCACAGATTCGAACCCCCACATTGGATGGATGCTATAACTTTTGAAATAAGGGAGATACAGGTCTCATTTTTTCCATTCTTCGTAAATGGCTGGTTTTAAGTATTGTATCATACTTTGGGAGCTGGTATATGATTGGTTGCCATGGTAACCAGGGTTTTAGGGAAATTCTGACCCCCTCATTGGATGGATGCTATAACTTTTGAAATAAGGGTGATGCTTGTCTCATTTTTTCAGATCTTAGACAATGATTGATTTTAAGTATTAAATCAGACTTTGATAGCTGAAATTTGATTGGTTACCATGGTAACTAGGGTTTTATTGAAATTCAGACCTCCACAATTGATAAATGCTATAACTTTTGAATTCAAGCAGTTACAGATATCAGCTTTTCAGAACTTAAAAGATAATTAGACTTGCGTATTGTGTCAGACTTTGGAGGTTACAATTTACTTGGTTGCTATGATAACCATGTTTCATTGTCATGGAAACTTCATTTTTGATTTCAGATTTACCTTCATTTGAGAATGGTCAAGACACAACATAAAACGCTCAAAATTATCATTTTACTCTTAATTTCAGCATTTTTACATGTATGTCTGACAGTATTGCCTCATTCCATTCTACTAATTCTCACACATATTCTACTCCAAAATTGTTTTTACTCATCATTATAGTTTTCATCTTCCACAATGGTCTAATAATTTAAAATATCAACAATTTCAACAAGGAAGGATTCTTTTGACCATTGGGGTGTTAAGGATTCCTTGGGGAATTCATAATTCAATCATGCAGTGTTTGGCTTGGTAGGGCTGGGTTTAGGCTGGTGGGGAATGTTTCCATACACAGGTTTGATAATTCACCCTCTTCAAAAGTGAGGGCAGCACTGTTCTGTTTTTGAGAATACTAGTAATTCTCATGTGAAACAGCTAATCTCGTAATCTATTAGTGGAAGTTATTTTTTTGTAATTCAGCTGTACTTTTGCAGGTGAACAATTCAACTTTGGATTTTATGGTACTAGTATCAGGAATTTCTATATTTTTCCTATTGAAGAAAACAACTTTAAGAATTGTTTGTCTTCAGTTTCAGTTGATTTATTTTACTTTGGTTCAGATCCAGTAACAATAAAATCCAAAGTTGAATTGTTCACCTGCAAAAGAACAGCAGAATTCCAAAAATACATTTGAAACTGCATCAATAAACTACGATATGAGCTGTTCCACATAAGATATTCTCCAAAACAGTACTGCCCTCATCATTCAGATCCAGTAACACATTGAAGGCTAATATAGCTTCACACAGTACTTCGTTCTAAGTTTGCAGCTACAGAGGTTTGGTTGAGCTTCTGATATTGAATGGGATAGAGTTCACATCAGTTGAGGTTCTTAAAGTTCTTTTCTTCATAATAGGAAACAATATTTGAAGAGGATGAATGACTAATCCTAAATGTTGGAGTGAGCAATCATTACAAGGTGGAAGATATTCTACATAGCAGCTAATATAATGCAATGAATTACTTTGGAGCCAATGATGAACTCTTCACAAAAAAACGTTCTACAAACCCACGTTTTAATAATTTGAGAATAATATATCTCTGAATTCACATCATTTCTAAAAGTATTTTAAAGTTTCATGATGATCACTTCCAGAACAACATAGTTGTGTGCTTCTAAAAACTTCTCCATAGTGACCCTTCTCCTTTTAAGATCTGATATGAGAATGCCATCTAAATTATGAGGAATGGCAATGGTCCGGCCGATTTTTCCACTTACTGGTATGAGAATGGTCTTGGAAAATATGTTACCCCTCACTTGTGGTATGGCATTGGTCTAGTATATATCCTTTATAATGTGAAGTTGTTTTGGGTTGTTTTCCTCAAAGGTCTGCCTTCTCGGGGCATTAGACATTTTGAATGGCCATGTTTTTATATCTGGATATTTGATATCGCATTGATTCTATATTTGGGCATTTGGTATGACTTTTGGGCATTACTTTGGTTGGTATGGAAATACATTCAAATTTAACAGATTGGTATGGAAACATATTGGTATCTGAGGGTTCAGCCTAGGACCCGAGCCAAATTTTATATACAGTGAACCCCCAGGGACCAGTCTTAACCCATTCTGCCAAGCCCAATACTGCATGAATGTACTAAATCCCCTGAGGATCCTCAACTCCAGAATGGTCAAAACAAGACTTCATTCCAACAGAAATGGTTGATATTTAAATCAAGAGGCAATTGTGCAAAATGAAAACAGTAATGATGAGTAAAAATGAACAAGTTAGGAGTCAGAATATTTGTGAGAGCTAGTAGTATGGAATAAGGCAATATTGTCAGATATAAATATACATGTATTGTTTACCTATAGTATTTGATATTTTTTAAGCCAAACAATTTTTGCCTCTCTAGTATTAATGAGTCATGAGCATGTAAATCATATAAAATAGAAAATATCCAAAAATTAAAAATAAAATGGCAATTTGGTATTTTATATGCATATATAGAATGAAGGTGAATCTAAAAACAAAAACGGTAGTTACCATGAAAATGAAACATGGTTTCCATGGCAACCAAGTAAATCCTAACTTCCAAAGTCTAATACAACATACACATTTTATGATTATCTTATATCTGAAAAGATGATATTTGAAAGATGATATATGCCTGTATAAGTATGCGTTTATCAATTGTGGAGGTCTGAATTTCAACAAAACCCTGATTACCATGGTAACCAATCAAATACCAGCTCCCAAAGTCTGAATCAATCCTTAAAATCAATCATTGTCTCAGATCTGAAAAAATGAGACACGTATATCCCTTATTCCAAAAGTTATAGCATCCATCCAATGTGGGGGTCCGAATTTCCATAAAACCTTGGTTACCATAGCAACCAATAACCTACCAGCTCCCAAAGTATAATACAATACTTAAAACCAACCATTTATGAAGATCTGAAAAAATGAGACCTGTATCTCCATTATTTCAAAAGTTATAGCATCCATCTAATGTGGAGGCTCGAGTGTGTGAAATAGACCCCTGTATAAATCATGGACTCATATAAGGCCAAAATCTGAAATCCTGTGGACTAATCTTTATATAAGATTGTTGCTAATATATTATAGATGTTTTCTATTCATACTTTAACCCTTCCTAACACAATGGTGACAAAATATGCATGAAATGACTCTATCATTTCTGAAAAATGGCCTGAAAATCAACACCTGAAGGGTATGTTTTATCTGTTTTCATGGCAACCGCTTAACCATGTGACATTAAATTTTTATCATATATTCATTTAGCCCATATCAATATATCCAAGTAATTTGGATACATTCCACTGAGTATTTTTGGAGTTCTTGCCTAATTTTATAGTAGGGGTCCAAATTATAGCCCATGGGGGTTAAAATGGCCACAAAATCTAAAAGCTGAAAAACTAGGATCTAATAATTCATACAAATATGTGAAATCATACAAGCAACATGAAAAATTATGTCCCGTAAAATCCCTCTGAACGCACGCATTTAGGCTCATTCTGACTGAACAATGTAAATCATGTTTACTTATTGTTCTAACACATAATACAATCCTCAGACCGAAGAAGCTGGAAATATCTGTTTTTCTTAACTTTTGTCACATACAGCTTTGATGGCCCTGTACACATGGTACCAGAGATCGATGGTCTGCGCATCATTAGCAAAACAACACATGAATTCCTACAGAAGGTTCCAGGTTAGTCACTATAATCATTTGAGATTGGGCTGATGCGATAAATTCATTCCAAATTGCCAATTGAATGTGGACCCTTCCGTTGCCATTTGCAGTGTATTTTCACAAAACACTGCAGAGAAAAAAGGTTATGTTTTGATAGGAATTTAGATAACAGGTACATGTACATAACCTTGCAGTACCGGGAGGTGGTATTTAGATTTACATATGGCCAATTTAAAGAGCTTTGAAAATGTTAAAAAGGTGGCTCTTGCTTCAAAGATTTTTGCAGTGTAAGATAAGTTGTATTTTGATGTATTGATGTGTTTCTGTTATTTTGATGAAGCTTGCCTAATGACTATGCCCCTGGAATAAGTTTAAGTTTTAATACTTGACTCAGGTTTGGCTAAATTTAGGATTAATATAATATTTGTAGGAACATATGACTAATTTGAAGATGCCCATCAGTATACAAGGGTATATCATAAAGTTCTCATATCTCTCTAATTTTTTATTTTTCAATATATTCTGTTGAATTTTTCACAGAATGTGTTGTACAGAATGCTGAATTAATCTGTCAAAAAATATTTGGTATAACAGAAATATTATATAAGAAATGGTTGCCATAGTAATATTCCAAGGAAAGTCTATTTTCCCCCTTTAGTTTATCTTAAATATGTTTAGACCACAAATAGGGGGTGGGGGGGGGGGTAATTTTGTTGATATCTTTGCAACATATTTGTATGATCAAAGGACTTTTCGAACTTAACCAAACTTTTTGTCAGAATGAATTTTATTTTTCTGATGATCTCTGCATCTATGCATTATCTTACTCTGTCATTTCTGATCATTAAGCTTTGATCCTCAGAGTCTGGTATCACATCTAATGAAGCATGTAAGCATCCCCTAAGATATCACATAATTCACATGATCAATTTATTTTATAGTAAAAGCATTTAACAACATATTTAACATAACATTTTAATGTGTTTGATAATTTATGAAAGTTTATTATGTATGTAAACATGGTTAATTAAGCTCATTTTCTCAATTATTTTTATTTGCCCTGGGTGCCTTGATTTCCGGTTACTATGGCAACCATTACTTATTTAATTTTTCTGTTATACCAAATATTTTTTGATAGATTAATTCAGCATTCTATACTACACATTGATTAATACAGTGTTCTATACTGCAGATTTCATGAAAATATCATTAGAATATATTGAAAAATAAAAAAATTGGAGAGATATTATGAGAACTTTATGATATACCCTCGTATGATGTCCAATCAAATTGCAGGATGTGATCACAGGAACAATCATGAGCATGTGCTCTCTCAGTGTCACGCATGCTCAAAGTAAAATTTGAAATCCTCGAAATGGCGTTTATTTCAGTTTAACATCAGTTCAACATCATCCTTAGGTTACTACTAATGAAGTTAGTCGATCCAAACTTGAAGATAATACTCATAAAACAACAGCGAACATTGTGAAATCCATGGCAAATGTGGCCTGTTTATAAAATTGCATGGTTATCGAACGTGCCAATACCAAATGTCATCTTTGGGAAATCTCTCCCCCCCCCCGATTGTCTCCTATGTTTCTCTCCCGGACACTCAATGTCCCATTATACTTCCTCATGTTATATCTTACATACCTTAGATATATCTTGAGACCAACTTATGGGAAATGTATTGAAGATATATCAAGAAAATCAACATAACAACCAACTGTTAGAATTGAATACAATTTGAGCTTTTCGCTATTGAAGGGAATACACGTCGCGTGGCACATGCATCGTCACATGACTTGAACCAAGTCAGCCAATTAGATTCATCTCCTAATGCAAAAATTTCAAGGGAGCGCTCTAACTGTGCTCCCATGAGACAGCGCATCTTCAAATTATTTATTGAAATAAAATACACAATGACATGTTGATGCTCATATGTGACATGTGTATTTTATTGAACATTTCTAGATTGCTTGCATGTAGGCAGGCATAATATGACGCATGAGAAGGCGTCATATTATGGAAAAATGAATTATTTATTGTAAAAGCTTATGGGAAATATTCTACATTTAAAGCATAATATGAAGTAAATGACACATGTTCTGACAAATGTAATAGGGTTTCATTACAATTGTATGGGATTAATATCACTGTATAACATTATCCCAATGAAAGGAGTTTAATAGGATATGTTGAAGCCCTCCATCAGTCCGTCTGTCAGTCCGTCTGTCAGTCTGTCTGCCAGTCCGTCCATCAGTCAGTCAGTCAGTCTGTCCAGAAAATAACTTGAATAGTTATGGATGGATTTTCTTCATATTTTCTTCATAGTGAAAATATGTTTATTGATGAATAGATCCTTATGTGTCTGATACAAACATTAATATGTCCTGTAAAAGAAAATATTATCTGCCAAGAAAAGAAAAGTTATTTCACTTTTTGTGATTTTGTAACATGGGGTCTGTGGGCCCCGACCTAGAAGTCACATATTCAAAGAAGATTAAACCTGCACATCGCTCCAAAACACAATATGTTGACATATATTGTTTTTACATTTTCAAACTCTAATATAAAGTTTCTGTAAATAAAAATTGTTTTTTCTGCATAATATCAAAGAACAATCATTTAGTTTAAAAAAATAAAAAATGAGTGAGGGATTCAAACCGGGGCCGCCTGTGTGCTGAGCGAGCATTCTACCGCAAGGCTACCAACTATTATGAATATTTAATGTAATTAAACGCTACTTATGTTGAATGCTATAATTCGGAAGTGACGTCACGTTCTTAATTTAGAAACCTTCCAAAATTCATATCGTCGTCGACAATCGAAGCAATTCAATGAACAATCTTTGTAATGACACATTTATTGTGAGTTTTTCTACACAAGATTTGCCCCATTTGTTCATCATTCTATAATCTTTCATTAAGCTCAAAATGATTAAGTTCACCCCCGAAACAACCCAAGATTGCGTTTTGGAGCAATGTACAGGTTTAAATTTTCAAAGTTGGCAAAAACCTTTTAAAACACATTTCTAGATGCAATCTTACATGTAGCCTTCAAATATGATATCACTTTAACTAAATTTTGAATATTTAATGAAGTAAATCTAGATTATTTCTACTTGAATCTTGTATATTTTGTATATGATGGTAGTTATGAACCCCCCCCCCCCCTCCATACACAGTTCCTTGGGGTTGTGCCATTCCAAATAGTCATACTCATTATTTTGGTTATATATATATATTTTTGGTTATATATATATTTAAGGGAACTTTCTTATACATCTGCCATGTTATTTAAGCTGAATCAGCCACCTGGGAAACTGGTAACTACCTACTTGCATCTGGGTAATTATCCCATCGAACGAAGTTCGGAGGGATATAGGGAACGCCTCCGTCCGTCCGTCCGTCTGTACATACGTCCGTCCGTCCGTCCGTACGTCCATCCGTCCGTACGTACGTCCGTCCGTCCGTCCGTCCGGGCAATAACTCAAATACCGTTGGCCCGATTTTGTTCATATTTTGTACACATATACCCTATGGGGGTAGAAGTTCTGCTCGAAAGCCAATTTCCAAAATGGCCACTCATTTCAAAATGGCGGCTATTTTAGTGCCGAATTTACAGTAATTTAGGTGCAATATGTAAAACTGTAATATCAATATATTTTAGATGTAAAAAAATTATATAGGACATTAATAAAGCTAGAAATGTAGATATTAAAGAAGCACATGGCAGCCATCTTGAAAAATGGTGGCCTTTACTCGTTATTTTACGATTTTTGCTGTAACTCGAAAAGTAGTGGAGCGATTTTGTTCATATTTGGTATGTGAATACTATAAACATTGCACACTGTCTAAGACACTTTTGGTAGAAGGCGGCCATTTTGAAAAATGGCTACCATTTTCACGTATTTTACTATAACTCGCAAAGTAGTGGAGCGATTTTGTTCATATCTGGTATGTGAATACTATAAGCATGAAACACTGTCTTATGACACTTTTGGAAGAAGACGGCCATTTTGAAATTTTTTTTGAAAAATGGCCGCCATTTTAACGTATTTTACTATAACTCGAAAAGTAGTGAAGCGATTTTGTTCATATTTGGGATGTGAATACTATAAGCATGACACACTGTCCTATGACACTTTTGGTAGAAGGTGGCCATTTTGAAAAAAACTTTGAAAAATGGCCGCCATTTTAACGTAATTTACTTTAACTCGAAAAGTAGTGAAGCGATTTTGTTCATATTTGGTATGTGAATACTATATGCATGGCACACTGTCTAATGACACTTTTGGTAGAAGGCGGCCATTTTTCAAAATGGCCGCCATTTTAACGTATTTTACTATAACTCAAAAAGAAGTGGAGCGATTTTGTTCATATTTGGTATATGAATACTACAAGCATGACACACTGTCCTATGACACTTTTGGTAGAAGGCGGCCATTTTGAAAAAGTTTTGAAAAATGGCCGCCATTTTAACGTATTTTACTATAACTCGAAAAGTAGTGAAGCGATTTTTTCATATTTGGTATGTGAATACTGTAAGCATGGCACACTGTCTAATGACACTTTTGGAAGAAGGTGGTCATTTTTCAAAATGGCCACCATTTTAACGTATTTTACTATAACTCGAAAAGTAGTGGAGCGATTTTGTTTATATTTGGTATGTAAATACTATAAGCAGGGCACACTGTCTTATGGCACTTTTGGTAGAAGGTGGCCATTTTGAAAAATGGCCGCCATTTTAACGTATTTTACTATAACTTGGAAAGTAGTGGAGCGATTTTGTTCATAATTGGTGTGAAAACTATAAGCATGGCACATGGTCTAATGACACTTTTATAATGGTAGAAGGCGGCTATTTTGGAAAATGGCAGCCATTTTTGCTATATGCTTTGTTTGTAAAAATGCCATCCATGGCTGTTCGATGGGATTCGCTACGCTTTGGCGTTGCCGTTGTTCTGGTTATTGAATAATTATTGGCTTTCAGTTTTTGAAGAATTTCAATGATGAAATCTGAAAAACACATGTCAGCAGGTATTCACATATTAGATAACTACTTTTAATAGCATTTCCTAGAATGAATAAACTCTTTGGGTGTTTTATTCATAGAACAACAGAAACTCTCAATTATCTGTATAATGTACAGGGTGTCCCAAAAGTATGGGCCCCCCCCCTAGGCAGACATATTCCACTGTCCGCATAGTATGTGTGATATATCATTTTAAAGCTTATCCAAAGTTACATTGATTTGCCAAGTATCATGGTTTAACTCCCAAATGGGAAAAAGTTACTGTCATTTTAAAAGTTAGTGTTTTGTCAAGATAAAGTTCAATTTTACACCAAATTACTAGTCAATGAGTCCCCCCTCGGCCATGTTAACAGCAGCAATTATTTTCAGATATGACCTTAAAAGCCCTTCAAATAGGGGTGTGGAATTTTATAACCCTCTTGAAACCTGTTAAGGCACTTTAGAAGAGTTTCCTTAGAGTTTCTACCCTCACCGTTCTCTTTTTTTAACTCAATATCCATCCAACCCGAAAAGAATTGCTGCTGTTAAGATGGCCTGGAAGGACACATTGACTAGTGATTTGGTGTAAAATTGAACTTAATTTTGACCAAACACTAAATTTTAAAATGCCTGTAATTTTTCACATTTGAGAGTTGAACCATGATACTTGGTGAATCAATGTAACTTTGGATAAGCTTTAAAATGATATTTGACACATACTATGACGACACTGGTATATGTCTGCCTAGGGGGGGGGGGGGCATACTTTCCGGACACCCTGTATATTATATATGTAGCACAATAGGTAGGCATATTTGCCCTTGGGGGTATTTCAATCAATACCTTTTAGGTAATGGCAATAAGTGGAAAAATATTATGTATTGGGATTTAGTTTCTGAATATATGTAAAGAGGTATTTATGGCACTCTCTTTTATTTTGACATTTAGAGATTTAAAGTTTAGAAGCTCAATGATTCAAATAAACTGGTGCAGTGGTGCCTCTTATTTGATAAAAGCAGAACTCTTTAGATTTAAGGATATAGGCATGGATATTATTTAGCTGCTCGGATTTTGAGAAAGAATAGCTAAAACATTGAATCAGATTTAATTAGGAAAAATGGCTGCATTCTTAGATTTTTCTGATGAATCATTTAGAAAAAATCTAAATGAGTTGTGTAAATATCCAGATGTGAAAAATCCAAAGGCAAAAGTAAAAATCAACATAAGTGGTCATGTATACGTTGTTTACCAGGAGACGTTAGACAATATACCTGGACATCGCTTGTATAAACTAACAAAAGATGATCCATGTTATGACAGTGAGAATGATGAATATTTTTTTGAAGCTAATCCAGCCTTGTTTCCATACATTTTGGACTATTTTAAACAAGGATCCGTGCATTTTCCCAAATCGTTTTGCACTTTTACACTTCGAACGACATTAGCTTTCTGGAAGATTGAAGATTCAGCTGTCCCTGTTTGTTGTTGGAAAGAGTTCACAAAAAGCAGCATAGAAGTTCAATACTACATTAAAGTCTCCTCCATCTTGAACTGGACAGGTATTTTGCACAAGAGTCTGGATGATAAGGCAACTAAATGGGCCCACCTGAAAAGAAAGATCTGCATCTTCTTGAATGACCCAGCATCAGGTTTTGGCTCAAAGGTTAGTTCTATAGTATTATAAAAAATTAATAAATAAAACATTTTTTATTTAGTTTTGTTTTTAATCTCTCTAATATGTGATTGAATATCTTTTGTTTTCGTTCTAAAAACATTAACTCTTGCTTTTTATTTACAGATTTGGATGCTGTTCTTTCTGATAAATCTTCTGGCATCACTATTTGTCATCACTGTGGAGATGGATGAGAATTTTCGTGTCCCAATTGAAACAAAGGGAATATTCAACGCCACTAACCCTAAGATTGCAAAAATTTTGGAAACAAACCTTCATCCAACTTTACAAATTATAGAAATATGGACAACAATTTTCTTTACTATGGAATGTATGATACAAGTGATTGTCACCAAATGTCGTTTCTGGTTCTTCAAACAGCCTGGGACTTACATGGATCTTATAAGTATCATGGGGTCTTTTGTTGGATTGGCTTTCATGATGTTTCCTGAATTGTCTCAAAACATTAGATTGTCTCAAGAAAAGGCAATGATTATTCTTGGATTTGTTAACTTTGCCAGATTTTTGAGAGTTTATCGACTTATTCGATTGGCGAATTACTATAGATCATTCCGCATACTAATTGCTGCTCTTTATGCCAGTAAGATGGAGATATTCTTGCTATGTTTCTTGTTAGTGACTGGCATGGTTGTGTTTTCAATTTTTATCTTTTGGGCTGAGTTCCTCATACAAGATGGATTTCCATCAGTCTCAGTTGGATGCTGGTGGGCAATTGTTACTATGACAACAGTTGGCTATGGTGATCTCCACCCTGAATCAGTGGGTGGATACTTTGTTGGAGCGTTGACAGCTGTTGTCGGTCTAATTTTTACAGGACTCCCTATTCCAATAATTGGTAATACTTTTAATGAAATGTTCCAAGCTGCAAAGTTTGAGGAACACTGGAATGAAAATTTGAAAAATCGTGAGAAAAACTCTGATACAAAAATTTCAAAAGCCAAGGTAGAGTCAAGTAGCAAGAAGTGTTGCTTAGTACCCCATGATGTAAAAGAGTTAGAATTCAAGCGAACAGATATTGACTGTGGAACTTCAAGTTCTAAAGACATTTGTGATTTACCACAAGTTAATATATAAAACTTACAATTGTTAACCTATTTACCAATATTTGAATGTAAATAGTGATCCCATGGATCAGGTTTGCTTTGAGTTTATTTAGTGTTTCAAAATTTAGATTGAACTATAAAAGAATCATTTGGTATAGTTCTTCTATTTTTATTCTTTAGAATTTATATTTCTGAGGTGTTTTTGCCAATTTACAGTTTTTGGCATGTTTCCAGAATGTACTATTATCACATCTATAGAAATGAATGCATTATAGAAACATCTTAACATTTCTCCAGGTATTAAATTTTAAATTCAGAGGTTGATTCGACCTGAGTTAAGGTGTTGGCAATAAGTGTACAACAAAAGATATAGATGATCATGATTTACAAAAAGAATGGATTCCTTTTGTTTGCATGGTGTTAGCATTAATTGTGCATTGATTTCCATTTATTTTCTATTGAAACAATACTAGAAGCTTCTAATGGTGCCCATTAACCTATTTCCCCCAGAGGTTCAACAGACCTTAGTGACAAAAGAGGGATTTGCAAAAGGATTTTAAAAAATCAGATTCTGTTTTGTGTCATCCATTTTGTATTGATAACCAAAGTTCACTTAGACCTCAGTTGGAAATGTTTAATTTGTTATATCGATTCTGTTATATCATGATGCCATTTAGAAGTGGAGGTGTGTCAGTGTTTGATGTTTCATATATACACCACCCTTATTATTATATAAGATATTAGTAATGAATATAAATGGTGTTATGATTGTCATCCAATTCTAACTTCTGATTAATGCACTCTGCACATTTCATTTATCTGTCTGCAAACAAATTAATGGTGTTTGTTTATTTCCAAGGGAAGAGGCACTTTGTCAAGTTTGACTTTTTTACAAAATAGATGTCTAGATTTAGGTACTTATCTCTCTACTTTGGTCTTTGCCATTGTGAACAGCAATGCTGAGTGCTTGACTTGGCAAACCTTTTTTACAGGGGATGATACCTTAATGTGTAAACATATTTATTTCATTCATTATTGGTACCATTCTTTGATCCTAACTGGACTATTTCAATCCACTAAGGACAACATTCATTAAAATTTTGTTTTATAATAAACGTATCAATATACAAGAATATATAGAATTTCTATAAATCCAGCATGTAGATAATAATGGTAAATACATGTAATACAAATTTTGTCGCCATGAGGGATAAAGGTAAAACAAATATGAACTATCACAACCTAATGTGTGTATTTAGTAAACCAACACTATGGATTTCATGGACCACTACATGGACTTTGATGAGTACTTGTAATATTGGAAACAATAAAGATAAATGTTGTTATAACCAGAAACATATAAATTCTGTTTTATATGTCTCTAGATCTATCCAATCATTTGGCATAGAATTACTGTTTAGAATATTACATAGAATATTGTTTATATACTGTATCATTAAATAGGTTCCCACTTTCTTTGATTTGGTATATCTCATCAGGGAAATACAAGTATTGTGTTGTACATTATTACATTTTTTACAATATCATATAACCCCCACCAGATACTCATTGAGGTAATTATATGACTAATTGTTATCATCAAATCACAATATGGTTTAATTGTTGTCATGTCATTAGACCTGGATCCTAATCGATTTTGCTGTTGAATCTCAATTTAATACATTGGGATCAAACTGAATATTACTTGAAAAAATCAAAATGACCACAACCTTTTTCATGGAAAATCAGTGTCAAATCTCTCTTTTTAAAACAGTTTAAATGATGGTTTTCAACGATTTTTACTGCTATCTTTTCTCTCATTATCCTGCTGTTAAAATTATTTTTCCGTCTAATAGATTTGAAAATGTTGTCAGGCACATGTATATTCACAGGCTGGTATCGAAAAACTTGTCCGCTGCGATGGAGCGTGCTATTTTGCATAGAATCACTAGGAAATCCACACAATTTATTTTTTTACTCATATGTTTTGCTATATCAAAGAAAATTACTGACTCCATGCAATGAATATATCATTTGCGGGTAACTTTAAATTATGTTTGAAATCCAACAACGCTATGAGTAAAAGCTATTGAAAACGGCGCCGGAGTATCATACTCCAAAATGTACCATTTCTTTTATTTCTTTTTAATGGTACAATATAGCAACACGATAATATTTACATATGTTTTCAGCATAACTCTGAAGGTATTAATGAGATCTTTATGTATTGGGTATTTTTAATTTTTTTGATAAAAAATAATAATTAATTGTTTTGTCCGCTGTGACGGAGCAGTTTCAAATCTGAAATGCGTTAAGAATTTAGATTCATAATATATTTCTTTACAACTAAACTTTAGAGGAGCGAGCATGTCAAATCTCTTTCGTAAAGTATTCTAAAAAATGAAACGTAATAAAAGTACACATTTCAAATTCTGAAATGTATATACACGGGGTACCATCGAATAATTTTGGCAACGTACCGGAGAACGACATTTTACTAAGAAATGGCAATAATTTAGCACAATATATTTTTTAACTAGAGTTCTACTTTGATTTTGACAAAAGTAAGTATTCCATGCAATGGCTATTTCATTCGTGAGTTTGTAGGAATTCTGTTGGAACCGAGTTCTGATCAAGTACGAAGTTATTGAAATCGGCGCAGTCGGACTTTACTCCGAAAGATGGTTTTTTGATTATAACTTTTTACAACATTTAAGTATAGACTTTTGAAAAAAGTACAGAATAGTCCTTATACTATTGAATAATTCTGTTATTTCTGATTCACACGACTCTGATTTGTTTAATTTAAAAAAAAGTTTTAAAAATATTACTTAGGAACGTAACCGGAGCTGGGAACGTAACCGGAGCAGATCAGTTGAATTGTATAATTTAAAAAAATAAAATATATGATTTAAAGCATATGTATTTTTTACAAACACATATGAATGTTAAAATGAGCATTTATTACCCTTCACTTACAGGAAAATCAATGCATCGAAACAAAGATGGATAACAACTGGTTTTGCATAAAACAATAAACGGGCACTCACTCAAACATCTAACGTTTATATGGAGGGGGGGGGGGGTTAGGTGAAGAATTTCAGAAAGCATATGTTGATTCGATTTGGTCGAGCACATGACAAGTACTTAACACACCTACGCTATATACAGTTCATTGTATCCTAACTTTTTTAATAATCTAGCATTTAAATGCTTTTATTTCCCCTGAAAAAGAGAAGTTGTCTTAGAAGTATAATACATGTATGTATAAACAGTATATATATACGAAATTAGTATAACAGAGTGGGTTCTAATAGTTCGCTGAACAAATACAATGGGTGAAATCAAATGGGATTATTTGCTTACTACATTTAATCACTTCATTCTCCAAATGATTGTTCTATGTTTGATAGCCTCTCTAAGGTAAGTGCACTTATGCATGGTAAAAACCAAATTTAATTTTTCACAATGGATAATTTTTTTTCTTTAAATAAAATGTAATAAATACGCATTCGAACAATCCCGTATGTTTTTAAATTAGTATATGTGCTTTAGATCATATATATTTTTTTTTTTTGATTAAATAATTCATCTGATCTGCTCCGGTTACGTTCCTAAGTAATATTTTTAAAACTTTTCTTTTAATTAAACAAATCAGAGTCGTGTGAATCAGAAATAACAGAATTATTCAAAAGTATAAGGACTATTCTGTACTTTTTTCAAAAGTCTATTCTTAAATGTTGTGAAAAGTTATAATCGAAAAACCATCTTTCGGAGTAAAGTCCGTCTGCGCCGATTTCAATAACTTCGTACTTGATCAGAACTGGGTTCCAACAGAATTCCTACAAACTCATGAATGAAATAGCAATTGCATGGAATACTTACTTTTGTCAAAATCAAAGTAGAACTCTAGTTAAAAAATATATTGTGCTAAATTATTGCCATTTCTTAGTAAAATGTCGTTCTCCGGTACGTTGCCAAAATTATTCGATGGTACCCCGTGATATACGACCACTCTTTAAGCTTCTTTTCTCAGTTTGTACTGCAATCCAACTTATGCATGGTAATCATGAAAATGATAGTCAACTTCCATTTCAGTAAAGGGTATTTGCCTTTCGTAGTGCCCTCTGTGGATCCATCGGCCTGACATGGTCATTTTTTACGGCAACTTAATTATTTGAAGTAAAATGATTTATGAAGCTAAATACATTTAATGGTATGGACTGTGGATTGTTCTACCCTCTTTAGTCGTTCCAAAAGGTAAGTTGAATGTATCTTGAAATACGAAAATGCAAAATTTGATTTTAAGATCGTTCTTTATTTGACTAAGAGTTATGGCTATCTGATGCAACTACAGTAAAATATGTGTACAGTGAATACATATGGAGCCCAAAAATGTGTTCCCACTAGATGTTCACTCCATAGAGGCAATTTCATACAGAAGCCAGAGGAATATTTGATAAGACGAGGTATTCACTAGAGAAAGATATTCATTGATACAGGTTTTACAGTGCAGCACGTTTACAAAGACGTTTTTTATAATTTTATTCTATGAAAAACGATGAATTTCATGAATTTCAAATAATTACAAATTAAATCTGTATTGCGATCATCTTATATACAGTAATATTATAATATTATGTGGTAAAAGGTTATACATCTGTCAGAATGCATGATGTCTGTGCGCTATTTCGAATAAGTAAATTCATATTAGCCCTATTTACACTACACGTGACATTTCAAAACGTCTAAGTGAAAACGTATTAGAAATATTATGTTGAGTTTACATCATGTTGATTCATGTTGATTTCAGTACAAACCTCCAAAAATGCTAAGAGTGGTCGTTTTTATATCTCAGATTTACATTACCCCATATCTCCAAGAGGCTGCTTGTCATTATTTAGGAAAGTGATTTGTGACATTCTCTCTTCTAAAGCCCGGTATACACCAATGGGGCAAGTTGGGACCTCCATAGACTTAACATTGCGTGGGACCTCGTGGGACCTTTTGGGACTTTGCCCCATGAAGTCCTTGGGACTCCGTGGGATTTTGCCCCATCTTGCCCCATCGAGTCCCACGAGGTCCCATGAGGTCCCATGAAGTCCCACGTGGGACTCGATGGGGCAAAATCCCACGAAGTCCCATGGAGTCCCATCGAGAATGAACATGTTCATTCTTTCCATGGGGCATCGTGGGATTTTCGATCATATGACGTGTTGTGTGAAGCCCGACATACACCAATGGGGCACAGTGGGATTTGATGGGACTTGATGGGACTCCATGGGGTACGATGGGACAAAGTCATCAAGGTCCCATGGGACTTCGTGGGATTCGATGGGGCAAATTGGGATTCGATGGGGCAAGATGGGACTCGATGGGGCAAGTGGGATTTTGCCCCATTGGTGTATACCGGGCTTAAGGGTACTTTTAAAAGATATAATTTGAATCTTAAATACTTAACGTAGTTCACAGTTAAAACTGCTCCGTCACAGCTGACAAAAAATGTAAACATTATTTTTTATAAAAAATATTAAAAATACCCAATACATCAAGATATCATTAATACCTTCAGAGTTATGCTGAAAACATATGTAAATATTATCGTGTCACTATATTGTACCATTAAAAAGAAATAAAACAAATGGTACATTTTGGAGTATGATACCCCGGCGCCGTTTTCAATAGCTTTTACTCTTGGCGTTGTTGGACTTCAAACAAAAGTTAAAATTACCCGCAAATGATATACCCATTGCATGGAGTAAGAAATTTTCTTTGGTATAGCGAAACATGTGAGTAAAAAAATAAATTGTGTGGGTTTCTTAGTGTTTCTATGCAAAATAGCACGCTCCGTCACAGCGGACAAATTTTTCGATACCAGCCTGTGATATTGTTCATGACTCCGAGCATTGGGCTCATCACAAAGCTCTCTGGTCGGATATCTTTTAGGAAGCTCTTGGTGCTGCCTGGAATACATAGAGTAGACAGATGTCAGTAAAATATATACTTTTATGATTTTATGGCACACTTCTAGTGATTGGTATATACATTGTCCTGTCTTCCACAAAATGTTGCAAGATTTTATTCCTGTGTATTTACAGCCGTGACAGAAGACATATTCAAGATTGGATCAATGTCTCCAGGTGCAATGTTGTTTGAGGCATCAAGAGAATTCCAGGTAAATACCATATATATTTGCATACAACCAATGGCCATACATGAATGTGATTGTGTTACCTCATAGTAAAGTACTTAGCACATGTACTAGTGCTTTTTTTGACATTTCTCACTGAAAATGTTTCTAAATACAGTAAAACCTGTCTAATCCGAACACCCATGGGACCAGCCAAAAGCGTTCAAATTGGCAGGTGTTCAAATTTCGAGGATATTGTTGGTCGGGGGGGATTTTCATTGATCAGTCTACTATATTGAACACTTAATACTTAGTCAGAAAACAATACAATACGAGTGCTCATTCGAGATGATGCATAATCTTTCAAAATATCAAGGGCATTCAGGATGTCAGATGTGCCTTTTTAGGAGGCATTTTAGTGATAGGATATTACGAAGTTGAATTTTTTCTCTTTCTCGTGATATAATCTTGTCTGCAAATGTGTCTGTGTTGTCTTTGTGATTATAAAACATTTACTGATTGAACCCTAGCTATCGTAACAGACCCATGGGTTAAAAACAGTTAAGACTTGTTCATAATCCAAATCAAAAACATCCAGTTAATTTAAAATAAGGATAAACCAATTATCTCCCAGATTCTCACCTTTCTCTTAATCCAAATCAAAAACGTCCAGGTAATTTCTAATAATGATAAAACAATTATAATCTTGTCTGCAAATGTGTCTGTGTTGTCTCTGTGATTATAAAACATTTACTGATTGAATCCTAGCTATTATAACAGACCCATGGGATATAAAACAGTTAAGACTTGTTCATAATCCAAATCAAAAACATCCAATTAATTTAAAATAAGGATAAACCAATTATCTTCTTGATTCACACCTTTCTCTTAATCCAAATCAAAAACATCCAGGTAATTTCTAATAATGATAAAACAATTATAATCTTGTCTGCAAATGTGTCTGTGTTGTCTCTGTGATTATAAAACATTTACTGATTGAATCCTAGCTATCATAACAGACCCATGGGATATAAAACAGTTAAGACTTGTTCATAATCCAAATCAAAAACATCCAGTTAATTTAAAATAAGGATAAACCAATTATCTCCCAGATTCTCACCTTTCTCTTAATCCAAACATAAAACATTCAGTTCTTTTCTAATAGGATAAACCTATTAACTCCTGTATTCACACCTTTCCAAATCATCCTGTTGTTCTCCACAATTAGGGATGTCATTGAGACTTAAATAAGTTAATTAGGACAATATTGGTTCTTTGATTACATTGCATATGTAAAGATAAATAACAACTGTAACATTGACTCAATATGTGGCTTTAATTGAAATGTCCAGAAATTTGATTTCTGATAAAATGTTCAGATTAGGCAGGTCAGTTTTTCAAATCTGGTTGTTCACTGTTCAGATTAGGAGGTGTTCAGATTTCAAGGTTTTTTTAACATGGGAGTCAATGGGAGGAAAAAATGGGACCGAAAAAAAGTGTTCAAATTGGAAGGTGTTCGGATTAGCCAGGTGTTCAGATATACAGGTTTTACTGTATGTATATATGAGGCATTTTTATTTAAATCTCAATCATCTGGTAAATGAAATGCTTCAAGAGAATTTTGAGTTGAGAAAATATTGATTTTTTCAAAATGGTGACTGGACAACAGTCTAGTCTAGTCTGTTCATCCAAGTAGATAACCCATTTACCACTGATTCAATGAACAATATGTAGTATCGTGGTAAATAGTGAGTGGTAACCTTTTTATGGTTTGCTGCTTTATTTCGATGATAATGATAATGATAATTCCCTCTTATAGAGAGGTAGCCAGCGTGCAGATGAGTACATACGTATGATACCTGACATCGGGAGAGCTGTAGAGGAATGCATCGAAGCTGCCGGTGAAGAGCATGAGCCAAGCAAACAACAGTTGCTACTGAGGGTGAGAATTTATTTTACACATTATAAAGATGGCAGCACTGCAAATTCACTGTATGAATCGTGTTACTCCAAATGGACTCCAGATAATGCACAAAAGGAAATCATGAAATTGCAAGATTAGATTTTTAAGATCATGTTCATCTATAAGTGAGAGGAGTTCACACACATGCTTATATTTTGTTATTCTTATTAGGTTGTAATAATGGTTTATAATTGATGTCAAATGTTTTATACTGTTTAGGGGTGGTGTCCAAATTACATGTATCAACAGTCATGGAAAAACAAAGTCAATTTTGTTATAGTTTGACCTCCCCCACTTTACCCTCATCTAATTAAATTTTAAAATATTGATTTGTCTTTCACCTGAATGTTAAAAAAGTTAACAGTCTTCACTAAACAAAATCATCATTTACCCCTTCCCCTGACGGCACTAAATTTCTTATTTAACAACTGTTGAGAATTGGACATTTATATTCCACATATTACATGTAGTTTGTATGTAGCCCGGGTATGCAGGTTAAAGTGAAGTGTGTACAATTAAAGTAAAGTCATAAAACAAATGTTCTAGTGACATCTGCCTGTCATATGTATTCCAGGCAGCATCATTTGGAAAGTGTTTCCTGACAGATATCCAACCAGAGAGCTTCGTGAACATGTGTCAGATGCTGCGAGTCTTGAACAACATACATGACTACAAGCTGGCAATTCCACTCACTAAAACTCAGTATCCTTTTGAATTTCTCACAAACAATCATGTTTCTTAAACTTAAGCAGACATTGTAAAGTGGGAGGATATATCTTAATCTAACTGATTTCAACAAATGCCCATTAATCACAAAATATTTCAATCGATGTTCAAAGCACTTTAGTCAACAGATAATTATTTTTCAGAATGTTTAAAAGTCAGCAATCTTTGAAATCTCATTGAATTGTAGCATGCCTTTAGGTTAACATTTGTGTTACTTTTTTTATTTAAGTTAATAGATCGAGGAATCGGAAGTAAGCTTAACTGCAATAGGGTCATTACTGTCATTCCTGACCTGCCTCCTCATCTCATTATAACCTTAACATTTGAGACTTGAACAGCTTACAGTTCCTGTACTCATAGACCGCTTGGTTTTACGGAGACAGTACTGTCTTGCTATCAGAATATGTCAGTACCTGAATATACCTGAGGCTGATGGGGCTAGCAGGATACTGGCTCATTGGGCATGTTATAAGGTATGTACAAAAGGAGTGTTACTGGCACTTAAGAAATTGGTGTATTATGAAGTAAGCCTTCATATTCCATAAAGTACATACACTAATATGTACTGTATACAAGCACTAGTATATTCAGACAATTTTTACACTGCACTACAGAGGCCTCATTATCATCTGGTCGCAAATAGTTGCGTTGCGTCTGCGATGCGATTGCGATCGCAATTCGTAACGCATGCGATGCGTGATATTATCAATTGAGCGCAATCGCAGACGCAAAGCAATCGCAAAACAATTAAAACGTAAGTTGCGATCGCAAGTCTAGAGTGTATTTTGGCGCGAAATTTAAAAGAACACTGGCGCTATTTTTTGACATTGATTGATTGAAATTGATAGAAATCCAATAATTGATATGATTTGATTGGTTTCGCATGCATTACACTTGTGCAAGACATAAGTGCGCCAAAATGCAAATCGATTTACATTGAACAGACGGTAGTCGAAGAAACATGTCGAGGGCAAGGAATTGGACAAATGATGAACAAGAATTATTAGTATCTCTCATTGAGAAGGATGCAAATATTCTTTTGGCACCACTAAGCTGTCAAATAACAATACAGTCACAGGATAGTTGCTGGGCAAGGGTAGCTGAAAAAATAAGTTCACTTGGTGTGGAAATGAGGACTAGAAAAAACGTTATGTAAGTCACACATCACTGAAAATAAATAACTGTTAAAACGGGAAGTTGTCATGCTACTGAAACTAACTGAAATAAAATGAACTTTGGGTCGTTGTTGTATGTGTTCTACAATGCTTCTATCTAAAATCCGTCAACATGATTTTTCAACAGACAATGAAACGATAACAGCTAATGAGTGAGTTTTCTATTTGGTGGTGTATGTTTACATTTTATACACATGCAAGAAAATTGCAAGTTGTTGGTTCCATATCGATATATGTTTAAATATGTCTCCAGTGTATTGCATTTATTTCCTTTGGTGTTCTTGTACTTTTGCAGACGATGTAGGTGAGGTACATATACACTAGGAATACTCAGAACATCAGTGTAGTAGGGGCAAGATTAATTCACCAAACAAGCTTTATTAGCTAGATAAATATTTAATTGGCGAAAATCCTATGCTCCAAAGAGCACGAAATATTGCAGGCACCAATCTAAGACGTATACAGTATGTGATGCGTTCGCAATATTTAGAAACAAACGTGATTTTTAAGGATTTACAGGCTCAATTAAATGTATATTTTAATCATATTAAATAAATAAAATTGAACAATTTCTTCGATACTATTGATTAATACTTAACAGGTAGTGAAATGACCGATATAAAACACCACAAAATATCCATTAACATAGATAAAATAACGCTCAAAGATGAACTAGATTTGCGATTTGATTTGCGACAGGGTAAACGTCGTCGCAAATTTTTGTTTAGTTGCGATCAGAAAATCTATAACTTTGCGTCAGACTTGCGATGCGATGGAATGATAATAACATTTTTGGGAAATAGTTGCGTTGCGATGTCTTGCGATGCGATTCGCATGCGATTTTGCGTTGCGACCAGATGATAATGAGGCCTCTGAATAGGCATACATGCATTATCATATTAGTATATTCGATAAAATACTTATTTTATATGGATTACTTGCAGTGAAACTGATGTTCTGTTCATCTCTTCTACAAAGAATGCCTTTTAATACTCAGAAGTAAAAAAGTATTTTTTGTAGAGACGATATCTCTGTATATGTTTCACATGTATTTTATGTAGTTATGTAATAACAGGTACAACAGACCCATGTTGATGATGAATTGGTTGCAACAGCTATTGCCAATAAACTAGGTGACACCCCTGGAGTGTCTTATTCTGAGATTGCCAACAAAGCTATTGAATGTGGACGCACTGAGCTTGCAATAAGGGTAACCTTTTTTGATCATAAAGCATGCATGTTGTTAAATGCAATTTGTCAATTTTGTATTTGACATTTAAAAATATTTAGATTAATTTCTACACTTCAAGTGGTTCATTGAGTAATCAAACTTGAGAGATATACTTGGGTGGTGTGGCAAACACAAAGACCAGTGATGTCAATAAATGTAATTTATGATTGATATTGATGTTAGAAATGCCAACTAGATGAGTGCAACTGTCAGTATGCCCAATTGAATGATCAAGCTCACCTGTGATATTTATTGTACAGTTCTCTAATCTATTTAGTTTTGACTCAAACTTTGAAATAAATGTTACTGTAAAGACTCTTAAATTCATAATGTCACTGTCTCTTTTTTAAGTTAGTATGCTATATGGGTAATACTCCATTTCTATTTGCAGCTGTTAGACTTTGAACCAAAGGCTGCCGAACAGGTCCCACTACTTATGAAGATGAAACGTGACACTAATGCCCTCTATAAGTCAATTGAGAGTGGAGACACAGACCTCAGTAAGTAATGTGTATTCTAGATAGATGATTGAAAACATATAATTGATTAATTAATGTTTGTTTGTTTGCTTGTTTGTTTGTTTTGGGAGCTCATTGCTTTGTTTCTAATCATTATTTCTCATATTTAAAACATGTAATACCTGATATAAAATTAATGTTAAAAATATTTGTATATTTTTATCATCATGATAAACCATGACATCTCATTTTCTTCTCAGCCCTGAGATGTTTCAGGTGAAACAGAAAGCTGCTATGAGTATCAGAATGTATGTTTATGGACATAGGGAATTATCAAATTTGTCAAGATATCACATTTCAGTTACTAAAATTTATTCCATCATAAAGCAAACAAAATGAATCAATGCAAGTCATTAGTAGTTTTACAACCATGTTTATTGCTATCAAACGTGTATTTAATGTTTATAATACTGTGCTATATAATTGCAGTGTACACAGTGATCTTACACTTGAAAGAGATAATGCCATTAGGGGACTTCTTGATGACAATACGGACCCATCCAATAGCTCATGCTCTCTATCTGCAGGTGAGATGATCTGATGATTTTAAATTATACATTACAACCAATCGAAATGACTGAACAAAAAGGATCCAGTCTGATACTTTTTATCATACGTATTAAAGGATATTGTTATGTGATATTGTAGTCATTTTGGCTGACAGCCAATGGCTTACTTTTCTATCTGTATTTACACACATTTCTGCTTTGATTGATTTGAACTTTTCAAGGATGTTTCTTTGTCTGGAGATCTAAAATTGATTTGTTGTTGGCATGCTTTTAAAATTAATGATGACCATTTTTCACTTTTAGGTTTGACATTGTGCCTTGTTATTCCCAGAGGAACATATTCTTTCTCATGAAATTGTTCAACTTCTACAAACCAGTATATCTGGCATTTAAACTATGTTCAAATGACCATGCTAAGCAAGAATAAAGTCGGTCATCATCGTAACATTTTTGGAATTTTTTCAATGGCCTGATTGATAATGATAGTTATTAGTCATTAACACATTTTCTCAGTGTGCTTTAAATAAATCAGAACTTGAGGGAAATAGGTTTCCCCATTTGTTTGTTTGTCTGTTTTCCATTTGTCTCACTGTAAGTTTGTCTACAGTACAGTTTTCAGACAATGAAAACTGCCCATAACAATTTCAGTGGGTTTCATAGCAGTAATTTACATTTAGGCTCCTACTTTTGCCCTGTTTTAAGGAAATTGGCATTTTGTTGTCATCATTTCACATTTTTTTACCCAAAAATCTTTTACAGGTTTACAGTTTTCTGGTGCTCTATTTTTGGAGAGTTGGGCATTTTTGGAGGTAACTATTTGTATAGCAGTAATTTACATTTAGGCTCCTACTTTTGCCCTGTTTTAAGGAAATTGGCATTTTATTGTCATCATTTCACCTTTTTTTACCCAAAAATCTTTTACAGGTTTACAGTTTTCTAGTGCTCTATTTTTGGAGAGTTGGGCATTTTTGGAGGTAACTATTTGTGTGTCAACTGGAGATGGCCCAAATTATGAAGTCAGTTAGAATGGATGAATGGCTGAATGATATGATGAACAGGGATAATTGTACCTGTTGTTTGAAGTTTGATACTCCCTAGGTTTCATATATGTACAGTTCACAGTGAAACCTAAATATGTGTGCTTGCAACGAGTCCATCTCCACAGTTTTGATCAAGTGGAAATCAAATTATCAATTAAAATGTCATGTATTATCGGTGTTAGTTGGTGTGGTGAAGTGTAATTTTAAGTGGGCTTTATTGATCTTAATCACAGTTTTTAAATGTTTAAGATATTAAATTAATGGTCTTGTATATGATGCTAATATCTACATGTACTGTATTGAATGCATGGTGGTCTCAACTACATTCCACATATGCTATAGTCCTTCATCTCCAGATGATGGTATTATGTACTATCACTTTCCCTGTAAAACATATTTTTCTGTTCTGTTATTAGGGGACTGATGGTTGTGACTCTTGTTGCATTGAATTTCCTTTATTGTTTCTCTTAACTTGTTTGTGTTGCCATAATAGACCCACAAGAGCCAATTTCTGTGTCCAGCTTTGGGATTGTGTTATAGTACAAAGTTATAGTGTTACCAGATTCTCTAGAATATATATACAATAGTTTGTCACACATGTCATCTCCTGGCAAGTCATTTTATTTGTTTTCATTTGACAATATTCTTAGTACAATTTGTTAATTGCACATTCGTTAATCATAATTTACAAGTTCTGAGTAAAAGGTATGGATTCCTAAGGTAGGATGCTGTTCTAAAAGGGGTATATATCTAACAGCTAGATCTTTTTTGCAAATAAATTCAATGGAAAATAGTTAAATTAATTGATCGCCACCTAAATGCTTAATAAAATATATATATTCACGAAAAGAATGACTTTCATTAAGTATATGATATATTGTAGTAAAATATGTCTTAAGTTAGCAACATCTTCAATGACATTCGGAACATACTCCAAAGTTACTCACTGTTCACAGTTTTTTGGGCATTAAAAGCATCTATAGCATCTTTCTCTGTATTTTATGTTAATTCCTCTTCCAGCTAAACTTGACATTTATGGAGTTAACTAGATAACATAAATGTCTGTCAAAATAATTTACATGAAAATATAACCAGTTAGTATGTATTTTTTGTTTATCAACACAATTACTTTTTATAGCAAATGGTTTATAAAGATTTTGTGAGATATGAAAAGAATCACCTTCACAGGATTTTTGGAAATGGAAATTCACAAGAAGCTGATCTCACTGAATTTACATTAACATGGATTATCCACATGTTCAAATTTTTGCAAATACAGGAGGACACACATAATATCTAAGTTGAAATTGTAGATACATGTGCTTATATAAGCTCATATAGAATTCACAAATACTGGAGGTGATTCTTAGAATAACTAGTAGCTGTTTAGACTTTCTACGATACAATTTTTCACATATTCAGCTATGTTAGAATACATGGACTATTTCTACATTGCTCTACTCTTAGCTTCGTATTCTTTGTTCCTCCTCTTATTATATAGTCTCCTGCATACGTGCAATATCGCCATAGAGTTAGCCACCCATCTTCTCCAAAATGCTATAGATGCAGCTCTAAGGGAAATAAAAATGGAATCAAAGTTCCTGAAAATGAAGGCATTGAAACCTAGCCTAATAAATAAAATGAACATGGAAACTGTTTAGTTCATAATTTTTTTTGAAATATACGTATACTCAGCTGTGCTCCATTCATTAAGATTGAAAACAGAAATGGAATAGAACTTACTGAATATGAACTCAAACTGTCAAAATAAAAATGAAAATAGAAAAGAAGTTCTACATACAAGCAATGGAAACAAGAATATATTGAATATACTGAATATGAACTCTCCTGATATTGTGAAATATGTGTACATGTAAATGTCAAACTGTGCATGTAAATATGGGATTTTCTCCTCCATATAAGATGATGTTCTCGCCACAGTAGGTACATGTACTTGTATGTATTGCAATTTTCAGATTAAACAGAAAAGTAGATAAAATGTAATGAACATCTTTTTCCTCTGAATTCATGAACACTCAATAACCCTTTTAGATTAGTTGCATATCCTGCTGTTTGTGCCAACTGTGAATAGATGTGCTTTTTATTTCAAATGACTTTGATACATACTGAACTGAAATCAAAATGAAGTTTGTTCAGAATCAAAGTTTTTACCATTAGGACCCGGCCAATGTTTTGATTGTTGTCTAAAGTGTTAACTGTTTCTCTCCATTACTTGTAATTGTTTAATTACTGTGAGCTCAACATGCAACTAGAAATTGATTTTCATCATTTGATATTCAGAGTTTAGTCAAATGATTTAGGTGTTGTCGCATTGGATTGACAATAAAATGAGTTTTATTTCATAAAGTCAATCCATATTTACGTCATGTATGATAATTTAAATCATTTTGTGCTACTGGGTGGGCCGGAAGATGGCTTCATCCTATGTAGCAACATTATAACTTTGCAGGGATTATAATCCCGGGATTACAATTTTATTTTGTTGATGTTCCAATGACTAAACATTGAAACAATTGTGTCATTTAAATATACACTTGAATAAGAGCATTTAGCAACTTACAAGGTATTGCACCCAGTTAATGGATGTTATTTTCTTGGTTAATTTTAGTCTCCTTTGTGTTTTTTATTAACCAATCTTATTCAATGATTTTTATTTTAGTTTTGTCGAGAAGAAAATAAGGAAATGCTGAGAGAACTCTACTATCAGGAGGACAACTTCCAACAAGAGGCTAACTGTCGTGTAGTGGAGAGTTATGGTGAAGAGGTATGTATGTCTTAGAGGCAAAACAATTTTGGGATCCATTGGCCCATTTTCTGAAAGAACACCTCCCCTTTGAATACTATCATATAGCCTCAAGGGTAATAGAGAGCTATATTGAAGAAGTACTTTATAAAATGATCCAGCCTTGAATTCACCCGTCTTAGAAACAAGGCCTTTTTCTCAAAAGAAATTCAGATTTTTTTTCCATATTTCACTGATTTTGAAGGTTGTGCTTCATTTATAGGGCTGCCCTATTTTTGAACACTGGCTTCACCCCTGTCTGGCATTGCCTTTTCACTTATGACACGTCTTTGTAAAAATGTCATTTGAATTGTCAAGTTTTGATTGAGACGTTGACTAAACTGGTATGTCTAGAACTCGAGCCAATCTTACATGTTAACACGAATGTGATAATTATGGTACATCTTGTTGGACTTACCTACTCTACTTTCTGCCAGTAAAATATGTTGGATAAATTAACATACAAATTTTCGTACATGTACTCCTTTTAACCTATTGGTACTCTTTGATGTAATTTCAACAAAAATAAGGAAAGGGATTGTGTCAATATGCCAACAATCGTGGAAAAATGAAATAATTTCATTATGGTTTACCTCCTTTCCCTCTTCCCCTTATAACAACATTTTATATGCTGATTTGCCTTCCACTTGATTTTTCCAAAAATTCTTCACTAATTACATCATCAATAACCCTCTCCCCTTCATGAACTACAACCATTGACATTTGGGCATCATCCCCATTGAAGGCCCTTTCACATTAATTGCCTTTTTCACGTCCTCTTCTGGGAACATATTTAAACCTCAGGATTCCTTTTAGAATTTATGGCTTTTCTTTCATTTTGACATGGCTTCTTACAAGTATTGCCATTTGAAGAGTAAAGTACAGCATTAAGTTCAATGGTTCACAAACTCATGCTAAACAGATAATTAACTTGTATGACACTAAAGATCCTATTAAACAGTTTGTCCTTAGAGATAATTCTCATAAGGCATCTCATATTAATATTCTAAAAAACATTACTCCAAACTGGAGAACAGGCACGTAGATTAATAATAAAAATTTATTATATGTAACTACACCAATGATTTTTTAAAACAGAAAATTGAGAAATATAATATGTTTACAATAAGTGTGTTTGTACAATAAAATGATCATAGATACATGCATGATACAACTAAATATACAGAGGGTTTGAATGTTTTACATCTGATTCAATGATAACAGTAATAGCCTACCACATGATACCCTTGATCATTATTTGCTAAGTACACCAGCCTCTAACTATTACAGATGATTTTATAGTTTTGATGCTGACAAATGTAGTTTTGATTGTAATTGTCTAAATGCACACTCTGATTGGACACAGGCAAGATCAAAGAGTCATGATCTATTTTAAAGAGTGAGTTGAAGTTAATCTCTTTCAAAGGATAGCTATGTTATCCTGACACAATTATTACAATTACAATAATTGTGAAGTTTTAGTTTAGTATGTCAGGCACTTTAGACATTAAAATATACAGATAAGGTATCCCATTGCTAAATATATCTAAATTGCCTCATCGCATGAAAGTATTACACAATACATACCTTGGTAACTTGGTGTTCTGGCTAGGCCTCCGAATTATGTTCCATTATTGCTCAATCATATAGTATTTATATATATCTTGATGGGTTTGTTTGCATGATGTACAATGTTAAATGTATATGTGATGGCTTATTTACAAAAGAACAATTTTGAACTCTTTGAAATTCAATATTCTCAATTATTGAAAATGTCCTTTTATTTTTGACATTTATAAGGATTTCCTTTATGATTTTAATAACCACAAATTAACAAGACTAACTTCAAGTCTGTGCAATGATTAACTGGTACAAAAAAGCCAATTTCTACTTTTTGTTGTAAATTGTAAAAAAGTTTGGTGTAGTTTGAACTATGTACAGCTGCAGATTTGATAATTACATATTTCAACACTTTCTCTTTTTGTAGTTGTACTTTTTCCAAAATCAAAGTTAAGTGGACACCTGATATTTTTGTTCAGTGTCCTTCTTGCAAAATCCTATTATAGTGGAATTTCACAGATATAACCAAATGTTGATTTACATTTGTAATCATGCCATTTTGCCTCCCAAGGTTTTGAATAAAGCACAACGCATAACTCAGAAAACCTATGATCTTTGGGCTGTTTCCTTCCCCAGTGGACGAATTCCCCTAGGGGCACAGAGGGTCCATCAGTTTTCTTCCACAAAAACCTGTCTTGGAGATTGTGCAGAGCTGTCCAGTATATCCCCTCCTGTCTATTTTTCTTAAGCTTTCTCACCAGCCACTGCTGTTCATTTAGGGAATCAACTTGAACAAGATTTGCTTTCATCTCGTGGCATCGCTGTACAGCCCCACACCATTGCACTTTCTCAGAGTAAACGAACCTATAGCAGGAGCCATTGTAGTATATGAACTCTGGTGGGCAAGAATATGTCGGTTCAGGAGCCAAGCATCTGCTTCCTACATTAAACTTGATTTTCTGGAAATACAATTAAAATGTTTGTTTCAGTAAAAGAGGCTCTATGCCATAGGATAGCACAATCAAGACCCATCTGAACTTTTTTGCATATTGAGTTTCACCACATATTCACCCATCTACTTACCATAATCCCCTTCTTTCAGTGTAAATTTTGCGATTGTGCTGGCCGATCTAATTATTTTCAGAAATTAATTCAATCTGAAGTTTGAATATACCAGTAAAGTCCTCCTATTATCTGATTGATCGTTGAATTTGTTTATCATGAACCTGATTGGCTGCCTGGTTCAAGGCGCTTGTGTAACTCAATGGGGATTCCCCTCGCTAGCCGAGGAATCGATTGTGTTTAATTCTGGAGGTTGGTTGTTCTGTTGATTATTTCAATATTTCGGCAATAATATACCCAAAAGTTATTCTCAAGATATGTTCATGTTATGTGAGATATTATATGAGCAATAACAATAGGACATCATTGATTGTCTGGGGGAGAAACCTATGGTATAATGCATCTTTAATTAAAGTTAGGCTTGTAGGCAATTTGTCTAATTCAGATATCTGTTAGATGTCTACCCCATAAAGTGGATATATTTCAAAGAAGATTGCCCGTGATTTTAACTGTAATTATGAGAGATATCAGTAAATGGTTCACTTTCATATTGAATATGTCACTGCATATCATTTCAACAAGTAAATATTTGAATATTTGAAATACAAAAACTTTTTTTTTAAATTCTCAAAGATCTCTAAAGTAACTTTTAAAGTCATGACAAATAGTAAATGCATGTTAAAGACATATTTTCAAACTTTACACAGGGCCTTTAAGAATAATTAAGCTCTTGAGGAATTTAGCTGCAAAAGGTTTATATATCAGTTTCTATAATTTTGTATGTAGATCCAGGATCCAGAATTCTTACTGATTATTTAATTAATGAACTAATTGAATTGTCAGTAACTAATCGGTTAGATTCAGTGCCTGAAGAATTTATCTCCAAGAGCTATTTTCTTTGTTTGTAGATCCCGAATTCCTCCTGCTAAATCAATTAGTTAATTAATGAATTAAATAAATGAGCCAGTTCATGATTCAATTCCTTATATTTTGGAATATTTTCACAGAATGAATAGATATACATGATGATATCATAGAGGATTATTCCAGTTGAGTTCAAAATGCCAAGTATAAGTAAGATATGATATATTATACAATGACCTTGCCTCTTTACTTTCAGAACAATATGATTTGCAAGGGATATAGCAACTTTGTGTATTTTTTTTTTAGTATATGATATTGTACGGTTGGAAGAAAATGATGACACTATAAAAAGATGACACTACAAAAGGATGACACTAGATTGAACTTTGCACACTCTTTGTTATGATGTGTTTGTTTACATCTAAAGGTCACTTGTACCTATTAAACCCCCAATGAATATCATGTGTATCAGGACTATTCCACTATCCTGTACATAAAATATCAAGTTTGGCCAGAATTGCCCCACTTGCCTGTTAATAAGGTATAAAGTTTTGTCATGGAATTGTTTTGAAACATGCTTTATTTTAATTCTTTTTAAATTATATTTGACCTTAGAAGCCAGCTTTGTGTTTTATAAAAAAATAAATTCAAATCCAATATTAGTTTTCATATATTATTTGGAAGAACATACTTAAAGGTGGTCTCATTGAAGACACTAAAAGGTAAATATGAGGAAATATTACTGCATGCTTGTGCAATTTGTTGAGGCCCATTTGTTGTTACAGGAAAGATATGCATCTGAGTGTCAATGGATTTTCCCTTCCTGATAAATGTTGATGGTCTTTTAAACACGCTTCAGCAAATATTCAATAATTACGTAGAAAAAGTGATGAGTTGTATTTTAGATTCATTTCACAATGAAACAGTTCCGTTAGTTTATTTGTATTCTGTCTTTTTCATTGCTTTATTTAACTATCTGTTTTATCTATTTGCAAGGTTGACTCAAAAGACGAATCTTCTTAAGTAGTTTATTGCATGTGATGACACCTTTAAACTATTTAATCGTACAATCTAAGAGCTTTATAATTTTTGGGGAATGACCACACTTGACTTAATTTACATAATCGTTTGTAAGTTGAATTAATTCATCAGTTCTTGAATATTTTCATCATGAAAAGCATGTCTCAAGAAAGGTCTGCATATGAATCTTGCTTTTAGAACAACAACAAATTATATATAAACAAAATAAAAAAAAAATAGATCTAATATAAAAGGTTTATTTATATGAGATACAGTACTTCAAAAAGAGGATCTGTTCGGACCATTCTACTTATGATGTAATAGGAGACATGAGGCAATTCTGCAAATTCACAAAGTCTGACAAGATATATTTGGAAACTCCATTGGCCTACATACGGGAAACACATTTTGCTATCCTATCAAATGAAGTTTGCATGGATATAGAGAAGCCATCTGTCCATTCGTTTGTTTGTCCGAGGGATTACAAAATACCAGTTGATTTTGATTCATTTTGATTCAATTTTATAGGCTTATGTCTAAAGGAGCTCTGTCAAAAAGGAATTTCAATATGGCTGCGCAATTCAAAATGGTCGTCATTTTTTGTAAAATTGTAACTTTTATTATTTTATAATTGTAACTCAAATACTAGAATAGTTAATTTGGTTCCAATTTTATATGCTGATGCCCCGGGACGATGGGGCTCTGCTCAATAAGAGTTTTTCAAGATGGCCATTTAGTTTCAAAATGGCCACCATTTTCATAAAAAATGTTATCTTTGATATCTTAAATACTAGTGGATAGATTAGATTCACATTTTATATACTGAAGCCTACATGGCCTAGGGACGCAGGAGCTCCGCTGGAGAAGAAATATGGCAGCTGAATCTTAAAAGGGCCACCATTTTTCATAGAAGAAAGTAATTATTGATTATTTAATACAATGGCCACCATTTTTCAAAAATGAATATAATACTTGATTACTAAGTACAAGTTGATTTGGTTAAAATTTTATACACTGATGCTGAGGACAAAGGACCTCTGCTCAAGAAAAATTTGTTTAAGATGGCAGCTGAATTTCAAAATGGCTTTTGATAATGACAGTTTGGAATTCCATAGACTTGCAGGTAGACTGAAATCTAGTAAATCTAGTAAATCTCGTAAATCTAGTAAATCTAGTAAATCTAGTAAAATCTTGTAAAATCTTGTAAACTTTTTAGGGATCATTCATTTAAGGAATAAATAATGATAGGCCATTCAATATGGTGAAATTCAGCACGAGTTGGACAGAATGTTGTACAAAGCACGAACCGAAGGTGAGTGCATTTGTACTAACATTCTGTCCAACGAGTGCTGAATTTCACCATATTGAATGGCCTATCATTATTTATTCCGATTCAAACATAAAAATTAGTAAAAGCCGTGTCTGTGGAACGGGCATGAAGGAAGAATACGAACAGCTATCCCCGGACAGAGCCCCAGATGTGCAGCTGAGATGTGACGTCACTCAAAACAATGCAAATTGCAGATTGAATAGAGCATGGTCGTGCATCTATGGAGAATTAGAGAACGTTCTATATTGGCTATGCTGCATTCTGATTGGTTGAGAAATTCGAATAGAGCACGGTCATGTTTGAATTGATATCAATGTCAGTCTCTATGAAAAGTATTGGTGATTATGATTCCTTTTACAGCATTATTATCCCAACGAACGGGAAGCTAACTCGAATACTACGAATCCGATTCTCTCTATATTTGGTGGAAAGATGTATAATGGTAATACTTTTTATGGACTTTTCATCAAGAAGGTCTCCGTTTTAAAAATGGTGGACATTTTTCGTGGAAATCTAAGTTATACATTCTCAACCAAAGTAATAAACATTACTGTTAGCAATTTCAGCAGTATTCTCACAACATACATGTATACCTATTGATATATTATTGAGCCTGACTGCCATGAGCCATGAATGGGGAGGGGGTAGGCATTCTTTTTAATTTTGAGATCATTCTAAAGTATACTCAAATAAAAGGGAATTTAAAGTAGATTACAAATATCATAAAAAATTTCTGATTCGACCCTTGGAAAATTCTTGGAAAAGTGGCCGCCAAGTGTGTTATTTGGCAATAATTTTATGACCAAGGAATTTTATACCTGGCAAACTCATTTCCACAAAACATGATTGTAAATACCGTATTCGTCTGATTAAGCGCACATAGTTCTAATAAGTGCACATTCATACTGGTATACATGTGCATACAGTTTAAGGGACTGATATGATATGGCTTTAAACTATTAATTACAAGGAATATAAGGAACATATCATCATCAAAACGTAAATGGAAAGCATTGTAGAAATGCCATACTATACTTTATGTATAGGTAAAGCAAATAGATCAATCAGTAAGTTGTCTCACTCTTCCCCTTACTACAGCAGTTGATTGTTTTTATTATTTTTGGGGGTTGGCAAAAATCAATTTTGAAATTGCCATTTATCCATTCCCCTAACATTGGAACTTCTACAAATATTGTCAATTGAACAGCATCGCCAAAAAATAAGCAATGACTAAATTATCTGATAGGCTAAGCATTATAACATTTTGTGAGGGAAAAACAAGCCTGTGTCATTTAGATGGTACGCATTGTCCCCTCAGTCCTTAAATATGTGGCTTAATTTGTTAATAGAGCATGCTTCTTGGATGGGTTGTGTATGATGATAAAATGGGTGTACCATTTGATAACCATTTTGTTATCCAGTACTAACATATAGTTGTTTTGTCACTAAATATAATGAACTAAAAGGTAGAATTTTTTCTACATGTTCATTTCATTCATACAAAGGCATTTTCAGTGCTTTTTCGACATTTGTACTTTATATCTTAGACATTGAATAATCAAGATTTACAAGATTTTACTAGATTTTACTAGATTTACTAGTTTTACAAGATTTACTAGATTTACAGTCTACCAGACTTGCAGCTATTTTTGCATAAACTACCATATCAGATCATTGAATTTC